TTTCCATGCGACCTGAGAAACGCAATGCATTGCTCACACTCCTCAACAATCATCCTGACAGCTATTGGTGGATCGATGTTCTTTGTGCACGCTGTGACACACCTTTGGGTATTATGGGCGATATTTATGCCTGCTGCTATCTATGCTATGCTATGGTCGATTGTGAGCCTGAATTGATAATCCGAATCAAGTCCATGGTGCGCAAGTGGAGCCGTAGATCATTCAAAACTCGCCTTTCGAGATGGACAAAGGATTTTCACAAGGAGGCACATCGACTTGTTATAGACACATTCTATCAATGTAGCTGGTGGAAACGTGTTTGGACATGGCAAGAGGCGGTGTTACCTGTTGAAGTCTTGTTTATCGCTGAAACACTCACTGAATTATCCGACAGCGACATGCTGAGTATCAATGAGCTTGATGACTTTACCGGCGATGGCTGGTTTGCCTATGATGGCTTCATGTTTAAATTATCATCAGACGAAGAAGGTAAGCAGCTATTGAACGTGACTATATGTAGTAAATTATTTCAAACATCAACCTGCCTGAATCCTATAGTAGGCGACATAAAAGGAATGGATTTTGGAGGATCAACTACTCAAGAAATCATTTACTCTCGGAATCACTGTCACCGCCATACAGGTTATTCTGGTACTCTAGGGGGCATTTCTTCCTTGTTTCGCGCATTCGCACAATCACCAAGGCAATGCATGGATCCAGTTGACTATGTATATGGCGTGCTTGGCATATTCCAAATCGACATTCCGAGGAAAACCGATCCAAACGAAGTTTGGCAGCTCTTTGTAACTGAGCTCCTTAAGCTATTCACCGATCCCAAGCGTGTCAGGATCGAACAAGACTACGAAAAGTGGATCCTATCAAGATACAAAAGCGATCGTACAATACGTCAATGTAATCTACTGACAGCTAAAAATATGGGCGAGGTATATAAATGCTTTGCTTGAGATTTTGTTGAGCACACGTTGAGACCTCGAAAAGCACTCGTTTAATTGTCAGCATGTATCAAGAGATATAAGTGTAGCTCGCAATTAGATAGCTTCATGGAAGATTTCATTTAATGTTGTCATCATCATTACATGTGGATTGGTATTTGGATATCTGCTTTATGTATTGATTCTCGATCTAGAAAGTACTATTTGTATCCGTACTGCATCGGCTGCTGTACACTTGATGGACGCAAAATACGATACCAAAGGTGATGCCATGATACATTGCTGCTGCTCCTGGTATAATGATGCGATGTCGTCATCCATGGTCAAGGCGGCATACTCAATGTGCAGGGTCTTGTGTGTGCATGATAGGATGATGATGTCAGCTGTCGAGGGTATGCATAAAGGAGCGAATGGGCCATGAGGACGACGTGAAGAAGAGCATGTCAATTCGACATGATGCATGATGGTACAAGCATCTTGTAAACTTACCTTGCTACCCATCTTCGCATTCATCTCATTGGCAGGGTGATCCACAGCAAGTTGATTCAAGCAATGTTGCCACGGAAACTCATTCTTGTATAGACACAGTAAGAGCCTGTTTTTGAACAATGTCAATCATCCTTCCTATTGCTCGATCCATCATCCATACCTTCACAGCTCCTGATGGTTGAGATCGCCTTCAAACACATCCTCCTTTCACGTTGTGGATAGTTGATCAAGGATCCATATGGCCAAGTGGTTCATGAGGTTCCTCAGTTTGAGCAGGTGGAGCACGATGCTTGTTCATTCGAAGTTGCCATAGCGACGATCAGCTCCACGTATTTTGGTACACTTGCAATGTGCGCCATGGACTCGATACATACCTTTCTTTTCATTCCAAGCATTGTCGTCTTTCGGCATTCGCCATCAAGGACCTGAATTGGGAGCTCGTTGGTGTCGGAAAAGAGAAGGAAGGTCAACGACGGCATATCCGCTCCTCACGTTTTAGTGCCCCACACACGCCAATCATTGGTTGCTCGTTGCTTGTCGATGTTGATCGAAGAAAAGGTGCCTTTCTGTTATGCTGTCAACGTCTTATCATCCCATCCATCCATGACGCCATCATCACCATTGACAAGAAATCACTCTCACGCTATTACCATTGATCCCCTTGGTGTAATGAAGATGTGTTTGTATGATAGCTAGAGTGTAGAAAACTAGTACATACAAAGAATAGTAAAGGTTGTTATGGTTACAACTGATGCTGTGTTACTGCAAAGTATGTTCATGTATACGTGAAGCACAAAAATGATAGCCCCGCATGTATGTTTCTAGATACTCCCTCACCACCATCATGCATGAACGAAATACATAATCCTTGTTCGTTCCCATCCGAGTCAAATATGACATGCTCTAAGCCAAGGCCATCATTGTCCAGCCCAAAAAAGATGATGTTGATATTCGGGTTCATTCTTCCCATCCTATGTAAAAACGTGTATACTATGAAAGAATGAAGCTCTCCACGTCAATCCTATTGAGAGATCCAGCCAATCAGAGATACTGTTGGGTCAGTGCACACACATCGCTGCCATACATAAAAGCGTGCAAAAAGTAAGGGCATCAATAGCAGCAGCGATTTTACTTCACAAGCTACCTTTCAAATGTTTTATCGACTTGCCAACCGAACTCTTTCTTTCCGCCGGGGATCAGCATCAGGAACACCACCAAAAAGTACTAGCAGTTTCAAGCCTCGACCCTTTGCAGACCTACCAGGATCACCTAGTTCCAGCACCTTTACTCAAAGGGTTACTCTCGCTGCTGTTCAAGGATTCGATCGTGCTTTTCCCTTATTGGAGGGCTATTTATGTCTCTTATATATCACTGGTGCCTTTCAATCAAGTCGTTCAGCAGACGATGATGATGAGAAGCAACCCATCACCAAGTATGATCAAAGTACTACTAGTAGTATGCCTGTTACTACTGGTGGTTTTCGTATTGGACATTTCAAAATTACGATTCTACAACGTCTATCTTTTCATTCAAATGGTGGTGGTGGATTGGGCTTAAGTATGCATGAATCACCCAAAAATGGCAATCAAAGCACATTCTTTGTTCCAAGTTTCTACTCTTTACTTTGCGAAAAACAAGGTTCATCTTCTTCCTCCTCCCTTTTCCAGCGCCATTACTATGAACAATTTCACTCGCCTTAGTCTTATTACCCACCATCAAACCTGCATCCATATATACATTCCTATTAGTAGTAGAGCATAATAAAGTGAAGCATCATCAGCCAGCCATGTTTGTTTTCAACCAGCGGGTATCACCAATGTTGTGCAACCACCGGGTTGAAGCAAAGGTCTATCCGATTGGGCAAATGAGGTGCATTCTAGCATTAACTTCATGTAAGAACGTTAAAGTGAGAACGCTAAACTGGTCCAAGCTTTATTTACCACCACAACAACAACCGCCTGTGTTAATGGACACCTGCTATGCACACGATTTTGTCTTTTTCGAAACGTTGATCCACCATGAGATGATCCAATAATGACTCACGTCATCATGTCGTTGCCAAGATGGGCATTGATTGTAGAAGTTGCTGTACATCATGATGTACCACGCAAGATGAATGATGGATTGGATTACTACCGGATCCTTCTTTAGATAACCACCCACACCTAGTATCACTTGCTCTTACCACGCCCCATCCAACACACACACACCCAAGCATGTCAACAATCAAGAAAATCCTTAGTAAAGTAAAGAAGCAAACAAGGTATATATATAAAAAGTCGTAATACAATGCGTTGTCTAACTACTGGTACCCATGTTTGGTACACATGATGGCTTCTTTGTTCTATAATACTGTAACAACAAGAGCACCGTTTCGCATAATTCATTCGTCATGGTTTCACTTGGTAGGGTGGATGAAGAAGACTCGGTGCAATAACGCCATCATTCTTGGGCTCAACCACTTGCAAAGGGATCTCCATCATTTTGGTATTATAAACGCCAGGAACAGCACCAGCATGTTGGTATTGCATGGGGCTATTCATATTACCCACAAAAAGCGGCTGGTTTGAAGGCACTCCTCCTTGTTGCTTGGGTGGATGGTGACATCTTTAATGTATACAGAAGCATGTCAGTGGATGAACTTTGTGATTGATCAAGTGAACAACAAAACACGTTACCTTATGATACGATGGTGTACTGAGCAGAAGTACACATAGCGACATGGCTGGTGGTATTGATACAAAGGAAGAGGGGCATATGATTGATGATGGTTGTGTTGTGAACAACGACGATTTGGCGTGGCAACCAATTGCCTGACATGTTGCGTGGGGTGCAATGGATAATGGTGGTTTTGCCATGGCATCTGGTAGAAATAGGGGTGCTGTTTGTATTTATGGCATTAGCTTAAAAGAAATGATCCATGATTTTTCAAGAATCTCCAACCTGTCTAATCGCTCTGCTAGCCTTGGGAGCGTTCTGGGTAGCTTGCATCATCATTGCATGATAAAGTGCGTCGTTGTAAGTAGCAGCAGGAGTCGTTAACTTGCCCATTGGATTGAAAAATGAGAGGAATGGTAATAAGAAAAAAGACAACGATTTGTGCCACCTTTATATACACCTCTTCTTTGTAAAGGCGATATGGTGTCATTGTTCGTTTTTTCAGCTCTCCTGAAGACTTGTAACGTGTTAGTGAATGCAATCCTTTATATGTATCCTTGGTTTTGATAACACAAAACGGCACCAAAACCATATACTCTAATGCTTTCAAAAGCTGATGCCATGATAGAAGAGGATCACCTTGAGTGAAATAGACTAGTACGTGGGGATGGATGATGATGATACTACATAATCAAAGGCAGCTGAATTTCCATTTCAAGCACATTCATTATGCGTATAGTGGCAAAGGGGCTGCAATCTGGATTTAGACGACACAACAAAAACTGATTATGTATCATCTTCTTTTTGGGTCTGGATGTGGTAGTAGCTATATGCTCGCTTTTGCAACAAGGTACCAAAGTGCGTGTGCCTGCAGGGTCGGTCTCCGAAACAAATTCCGAGGATAAACATTTCAGCGTGGTGGGCCCTGATGATGTGATGGGCAGGGGTGGCAATGCTGCCATCATGTCAAAATCCACGTGCAACAAGTAGCATGATCGCAGCATCACTTTATAGAACATTCCAATGCAAGTGAGTTGTCTCGGATGCGTTTATTATTACTCCATTTTCCAAATATAGATGACCTTATCCCTCCCTCCCCCAACCACATCCTACGTTGATTTGTCTCTTTCATTATCTTCAAAACGAGTCCATGGAAAAACAAGATGAAGGATTACAATGAATAGGTGATAGGGTGGATCGACAAGTGGAACCAAAAATAGAATGGGTTGGGTACCTAAATAGAACTCAGGGTGGTAGAATGCACGTCCATCATCATCATCATCCGGCAACAACGCCGCCGACATCATTCTTTCTTTTCTTTATCCACCCAACATATCCCATACCACCACACATACAACGCCTTTGATGGAGGAGCTGAGCACAGCGGCAGTCGCAGCAGCCTATATTTTGGTCACATGGCACGCGTTCATGGCCTGTTTGAGTTTGCTCGGACAATACGTTGGGTAAGTTGCCGATGGAAATCCCTCCCCCTTTCTTCTTCATGGCCCATTCATGCCATTCCTTCCAGTCAGACACGCTACAAGCGGAATGCCCCTGTTCCAGCATTTGACAGTACAAGCAATGTGCCCGGTGTCTCGATCCTACGACCGTTGAAAGGCATGGACCTGGATTTGGCTGACAATCTACGATCGTCGTTTGAACAACGCTATCCCAAGTTCGAGACTATCTTTAGTGTGGCTGACAGCAATGATCCCGCTATCGATATCGTGGAGCAGCTTCAAAAAGAGTATCCGGATGCAGATTGCAGGTTGATTATAGGCAAGTAGGGGGATGATGGCCCCTTTGTTTTCGCGTATAAGGCCAACTCAACGTTTTTTATTAGGTGATCGACCTGCTGGTATCAATCCCAAGGTGAACAACATGGTACGATCCTATGAAAGTGCAAAGTACGACATTATTTGGATTCTCGATTCGAATGTCCATGTGGGTCGTGATACGCTTTCGCGTTCGGTGGCAGCCCTTCAGCAACCTGGTATCGGATTAGTACATCATCTTCCCGTCGCCATGCAACCTGAATCCTATGCAGCACAAGTGGAGCATCTCTTTTTGGATACCAACCATGCCAAAATGTACTTGGCTATCAATGCCGTTGGCTTGGCTTCATGTGTGATGGGAAAATCCAACCTGTATCGACGCTCGGATCTTGACAGGGCTGAAAAGGGAGGATTGGCAGCATTTGCAAAGTATATGGCAGAGGATAATATTGTTGGTGAAGCATTATGGCATATTGGATTGCGACACAGCATGACAGCAGATACGGCATGTCAAGTATTGGGAAGGATCAGTCTCAAGGAATATTGCAAACGTCGTGCAAGATGGGTGCGTTTACGAAAGTACATTGTCACGGCAGCTACGCTCACCGAGCCATTTACCGAATCCATCGTATGCGGATTGTTGGGTGCTGTGGGATGGTATTTGCTATGGGGTGTATCGATACCACGGTTTTTTGCGCTCCATTGGTTGGCATGGTTTATCAACGACTATGGTTTGTATCATCGCCTCGTGAGCACGGCTTCGTATTCAAAAAAGAGAGGACGGCCCCATGAACCATTGGATCTTTTCAAGTTTACACGAGCTTGGTTATCACGTGAGATTTTGGCATTGCCTCTTTACTTGTTTGCTATGGCAGGTACAAAGATTACGTGGCGTGGACAAGATTATCGATGTTTACGCGATGGAACAGCTATCGAGACCGATTCGCCATCCTTATTAGCAGATCCACTTTGATAGATACAATGCACACACTTATTTTATATATATACGACACAACTTGTACAGGAATAGGATCATTACTTTATATATCTTACACGTCAAAAGAATTGCATTTTAGTATGTACAGCGCATTGTTGCTTTTTCATAGCCTGACTACGATATAATAAAGAAGATGAAGATGATTGCAGAGCTCTATATACCCGATCAAAGGCGAGAGTAATATTTGTATAAAGCGAAAGGTGGTTTCTCAAATGTAAGAATGATCCACTTTTTCTTTTCCATGTATCCCCATTACTGGATGCAAGTCGTCACCATGATCCAGCCAGCATGGATTGTGCCATACCAAAACGAGTTACCACGACAACAACCACGTCATCTAAAATAAAGCGAAGCTACGACACGCGTAGACCCAAAGAGACCCATGCTTTTCATTGATCCAATATAGAACGTTTCACGTTGCCATAAACACACACACACACACATGTAGATTTTACACGGAGGATAGCAAAGCTATTGATTTTAATACAAAAGAAACCAAAGGTGTCTTTTTCAAAAAGGGAAGGAGATTGCCATGATTGGGTAAATGTACAAAGGGGAAAGAGAAGAAAAATGATCAACTACACTTAAGCATCGGCTTGGAAGGTGACGTTGAGGTGGACCTTGCCGTGGTCAGAAAGGTGAAGATGAGCGGGAAGCTCAACCCATTCATCGATCTCATTGCCTTCAAAAGCAGTGGTGATGTCAAGCTTGCCTTCACCAATCTTTTCCGTATCCAAAGTATCCTTGTCAAGGACCTTGAGGTAGATCTTGTGCTTGCTGGAACCCTCTTCAATGGGGAAGGTGAAGGTTTGGTCCCACACTGGGTTATCGGCGTTCTTGAGAACCTCGGTGCGTTGCTTGTATTCCTTGTCAAGCCAGAGCTCACTAAACGACGCGTGTTAGTATACGTGTATGCAAACATGTTTCAGGTGTCAAGCGTGTTCTTACACAAAGGCATCGTTCTAAGAAAAAGAGAAGAGGGTTAATTCATCTTGTCTACTTGTGCTCATTTCATGGGGACTTACGTGGCCAAAGGTGTCCTCGTTCTTCAAGTTTTCGGCTTCGACTATTTAAAGATGATCATGTTAAGAAATGACAAGATAAGGCCATGGATACATATATAAAAAAAGACACGATGACTTACTGACACGAACAGTGAGGGTACCGCGGGGAGCAGAGTGTTGAGACAACATGATGATAAATGTGAAAGAAAGATATGAGATGGCAAGGATGAAACGAATGCACGTATTTATACCTACGCGAAGACGACATCATCATGGCTCGTTCTCACAAAAGGAGGATACCCCATTTTTGGGTTGTCCAGGTGGACAAAAGGTCAATGGATGTTTCGATCGAGGCTGCTGTGTAACAGAAAACAACAGCAAGATGCACCATTGACAGCATCCCTCATCACCACTGCTGCTGCTGTCAATGGAGGAGTCGGTGTATTACCTTGTTGGATGATGCCAAGACCTGAGTCCAGGGATAGTAGCAGTGAACAAAGCGTAGTCATACCCAACACAGGATGCGGGTGTGTGTGTGTGTGGGTGTGGTACTAAAGAAAGCGAGTACTGTGGCGAGTGTGTGGTGTCTTGTGTTACATTGAAACGCGTCTCGTCGCCCTGTCCAAGCGGTGTACCACATTGACATGTTCTCTCTCACTCTCTGTCGCTCGCATGATCTTTCTTCCTTTATATCCCTTTTGCATGCATCGGCCCGAGAACATGTAACGTTTCATGTTGACGCGTCTTTTTTCTTTCAGAGCAGTGCTGTGTGTGAATTTGATGTTGGGAAAGAAGCAGGCCATTTCGTAATCAAACCAAATCATGATGATGTACATATGTATTTTAGACGCGCACAGGCAAGCAGAGGATTATGTAGTAGTGCATGCATGATGCAATGCGATTAGGGATTGACGAAACTTTAAGGCGTGGGATTGTATTGTCTCCATGGCACACATGCTTTTTCTCTTTTTTCAGCATGCATTTTTTGTTGCCATGAACACCCAAGCAAGCTTCTTCATTGTATCCCATTGACTATAAAGTACAGTAACGAGCAAATTTATATGCGTGATAAAAGCACGTGTCAAAGATAAAACGCCCATATTGAATACAGGATACTATAGAGCTTGCTATGATGTACGTGGCGACGTGTTCTTTTGAAGAACAGACGTCAAAACAACCAAACACGGGATACACGACAAGGAAATTGATTGGATATGATTCGGAAGAGATATGCCGATACACAATGTACAACATCATCTTTCCATAATAGAACATCCCTCCTGCAAAAGGTGTAAAGCAGGTAATCATGTTCGGTATGGTGTCTATAATATGAGAGTGATGGCGTTTTGATAGGTTGGGGTGGTATCCATACTACCTATCAAAGCGTTTGGGGTTTGATACATAGGGCAATTGTTTTAAACGCGTGGTATAGTAGGTATATGTTTGGAGAAATTCGAGTATAGGCGTTCATGCTCCTCCTAAACTTTTAGTGAGGGCGACCAAGAATAGAAGAGGAGCATTCATTTGTATTTGAAATAACGAGAAAATGGGTGGTTGATTTCAAACAACTCGATGCCAGGCTAACAGTAAATCCAGTAACAGGATGATGCAGGCTGGCATTCTCGTGATCGCATTACTACTACCATCATCGTGCTTATGATAAGATGATGGTGTGATATTATGGGTGCATGATGCATAGTGGTGGTGGTGGTGGGGGAACGGAATGAAGAGGTTTCGATACGTATCTCACAAAGACATCATCATGGTGAGCACCTAACAGTGTTGGATGGAGGGTCGTAAAAAGCTTCATGTAATCAAGGATCGTGTCTTTGTAAGAGCGATGAAGGTCAGCGTATATGGTAGCACATGCTTATCAAGTGTGAGGGGTGTGTGTGTACAGTAGATGGGTGCAGGGGACAAAATTAATCAAGGCGTGGCGTCTTGATTTTCAAGCAAGCTTTCTCTCCTTTCGCTCTCTCGTAACCGCTTTCTCCAACACCATCACATTCACGCAGCCAACCCAATTCCAATGAAGAAGGAACCCACTTTTTGCTTTGAACGCCTCTCTACCATCAACAACATCCATCGCTCCACACGGTCTTGGTATCGACGTTAACCAGCCCATCGCGTACTTGGGATCCCAACAACCAATCCAACCGCACACAGCAATGAACGTTTGTTCTTTATCTGAAGCAGCATGCGTCGTTATCAGCAGACGTTTCAAGCCTGTCAACGTCTCCAACAACTATGTCAAAGGTGTCGTTGGTTCCTCGTGCCTGTCAAGATGATGTTTGGATACGGCTCTACTGGGCTTGATCAAGGGTGAGTACCTTCACTTACGTAGGCATCAGTAGGAAGCTTTTTCGCTAATACTTTTATTTGTAGGGATGCGCCTTACGACAATGGATCTATATGTCACACCTTGCGACGACAGCTCCATCTATGGTATTCCTGACACAGCATTGAGAAAAGACTTTTATTATCCATTCGCATACCAATGGTATCATAATGATAGGTAAGGAAAAGGGGGATGGTCTGGGTGGGTGAACAAGGTATTGAATGCAAGCATCTTTTTTTCAAAGCAATGGCAATTTTCAACCCTTCATCCAACACATGTGGTTGTCGAGAAGAATTTGTGGGACGTTTTGAAGGACCAGGCACAGATCAACATATGAGCACGTGGATGCTGGATTGGATTGCATGACACATTACCTGCACACTGGCAATGAGACCATGGTTTTGGCGCTTAACCACAGCATTTGATTTCAGCTTTAGTATGCGATGGCAAAGGAACAGCGAAGGATGCAGTGTTGGAAAGATCCCGACATTGCAGCAATCAATCACTATATCGCTCAGTCCATGGCACTTTGATCACCTTTGTCTATTGATGGGAACATGAAAGACCGTTGGAATGGATCATTTCGCCCCTGGAACAAATGGAGATACGCAAAAGCTTGACATGCAGCTACTTGGATGTTCTACAATGCGTGACAGCATGTTGGCTATATACCAACTGGATCATGGATCAACTCAAGAGGATATAGCTGAGGGGAACTACTTTTGGATGAGCACAACAATGAACATCAAGGATCATGTGAAAAGAAACGACAATGAAATGCAATGCTTCAATACACCGAGTCCCCCAATATTTTTCGACGCCTCCGTATTTTCCACAAGATCAACAACACCATCCACTGCTATATACACCCCATCCATCTTGCGATATTCCACACTTTCAGACTTGCCACATGTCGCAGGCAACCACTTTAATGGTTACTTGTTGGATGATGGGGACCACCAATGAGACTACAACGAACGGCAACAATTGCCACGCATCCTTATCAAGTTTCATTGTCAAGAGTCGCTCATGACCTCGACTGCTGGGACTATGGACCTGATTCCACATTATCATTGTTGACCGACTCTCGCCATCATTTTATCCCAACCACTCGTCATTTCAAATCAATCGCTTGTTGCTGGCTTCCAGCATGTTTCAAAAGATCTTGGGAGATGTATCTCCGTAACTTGCCGTCATGGTTACATCATCATCTTGGATACGAGTATGCTTTCCTATGCAACAGCACATGTCATCGTGTATCGCCCCCAAGGTTCCTCTTTATGGTACGCTCGTTCACTAAAGGTATGTGAACCATGGCAAGAAAAACCAACATCTCATTAAAGCATTCTTTTTCATTTGGATAAAGTAGTTGGATTGACATTGGGTTCTATGGCGATGATACAAACCAAGGGATACGGTGCGTTGGCATGGAAACATAAGCAAGGGCTCATGCGATCAACCACAGCGATGACAAAGGAACGGCTGCAGGATTGGGATGACAAAGATTCTGGTAATGGATTCCAGTTGCATTCGACGTTTGGTGCTTGGCTACTCCCTAATTTCCCATATCCTGGATGGTACAAGAAACGCAGCTACGATCTGTTTACGGCGTTCAATACACATGAAGCGGCTACGGCAATGATCCGATACCGAATGGTACAAGGGCACAGCGACAGCCTTTAGAAATATGCGATCCGTAGGACACTTTTCAATGCTTTCTTCTTCAATGAATCTTTTTGTGGGATCGAACATGGAAATCTTTGTGCAGCCTAGTTTTATCAGGGATGCTCGTTGATGTCGATAACATGGTTACTTTTTCGATGATGATTGTTCTTGGGTGTACATGGGTCGATTGGATGAAAAAGGGAAATTGGGGGTGGGCTCCATATAAATGAAACTTTGTTGGGTTGAAGAAAGAACGATGAAGGGCGATGACTGGTATTGGAGGATTCATTGGTGCTATCACCATTGGGTTGATATTACTTGAGGATCAGTGATGCTTCAGAGTAATCTTTGTCATGTACAATGTGTGCAAGAAATAAAGAACATGTCCACTTCAACTATCTCATAGGAATCTTCTCCTTGTATCACTGGTGGTGGTACACAAAATCATAAATCCGAACGAGGAGGGATCTCCTTACGAAGTTGGACGTGCGAGTACCCTTGTCAATAATTTTACATCTCTTTCCCAATATGAGATCCCCAGCTATTGATAAGGTTTTCATACATCGGCATTAGGCGACATTGTTAACCTTGGTGGCTAATATGACTACCGAACTTACTAGGCGCTTGCGCAAACATGGGAACTCTTTGGCCCAGGGGCTTTGTTGATAGTACGTGGCACAGTATATACGTAGAAGTGCAACAAGGCAGCGCCAGACACTGTTCCATTTCTCACACCTTTCTTTCCACTTTTCACCATGACATGCGACGCTGACGAATACAACAACCCTTACAAAGTATACAAGTTTATGATTTCTTGAGACATTGAAATTAGTATTGATGGCTTCTTGTTTAGATCAATATAAACCTAGTGGATGACAAAGATGGCAAACGTAAGAGGTTTTTCGAAAAAGGACTCGGCGCACTCTTAGACGACAACTATTTTCTACTACTCTACGTACCTGAAAATGGAGGCCGAATGCAAGTTGTGCGGCCTGCCAGTGATCTATTCCATCGAAAACGCATCATCAAAAAGATTAATGAAGTGAAACGCATCCCATCGTTTTATTATGCATTGTCACATCTTTGGGGGCTTAGAAAAGACAACCGATACTTGTGGAATGAGATTGGTGAACATGTGGATGACGAACAAGGGCAACCTGTCAAACCTGTTTCGATGCGACCTGAAAAGCGAGATGCCTTACTAGCACTACTCAAAGATCACCCAGACAGCTATTGGTGGATTGATGTTTTATGTGCACGTACCGATACACCCTTGGATATCATGGGCGATATTTATGCATGCTGCCTTGAATGTATTGCTATGATTGATTGTGAGCCTACTTTGATATCAAAGATTCACACTATGTCGGATGCGGTGGACGAAGCCGAGAAATTATGGCGCGAATCTGGGGAAGGATTTCTAACAACACAGCAGTTACATGGGACTAAAAGTTCCCAGTTGATGGAACTCGTATACACATTCTTACAAAGCGAATGGTGGCAACGTGTATGGACTTGGCAGGAGATGGCTCTACCTATGGGAGATGTGCGATTTATGGCTGAAACAGATACATGCCTACCACAAACCAATACAATCACGCTGAATGAATTACTTGGATTTCGAAGTGTCCTACCTATTTCCGAAACATTACGCCCTGATATTGTACGCGGTACGTTTCATAGGATTGTCGAATTGACATGGACGAACGCTGCTAACAAGCTGGCCAGAAAATCACGGGCTTTGGACACCTTTCGAATTTCATCGAAGACTCAGTGCCATATACTTCGCTAGAGAATCCAAATCTCATCGTATCAAGGCAAGAAATGCGAGATTGCACTCTATAATGATGTCATTGATGTATTCCAATCGACGATGTTATGATCCATGTGATTACGTTTATGGTGTGCTAGGGGCAATGCAGATTAAAATCCCGAGAATGGACGATCCGGATGAAGTTTGGCGCCATTTCTTGTCAGAGCTGGATGCTTTAAGTCCGCTTGATCTTAGCCCATGGATTGATCATGCAGATGAAATCGATTTACGAGAAGTTGAAAATATTGGTGAAGTATACAAGAAGCTATCAGACATCTATTTGGAAGACGGAATCGCTGGAATATTACCGTCTAGTTTCAACAAATTGGATCCATTACAATGATTGGAATCATTATTAGTGCTCTTGCATTATTGTAGTGAGCTGATGTGTGATAGAATGAAGGTGCATGTGGAAAGAATGTGTTGGGGTCATGTAACACGTTGTTGGCGAAAAACGGGGCAAGGTGTCTCCCTCTCTTTCACGTCTCCTCTTTTCCCCACTCAACTTGGACAACGGCTTTCTCAACTATACAATGCCTTTCAACATGACACAGCTCACGGCCACCAATGCGATGCATCCATTACAATTCTGCAACGAGCCTTTGAAGACAACCGACGATCGTGTTCTTTTCCTCGACATTCGACGCTGTCGATCTATAGCAATTGGTTTCCAAGAGTCTTTGCTTCATGGCGTAATACTACCACATATCGTTGATGATATGCAGCAGCTTTATTCATTAAACGACACATATTACATCATCGTTCCTTCATTACACCAAATGCCAACCCATTTATCAAGGTACAAAAGTGATCTCACACAATCGTGGCAATCATCTCACGTTATATGATGCAGGTGGAGGTCTCGAGTCATAGATTTCTAGTTTGGATGTGGCAACGTATAGTCACTTTCGATGTTTGTCATCTGATCGATCGCTTGTTGGCAAAAACTCTCAACCTCACCTACCCAACTGCTTCCTCATGCTCAACCCATCACATCAGATCATATACAATCGCACCCAGCAACCTGTACTCGGACTTCGTTTCAACTGATGGATTATATACAAGCTCAGTACCTTGGAGTGATTGAAGCAGCTCGCGACAACACGATTGGATCTTGAGACATTGGCTATGATTACTTGTCACGTGAACAGCAGCAAGGATGGGTCATGTACTTGAGTAAAGGTGGCTTACAAGCAACCATGGATCACATGCAATACTTGAATCAATGCACACAACGACACTATCTGTACACATCTTCCTTGACAAAACATGCCTTGAGCTACAAGACGTTCAATCAATTTCTACAATATGGGTGCAGCTGCAAGCATAATCATGATGGTAAGGAGGTCCACAGGGCTTTGGTGATTCAACTAGATATTGAAGTCTGCTGCTAAAGGGATCGGAAGAGCAACAACATCACGGCCTTTATTCAAGAAAAAGCGATGGATGTGGATCAGCAATGTCAAAGGCGGCTCACGAATCATATATGTGATGCAATTCAATGGCAATTGGGAGCAAGTGACACTCATTGTATTAAACATACTGAAGGATGGTGGTCTTCAAAGGATGTCAAGGGCTACAGCAGGTCCATGGGGTTGGAAAATGGTTGGAAAGGTAAGGCAACCCTTGTTTTCTCATGCACGTGAAGCAAAATCAGTTAAGCTCACCTCCCTATCATTTTGTAGTTTATTGGGCGCATAGCTCTCATGCATAGGATATTCTTCTGTTGGCATTCGTTAGCATACAACATTCACATTATCCCCCGAAGACATATAAAAGAAGGATGATCATTGGAAATCACGAAAGTTTATTGTCAGCTGGAATGGAAAGGGGAGAGAGAAGCCTGGTATCTGGGATTAGGAAAGGTGCTCATGACAACGATGAGGATGCTGCAGGGAAAACCAAAGAGGATTTACGGAAATGAGTTTGTGGTTTCGCATAGAGATACCATCAACGAGGCGAACCATTGGAAGAAAGAAGGACGACCATCATTGAAGGGGTTATGATGATGACAATGAGGGGATCAAGGAAAGTTATAGAGGGAATCATATGGCTGATTCAAGTTGGTATGTGGGGTTGGATGTCCAATCAGCACCAGCAGCAACGAGAGAGGGACATTGTCAAAGATGACTGAGGGAGCTACTATGATACGCTGATCAACTTTGTTCTCATAAAGATGCCATTGTTGATTGTATGTAAGATTTTGAATGGGAGTGTGTCTGTAATGTGGTAGAGACTATGAGCGGCCCGTGGCATATGGTACATGATACTACATATAAGAAAAGCATCCATGATATTGGGATTACCGGTCTTGAACTTGCAACCATGATGCAGTACAAGATGTTCTCGGGAATGATGATCAACGTTGTTGTTCCGGTTTCCGGAGGATGTTATTGCGTCTTAGTGTAAACATGGGTGGCAAAAGGTTGGAGTCTTCCTGTAAACATGAATACCAAGAGATTGTGAGGTCAACATGCAACAGGGCGGTGATGATGACAGTATGAATGTTCAAGCTTTATGGCGGGGTTGTTACCATGTACATGTATCATGGATACGTATAAGCTTTATTCAACATTACATCTATAGCAGAAAATAGTTGGAGCTTCATTCGGTTGCACAAGTTTGGGCTGATGCTTCGTGTAACTCTAGCATCCAAAAGTGCTGCTGCGCGATGCAACACCATACGACAAAGTGATGATGGAGACGTCTATGATAAAAGAGCATGCAATCTCGAGGAACAGGTGCGTACGATACAACGGCTGTGGATGTATAAAGAAAAATCCATGCATAGAGGCTCCATCATCTCTCTTTCCGCTACCACGTTGCATAAGTCTGTATGTATATATATATAATTGTTGTGCGCCACACTTGATTCACCTACCTCTTCTTCTTCACTCTTTTTGTTATGCATGAACCTCAACCGATTGCCATTCAAAGACACCATGCAACCGAGACGATCGCCGATGCAGCTCGTCGGCTTGAAGAATCTACCCAACGACGCCTTGTCCTTCTGAACGATCGAGCCAGAGCATTAGCAGCAAGTGCCAAGTTTGAAGCAGCATTGAATGACGCGACGACTATGCAAACGTTAGCACCTTCTTCAGGGATGGGATACTTGTGTGCAGGTCACGTGCATCAGCTACAAGGACGACATCGAGCATGCATTGATGTATGTGATCGAGGACTTTCAGCTGTGCCCTCATCCGACACCTACTACTACCAGCAGTTGGTTGATATGCGATCCATGGCAGAAAAGCACAACAACGTATACGTCGACTTTGTCAAGGAGCTTTCTTTGGAAATCGTCGAGCTCATTGTGGATAACCTCTTTACGGATGATACGAGGATTCGAATGGATCATCTTTGCCAGTATCTCTCAATATCCCATCTATGGCGTGAAAAGATCTTGCAATCCATGCGTCGTTTACATCTTGTCAGTGAGCCGGGCAAGGATTTGGTTGATAGCAGTGGATACATCTTGAAGCATACAGCACCCTATGCAGCCGCATTGACGATCAAATACGAAGCGACTTCGGCCTACAAGTTATTCCAGCAATACGAATTTCCATCACTACGATTTCTGGACCTGGATGAGTAAGTGGTTTGAATTTTTCAATGATTGGATGGATCCTCTCATTTACGTGTATGTACGAAACTAGAGTATACCCTGAGGATGCTGATACAGCGACCGCGCTTTTATCCTTGACATCGGTGCAATCGACTGTGACGCATTTGGATATGAAGATGGAGAATTTGAATTATTCACTTGGTGACATCCTTGGCACATTTCCACACCTTGTTTCGTTGACATGTCACGATATCAACAGTGATCTCACCACTGCATCTGATACTTATCCCCAATTGAAGGAGCTGAAGCTTTGGAACGAAGAACGCGGGTTTGAATCGGATGATTTGAAGATGATGACACAACGACTACCAGCACTCGAGATATTTTCAGTGAACCCATGCCTGGATACCAGTGCTTTATCGATGATTCAAGACAATTGCCCCAAGCTCAAGCTTATCGCTTACAACGATTATCGGAACGAGGAATCCTACATGCGGCGTATCACATACAAGGGCATCAACGACAAGTCAGGTGGTGGTGGCACTAGCAACAACAACAACAACGACTTGCAATCACTCAATGTCAACTTTGTGGCGGGTGACACCTTTGAAGTGGATATGCTGGACATCATTACATCCATCACGCGTAATAGCCACAGCTTGCAATCCATCTTTTTCTGTTACAATTCAAAGGTCGACGTCAGGATTTACCTTCCCATCTATGAACATGTTACGCTTAGTCACTTGACCAGCTACACGCACAAGATCAGCCATCATGAGCATGTGCAGCTTGCCGTAGCTGTGATTAGGCGATCACCCCATTTAAGGGTTATTGAATTGTTCAAAGGACCACGGCTTTCGGTGGATGATGATGATGATGATAACAACAACAGCCGACGCATTTATTATCGGGAACTCACTGAAGTATTTGTTGCCATGACAGGCCTTGCAGATTTAGAGGTTGCCGACATTCGCATCCATAGCCGTAATGCAGCTATGGGTATAGAACACTTTCTTCGATACCACAACAGCATTGATTCCAAGCTACGCACTTTGTATGTCCCAAAGCGTACCGATTTATCTCCGGACACGTTGGAGTTGCTGACGGGGTTACCACGATTGGAAAACTTGACACTGAGGCTGGTGATAATGGCGACATCAATGGACACAGCAGACGACTTTATTCGTACGGGTCGCCAATTACTGGAATCGTTGGCAAGGAAATGCCCGCTTATACACACGCTGACGTTGTACGATTTCCATGGCCTTGAACTGCTCTCCTTGCGATTCTTCCCTAACCTCAAGTCATTACGCTTAAAAATCGACAATATTGCTTGCTCTGACTTGGTGGTGTTGCTGCAATGCCCCAAACTCGAGGACTTTTATATAAAGCTACGTTCCCCGGCCCCATACGATGAGATAGATCAAGAACTTGATACCATGCTGAGAGAGAAGATGAGAGTATATGCATCTAATAGTAGCTAGTTAGTAAATGTGATCCCTGTAAATCTGCAAATAAATGAGGATGATACAATAAACTCTAAATACATGAATATATCCTGAAAAGCTGCGATTGCGCTATGTACAGCCTTGATGACAACTTTATCAATTCACGCAAATAAAGGCAAGGGTAAATAGAGAGTAGCATGCGACCACAAAACATAGCATAAGGGCTGATCCATATGCAGATAGCGTTGCCAAGGAACGGAAGGGGTTTTAACAACAAAGATATCGTCCCTATTGATGCACATCATCTTTGTCATGTGCATTGTCTTCCAAGGTAACATTGGATGATACCCGCGCCATCAACACTGTTATCCATTTGACTATGTGCATATGTACATAAAGCGATCACAGGGGGTGCTCATTGGTATGCACAGCCTTAGACTCTTTTAATAACAACATAATCCAGGGCACAGTAATGGGATCATAGCTGATAATATGAGCGCTCTTGAATGGGTAGTAATTGATCTTTATTTTCAGAAAAGGGTTGCATGCAGAAGAAGAATGTCCGTAAGATCACGAGCCTCATCTTAGAGTCAACCTCCATTATTATCCAAGCCCACTTGTTGACACGCCACAAATGAAGCATTCAAAAAAGTCAATCAATTCGGCTTTATCAGGGCTTAGCTCGCCCGTGTGTATCACAATGAAGGAGGCTTGCAGAATGTGTAACCACTAAGTAGGATGCGAGGTATGGGCAATGCATACAAGGGCAATTTGGAGATACGATGATTGATGGGAGTCGATGCTATGTATATTACGTTGATGTCGTCATACAATCTTTACTGTAAATAGGGGAGAATGACTATATGGAAATCGGTTGAGTCAAATATCGAGGGGATCGTATCACCGAAGGTTCGTACCACCTCTCTTTCTCTCTCTCTTTCTTATGCTTTATACGCGCGTGTTGACTCTCGCAGTATCATGTTCTCTACCCTATCTTCAACATGACAGCCACCCTGATTGCAAAACACAACTCGTCCTGCCCATCCGACAACCATGCAGACACCATTGCGAGGACAACCCGGGAGCTGGAGGAGTTGACAAACGAGGATCTTGAACACCTTTACAGACGTGCAGTCGCTTTTGTCATGTGTGGCAAGTTTGAAGCAGCAATGGAGGATGCTAGCACCATGCTCTCGCTATCGCCTTCATCAGCTTTGCCGTACTTATGTATGGGTTACGTGTATGAACAACAAGGACGCTATGGTGCAGCTATTCAAGCGTATGATGAGGGACTCCAAGCAGTTTCATCTGCCCAACCTGATTACCAGCAGCAGCTATCCAAAGCACGATCCACAGCACAATCTCATAACGACACACGCGTCGATTTCATAAAACGCCTTCCAACTCATGATGTGATCAAAAAGATAATGGATCATACACTACCACTAATACTACCCAAGGAGACGACAATCCAAACGCACCAGTTGTACGAGTACATGAACGTGTCACATGTATGGAGAGAGCGGATCATGCAATGTCTTCCTGAAGATTTACATCTTGAACTCGAGCATCATGATGAACTTGCAAAGATGGATTATCTACTTGAACATGCAGCATCACGCGTCATCGCATTGACTGTCAATTGTTCCGTTACCCATCCTCAATCGCTATTACCAAGCATCAGCCATTTCTCATCACTTCGCTCATTGTGCATTAAAAAGTAAGTATGGTGCACCAAGTATCCACATCATCTCTAACATAAGGGTAATAGGATGGCTCACGATGCACCACGCTCTATGTTGGCTTTGCTATCCCCGATGGCATCGACGTTGGAACATTTGGATGTGCGTAGTAGTGACGATCATGATCATTTCTCGCTTGGTGATATTCTCAGCACCTTTCCACAGCTTACGTGGTTACGTTGTCATGGCAACATGGGGGATATGGCTACAACAGCGCCTACTCATTGCCCCAAGCTCAAGACGCTTCTTTTCTCAATGTCCAACCATACCCTTCAATACGAGCACATTATGGACCTCACAACACGATTCCCGGAACTGAGGCAGTTGGCTATTCATCCTTGCAAAGATACACGTGCTTTGACAAGCATTCCCGAGCATTGTCCCCGTCTCAAGATACTTTATTACAACAGCGTCAACCACGTGAGCAGCATTTCGAACCTTGGATTGGAATCATATCAGCAAAAGGATGGTATTGAAGCACTACACCTTGGAAGCAAATCAAAGGAACCAATACTTGTGGATATAGAGGACCTTGTTTCCTTCCTGAAATGCCATCATCACAGCCTCCAACACCTGGATTTACGCTACATGTTGACCGATGCATCCATTATCAGCTTTGGCAGCTTGGTGCATGATGATGATGATGATGATGATGACGAGGGAACGTTGTTCGAGTCATTAAGGAGTTATTCGCAGACGGTGTACAGCAATGAGGATTTACTATTATCGAGATGGCTTATCAAACGATCACCCCATTTGAAAAAGGTTGAGCTACAAGAGGATGAGGATGATACAACTTCAAAGTACGATCTGGGACCTCTATTCGATGATTTGGCATGCCTTGATGAATTGGAGGATCTCCAAGTGGATATTGGATGTGAAAAGATCGGCAATAGTACTTCTCGTTTTCTGGAACATCACAGCAAAATCGATTCTCTCTTGCATACATTGGTGTTTCCTAAGAATTTCCATGTCCGTGGCGAGATGGCAGACCTGCTAGGATCCTTACGACGATTAGAGCGCTTGTCGATCCAAATGTACGACGCGAGTAATCTGAATGGCATTCAAGAAGGGTGTCCACAGCTGAGGCATCTTACCATATACTCTGTTTTCGACCTTATTGGTTTCAAGATGGCTTTGAGCCTAGCCTCCATGACCAACCTAGAAACACTCTGCATTCGAGCGAAAAAATTTGAGTATGGGCTTATGCTTTGTCTTAAGGGGTTGCATCAACTACAAGAATTGACCATTTGCCGAGAACATGAGGAAGGAGATATTGAAGACTGTGTGGATCCACCGGCGTATTTTGATATGTTACCCTTCACAGTACGGATTTTAGAGTATTGAATTTAATAAAAGGTGGTGTTGTGTTCTGCATTTTCTAGATCATTAGCTTATTGCTGTACTATACGTGTGTTACAATGAAATAAACTTCGGGAGGTGGAAGATAAAACTAGCTTTTCAATGGCGTGTTTTAACATGATGCAGCGTCGTTCATATGCTGCCAATCTCAAGATCTTCAGCATACATACGTTATTAAGGGGCTCTTTTGGAATCTTTGCTTTAACACCAATACATAACACCGATGATGATTGTGACTTTTGACTCGCCATTTGGGTACAAGGAATCCTCTTTCAAACACGGCTGTCAATTGTGTTCGGACTCTGTCCCATTTATGCGCGAAAACGGTAACACAACCTTGAGACACGTGCGTGCTAATATCATTGGACATTGCTGCTCGGCCTGTATTGCTTCCAAAATAATACCAAGGATCAATGAAGGTAACCAAGGGATTCATTCCGATAGTATGCACGTATGACTAATCAAGAGCCAAAAGGTGTCGCAATCATCATGCATCCACAATGTTGGATGAGATTGGCATAAGGCTTCTCAAGATGCATACTTTGCTTTCTCTCAAACCACTTTGTATGATATTTCACGTCAATGTGATGACACAAAGAACAGTGATTTGCAATCCTCAACAATCAGGTGACCACTTTATTAGCAGCAAATGCCAAGCTCGAAATAGTAATGCGATGATGATACGACAACAACTTCATATGCAAGCGATAGCTCCTTCATCACGGATGGTGTACATATACATCAGCTACAAGGAGGATATGGGTCCTGTATCGATATTTGGGATTAGGTGCTTTCAGCGGTATCATCCTTATCACGTTGCTATGCGATCCACAGTGGTGACGCATAAAGATACATGCGGTGATTCGAATCCTGACGACCTCTCTCTTACTCTTGTAACCTCACTCCCCTTTCCACCACCATCACACAGCAACCGATCTCTGCAAAGAAACCACCTGTTGTTATGGACTCATCGCTCGACACCGCCATGCTGTCAACATTAAGCAGCCCATCGCGTACATGAACACCAACAACCAATGCAACCGAATACAGCAATGAACGTTTATTCTTTATCTGACGCAGCATACGTCGTTATCAGCAAATCGGCTTGAGCTTGTCAAGTCTTCAAAGGTGTTAGTTTCTCATGCCTGTCAAACGTGGATACGGCTCTACTGGACATCGTCGAGGGTGAGTATCATCATGAAAGAGTAGGATCAACACGAGCCTTTTTCGCTAATGCTTTCGTTGCTAAGGATGGGGGTTTACGACAATGAATCCATGTGTCACACCTCACGAGCACAGCTTCATCCATGGTATCTCAAATACAACGTTAAGAAGAACATACGCCAAATGCAATCATGATGATGGGTAAGGGTGAAGACATGGTCTGGATGGATGAACAAGGTATTGAATATGAGTATTACTTTCCAAAGGGATTGCCGTATCCATGGCAAAGGATCGGGAAGGATGTATGGACATGGTTGAAGGTCAAGATACGGATCAACCACATGGATGCTGGATTACATGTCACGTTACCTGCACACTGACAACGAGGCCATGGTCCTTGTACCTCACCGCAACACGACATCAACGTCTTTTCAAGCTGCATCACGTGATGGCAAACGAGCAATGGCAATACTATACCGACATAGCAGCAGCCAAACACCTATCACCCAATGCATTGAGCTTCGATCACTATTACATATTGCTGGAATCCGATTTGCCCCATGAACAACTGGAGATCCTCAAACGTTCGACATGTTGATTATTGTTTCACAAAGACGTATCTTGATTGTCAGCTAGTGATTGGATCAATTCAAGCGGATAAAGATGAGGAGAACTAGGACATATTCATGTCACCTACAAAATATCACCTTTCATGCCACAGGTGGATTTATCACTTCGACTCGTTACTCCAAGATGATGCATCATGACCACTTTATCAGTTCGATCCATCATGACCACAATTCGCACGCCCACTCACATATAAACACGGCTGTTGTCACCAACACCATCGTACGTCCTTTTTTTCTACTTGTATTCATATCATTGTCAATGGCCTTTGGTAAGTCTCAAGAATAATCTTTACGTGATCCCCAAAATGATGGTATTCATGATGCTATGTAGCTCACATCATTGCTTTACCACTTGGAGCGCTCGTTGGTGCCTAATGACATTTGGCCGTATTCCTTGATGAACCCTTTGGGGTAGGTACAACTACCATTTATATGTTAAAAGGATGCCAAGACTGATGGGAGAATTGAAGGCTTCGTTGTAGGCGACATGAGTACATGCGGAGAACTACCTTTGGATTGGATGATGAGTGTACACACCAGGGACATCTGAGAAGAGCTTAACAACGACAATGTTGGCTGATTGCATGATGGAGAGCAACAATGACACCACACACAATGAAATGACGACCACGTATTACCATCAGGCACCACCGTCAAGACATTCTCATTTTATCAATTGGAGGCACAGGCATGTTTTTTTCCATCGTCATCTCTATCGGTCAACATTCCATCCTATAATTCAGCTGCTTGATCATGCTCACTCTATCGACATCATCCGGTGGATGAGGATCCATGTTTCTGGTCCGTGAGTTTACGCCCATCACATAAATACAAGGTTACGGATCAACATCTCAACACTATCACGGATCGCTATGCAACAGCACACATGACTTGGATAACGCCGCAAAAGAGATCTTCTATGATGCTCTCATTTATAAAGGTAAAAGGAGGCTTAGCCTTACATTCACAAGAAAAAGCAGGATCTCACTAAACATACTCTTCTAGCTTAGCTAATGCGTGAAGAATCCATGGATCCTATAACCATGGTACAAACCACGTCACAATCGGGTCGACGAGGCATCTATGATCACCACCAATGATTACAACGTGTTGGGATTCAAGGATTATAATGGGCTGCTACGATCACATTGCGATGGGCTAAGGAACCACTGCACGAACGGATGAGAAGGACTATAAGATGAAGGGCTACGACTACATATGTCTTATGGTGCTTGCCAACCACCCTAATACGGGATATCATGGATGATGTGTACGGCACCTTTGGCGATTACATTTACCAGTCTTATGATGGGCGTCGGCAATGATCCAATACCAAATGGAATAAGGGCACAGTGACATACATTAGAAACATTGTAGCCATCGGCGTTTTGTTGTTTATAGAACATTCGTGTGGAATCCAACATGATAAAATGTTTGCATCGTACTGCATCTTCATCAACGCATGCTTGATAATGTGGAACACGTGTTTGGTTTCCAGGATGACTACTATTTTTCGATTGATTATATGAAAGGCGGGACCACGCTGCTTCGTATGATTGCATTGCAGCGTTGTTGGATTGAGAGAAATAGGATGAATAACGAAGATCGGGATTGAAATCAGTATACTATATCATGTACAGGAGAATACTCTTTCTTGTGTGTGGGCACGTTTTATGTCATCCAGGCATACATATTTCTTATTATGGATGAGCGTAGCAAAGCTTATTGTAGCGATTAGCCAATGGCGTTTTATATATACCCAGCTATTGAATCTCAATAAAAAGCTTACTTTTGTGTGTACATTCCATATTATAAATTCGGAACGCTGGGACCGCATCCGAAGTTTGAGATGCAATCCCCTTGGTCAACGCTTTGTACTTGCAAGTACAAAGTTCCTAGTACAATAACATAGGTCCGGTTTTCGCCAACCAGTGGTGATTTTACATAGTTTCCATGTTAACCTAGGTGGCATTATGGAGATCATGATAAGACGGCGTTTGCTTATACATGGCAATGCTGTTCGCTTTACAGTTTAGGGGCACTGTTGACATCTTGGATGTGACACGACACATCATGCCTCAAAAAGTATGAATAACGCCGCAGTGGACAGTCTTTTCGTCTTCACATCCCTTTTCTTCTTCCATTTTCCTTGACATGACCTACGACACTGAGGAAGATAACGACCCGTATAAAGTATGTACATGCACATAGGACAGCATACATGTGAGAAGGTAGATATTTACAAGGTTCCTTTAGATCAACATAAGATTAGAGGATGACGAGGACAGCAAACGAAAACGGTTTTTCGAAAAAGGGCTCAGCACACTCTTAGACGACGAGTATTTTTTGCTCCTCTACGTGCCTGCAAATGGAGGCAAGATGAAAGTTATAAGACCTGCCAATGACGCATACCATCGAAAGCGCATCATCAAAAGAATCAATGAAGAACGACGCATTCCATCTTTTTATTACGCCTTATCGCATCTTTGGGGTCTCACAGAAAACAACCGATACCACTGGAATGATATCAGTGAATACGTTGACGACGAACAAGGACAATCAATGCAACCTGTTTCCATGCGAGATGAGAAACGAGATGCATTACTTACAATGCTTAAGGACCATCCTGACAGCTATTGGTGGATCGATGTCTTGTGTGCACGCACTGATACCCCACTTGATATCATGGGAGATATTTACGCTTGTTGCCTTGAATGTATTATCATGATCGATTGTCAGCCAAGCCTTATACCGAAAATTCACACACTCTACCAGCAGTTACATCAAACGCCGGGTTACGAGCGAATTGAAGTCTTGGATACCTTGGCTACATTCTTGCAAAGCCAATGGTGGCAACGTGTATGGACCTGGCAGGAGATGGCTCTCCCTGTTGGAGATGTGCGCTTTACGGCTGAAACAGATATTCATGGACTACAATCCAACACAATCACTCTGGAGAAATTACTTGAATTTAATACTCTGATGGGTGATACTCTGATGGGTGATGGTCTGACGGTTACTTCCTATCATTTGCAACATAAACTACTACACGGTATGTTCCACGCGAGGTTAGGATTTGATATTGACAAACACTGCTAACCAGTTGACCAGATTACGGCAAAGAACTGTTATTCTTGGAAGTTGCTCAAAGATTCAGGGACATAGACTCTGCAAGAAAATCCAACGTTGTTCGTAGAGCGACAACTGAATCAGTGCATGGTGTAATGATGCCATTGATGTATTCCAATCGACGATGTTATGATCCGTGTGATTATGTTTATGGTGTACTGGGAATGATGCAGATCAAAATCCCAAGGATGGATGATCCCAATTCTGTTTGGCGCCATTTCTTGTCAGAGCTGGATAATTTAAGTCCGCTTAAGTTTGGAACATGGAGTCATCGTGCAGATGACATCGATTTACGAAAAGTTGATAATCTTGGTGACGTATACGGCAAGTTGTCTATGATATATATTCGTGATGTGAATGGCCTTTATTATTAAAATGACTATGATGATTATTTGTGCTCTTGCATAATGTTAGCAGGAGACAGATGTCACGCTATTGGTGAAGATGGGTTGTGGTAGGATTAAATTTCATTTCACGTCTACTCTTCTTCCCACTTGGACATTGCCATTCTCAACCACTACTTCCCTTCTGGCATGACACTAGTACATGGGCACCAATGCGACTCATCTGTTAACGATTCAACAACGAGTAAACGAAGACAGCCAGCGATTGTGTCCTTGCTCTCCATTTAACGCTGTTGATCTGCAGCAACCGGTTTCCAAGAGGTTTTTGTCTCATGGCATATCACTACAACATATTGTCGATGATATCCAGCAGCTTTATTCATTCAACGACACGCATTCTCGGTTCATGTTACTGCTACCAAGGCTTTTGAGTACTAGTCGACCCTTTATCAAGGTAAGAGGATGATGGCATATCACAATGGTGACAATCTTCTCACGTGTGTGCAGCACAATGTTTTGAGTCCTGCTTTTCAAGTTTGGATGTAGCAACGCTTTTCACTTTAGATGTTGGAATATCCAGGTAGCAATTGGATGGGGTGGAATATGGTGAAGAGAAAGGTGATAATTGACATGGCCATCTTGTATATAGTGAGGCTGCACGATGCGAAAACATTGATTGTGGATGATGCCACCTTGTCAACAGGAGCTGGAACATGCGAGGAGACTCTGGAGCGCGTACTCGACATGATACCTTGAGAAAAGAACCACTTTGTCGACATTTCAACGACATCCACCGATTTGAAAATCATTATACGTTATGAAGATCGAGACAACCACCAGCATTGGCAACTTTGGCGATTGAACACATGGAAGTCTGATATGATGATTTGGATATGGTTATGGGCACCTGGTGAACCAATGGATTACGGGGTCAATTCTTGATAACGAGGATGAGGAAAACTATTTGATAAGGAGGATATCGACTATAAACGTTACCCAGCATGACACCTGAATTTGAACATTTGATGCACAGAAACGGCAATCACTTAAATGAATGATGGAGAGCAGCAATTATCAACAAAGTGATCAACGACATCGTATTCTTATCAAGCTTCATTGTCGTCGCCTTGCTCTTAGTTGCAGATATGGACCTGAACCCACCTATTGTATTTATCATTGTTTGCCAGCACTCGCATCCCTACCCATTCAGCTGCTTCATCCTTCTCAACCATCACTTCCCTATGGAACGCAGCAAACATGCATTCGGATTCGTATTACATTTCACTCAATGGATCTATGATTGGGAACATACTATTGAAGCAGCTAGCAACAATCCCATTGGATCATTGGACATCTGCGACATGATCATCATTGACCTGATTTTGCAAGCTTTACCTCCATCACTTGGCGACGTGGTTAGGAATCATCACCTCAACAAGGATGTCGTCTTTTGAAACAGCACGCGTGATCATATATCGCTTCAAGGGTTTCTTGATGGAACGCTCTCACTATGGTAAGAGGAAGAAGGTGTCTTACATTGACAATGGGAAGAAACATAACATTAAAACATGCATTTATAGATTGGCGAATGCATTTGAGTGACCATGGCATCATTCGGTGTAATTTACACGTCGTTTTTCAACAACGTACATCACCATTGGATCGAGATGGAACGAAGGATATCACACTTGTGTTCTACAACGATTGAATACGACTGGGTTGGGATTCAAGGATTATCAAGGCGCATGCGACCTGACCGAAGAATCATACATGATGGGAACAGGATTGGATGTGAAGGATGTGGATGGATATACCGGTTGCATATGGCCCATGTTGCTTGGCAACAACCCTGATATGGAATCTCCCTGATGATGCAACGCCCTGCTACAAGTATTGTTGATGGACCACAACACAGACCAATACCGAGAGAGAGTTTTAGAGTACAACGCCATCCATTGGAAATAAGCAGTGCCTTCCTTTCAACAAGCCTTTTCGAGAAATCCAAAATTAAAATCTCTACCGCATTGCGTTTTACTATCATTATGTTGATGTCAATGACGTGGCTATTTTATGATGTATATCATTGTTTGGCTGTGCAGTTGGGGTGGGGTTGAATGAACGACAAGGATGAAGGAAACAATATCATCGCAAGTTGCTTTGAAGGAGAATGGGATTGACAACGAAGGTTCGATTGTCGAATGGATTGGTTGCATGGGAATGGGGTTTATGGGGTTTTATATGATTACAATCTAGTGAGCATGGGAAAAGATACAATGGGCAACAAAGGCTGGTATGGCAACCATCTTCATGAGACCACGTCCTTTGTCACATGATCACAATTACTACAGTAAGCCATTGCTTGCCTGCTTCATGGTGCATAAAAATGCCGAAGGTTGCTCCTCGGTCAGCGGTGTCTCATCATGTATACATAATAAACTTTGCAATTCAATAATGAAAATAAACGGCACCCCCACCTTTAAGCCCACTTCATGGAGATAATGCAGGAGTCGACCATCCGATTTTAAAACTTGAGCTTGAAACCTAGGAATACAAAGAACATAGCATTTTGGTGATGATGAAATGCTTGCACTTACGACCTCATCTCTTGTATCACCTCATTGTGGCATGTCAAAGCACAAAGTCGGATGACGAGCATCTTTCTCCGAGCTTTGAGACGCAAGTGTTTCTGTTGACCAGCGGTACATCCCAATAAAAGTTCTCAACAAGGTATTCATGAATCGGGTGTGTGCTTGTATTGTAATCTTGGTGCAATTGGGACTATTGAGATAAGCTGGTGTTTGCTGCCAATATACCTTTACTAAGGGCCTTGATCCGCATCTCGTATGTAACACAAATACATAACAGCGTACCAAAACCTTGAAACTGCCGCGCCAAACACCGTTTGTATTTTTCGCACCCTTTCTTCTCCGTATTTAAACATGACATGCGACACTGACGAAAACGACAACCTTTATAAAGTATGCACACCTATAGACGACAATACATCTGAAATGATGTTCACAAGACGCTTAGATCGATATAAGAATTGAGGATGATGAAGGCAATCACCTTAAAGAGCTTTTTGAAAAAGGACTCGGTTCACTCTTAGATGATAAGCATTTTTTATTACTTTATGTTCCTGAAGACAATGGTGACAAGATGCAAATTGTACGACCTGCCAGCAATCTATTCCATCGAAGACGCATGATCAAAAGGATTAATGAAGCCAAACGCATTCCATCTTTTTATTACGCATTGTCACACCTTTGGGGGCTTACAGAAAACAACCGTTATCACTGGAATGATATCAATGAATACGTGAATGACGAAAACGGACAACCAGTAAAGCCTGTATCCATGCGACCTGAGAAACGAGATGCATTACTTACAATGCTCCAGGACCATCCTGACAGCTATTGGTGGATTGATGTCTTGTGTGCACGTACCAATACACCTTTGCATATCATGGGTGATATTTATTCTTGTTGTCTTGAATGTATTGCCATGATCGATTGTGATCCAACCCTGATACATACCATTCACACGATGTCGGATAAAGCAAAAGATTTCGAGGAACTACATTTCAATGCAGGAGGATGTCCAACCTACGACCAGATTTATCATACGAAAGCTCCTCAGCTGATTGAATCCTTGTGCACATTCGTACAAAGGCAATGGTGGCAACGTGTATGGACTTGGCAGGAGATGGCGCTTCCTGTTGGAGACGTGCGGTTCATAGCTGAAACAGACACGCTACACCTACCACCAACCCACACAATCACTCTGAATGAATTGCTTCGATTTAAGAAAATGGTGAGGCTCATGTGGGATCGTGGCGTACGCGATACGTTGCATGATAGTACGTTGCATGAGATGCTTCAATTGTTACATATTGACACACGTTGCTAACCAGGTTGGCTAGGAGATGCCAAGGCAATGAAGTTGGTATCCAAGGTACTTGATGACATTTACGGTGCCAGAAAATCAAACAAGTATCGTATCTCGGGAAGCAAGGATAGATTTTACTTTCTTCTGTGGTCATTACGTGATTCCACAAGACGATGTTATGACCCAGCTGATTATGTTTATGGTGTGCTCGGCATGTTGCAGATCAAAATTCCAAGAATGGACGATCCGAATGCTGTTTGGCGGCATTTGTTGATGGCGCTGGATGATTATATGAAAGATGATGATGATGATGATAGGTCTGGCTCTCCAAGTTGCGTTGATCGTGCTGACATCATCGACTTGTGCAAAGCTAAAAATATCGGTTATGTATACAAAAAGCTGATTGAGATCTATTTTGGATTCAAATAAAGAAGCTTTGGAACTAATTACAGTGAGACTAATGAATGTGGATCATGCGCATGGGATGTGGCGGAGAGGGTAAAATGGATGGTGGTGGGTAACGTGCACCTCAGACAGGTCCTCTTTCCACCTCCATTCCACCAACAATGTGCACCTGCAACTACCTCTCACAATCGCTTCCACAATGACACAGTTAACAACGCCAATGCCACGCGTCTGTTACTATTCAACAACACGTAATTGAAGAAGCCCAACGACCGCGTCCTTACTCATCATTAACGCCGTTGATCTTTAGCACCTCGTTTCCAAGAAGCTTTTTGGCGCAGTACTGCAACGTGTTGACAGCAGCTTCACGATACCATATGTCAACCCATTTACCAAGGTAACAGGATGACGGATTATCATACGTAGTCGTAGCGATCTTCTCACGGGTTGTATGATGCAGTGCAATGGTTCAAGTTTTGGATGTTGCGTTGTTTATTTTCTCTTGATGTTGGGTATCAAGGTAACAGGTGGATGGGTTGCTATGTTTTGAGAAAATGGATGATAATTGACATGCTCATCACGTAGTTGATATTCATTTTGGATGATGGATTCTTGTCAACGTACACGGGAGCCTACGAGGGATACTCGACAACATCTGCGATGGCAAATGAAAAGGTGTTTCGACATGACATTGCAATCCACATTCTATACCACATCAAGGTGTTGCGCCTGAAGGATCGTTGTACGCTTTTGAAACTGAGAAAAGCATGAGAATTGACAGCTTCAACGAATGCACCCGTGGAGATACGATACGACGCCTTTGTTGGATTAATGGATACCTCCAGATAACTGCAATGATCGATTGTCAATGATTCTTGGGGTCATTTCAGGAGAATGAGGATGGGGAAAACGATACGTGGATTCGATCACGAGGACTTCAAGAATCAGCACCAAGCAACATGCAAAAATGGGGGATTGGAGTCATGCCAGCAAGAGAGATGACCTGAAGAATGATTCATCCTAGCAATGAAGCCACGAACAATGACCAACAAAAGCAACAATGACATCGCATTCATCAAGCTTGATTCTCAGCATATATTCACGTTATCATATGGAGATATGGATCTGATCCTACATGATTCTTCTTGATCAGCACTCGTTCATTTCATCCAACCACACATCTGCTTCGCCTTATTCACTATGAAATTATCGCTGTGCTTGCACTTCATTTCAAAAGCGTGATTCTATATGGGATACAGCAAAATCAGTACCGTGGGGCAGCACATGATCGAGTATTCTTCCAGCGCCAATCAGCCGTTTATCGATGACATGGTTCAATATATGCAGCAGATGTCTCTTTGTGGCAGCAGTAAGGTAAACTTAAGAAAAGGGGATATGGGATGCAAGCTCCAATCACTTGCTAACATGGGTCGTTTGTTACGGTTATAGAATGCACCATCTTTTTACAGCAACAAGAAGGCGGATTTTGGGGAAAATGCATGACCAACGGAGTCAGATCGCTACTGTGGATTGATACGCTTCTTCATCAACACATTTACTTTCCATGTATCGTTGCTACAAGATGCATGTCACGTTGCTTGAGTGGGCGGCCTCTACCTGTTCAGATGATTTATGAATACGTGACAGCACCATCACATTTTGATTGCCACTTGGATCTTGGATCAAGCCAAAGGGAGAAGGATTTGGAGAACTACCTTTGGATTGGATGATGACACAATGAGCACCAGGGACATGTGAGAACAAGTTTGGGGTCGGGTGCATGGCAACGACAATGATTGGATGATTGAGTGCAGCAATGACACCATCAACAATGGCACCACGACCATACATTATAATCAATCACCATCATCAAGACACGCTCGTGTTATCAGCTGAAGTTGTAGGCGTGGTTCTTCATCATCCTCTTTGTCGGTCAATATTCCATGTCGGTCAATATTCCATCCCATCATCCAGCTGGCTTACTATGCTCATTCCATCGGCGTCATTGAGGAGATGAGGATCATATTTTTGGTTTCGTAAGGTTTATCTCAATCACCTGGATACAAGGTTACGGATCACCCTCTCAACGCCGTTATCGATCGCTATGCAACAGCACGCTTGACTGGACACCGCTTCAGAAGATTTCATATGAATCCCCCATTTATCAAGGTAAAAAGAGGCATGGATTGTACAAGACGAAGCTCTTTCTCATTAAGGCACGCCTTTTTCAGCTGGATCGCTTCATTAATGTTGTCCACAAGTGCTGCACAATCAAGGGTTACAATGCTTTGGGATACAAGAACGATCACGGGCTTGTGCAATCAAATACAGCGACACCCGAAGGAAGGATGAATGATGGGATACACATTGTATACCAATTATGGTGTTTGACAACCTCTCTCAAATGGAATACGTTGGATGTTGCAAAGGCAGGCTACTACGATCATGTCTACGATGCCTAGTGTTATCAATGGGCTGCCAATACTTTACGAGACAAGGGCAACATCGCATCTATTGGGAATACGCGATGCTTTCTTTTTCACAAGAACCTCTTCCTAGAATTCGCTTTCGAAAGGTTGCAGCGTAGCTTAATCAACACATGTTTCTTTGTACGATAATCAGTGTTGGATTTCAATTTGGTCTTCAAATACAAAACACATGGTCATTCACATGGCTCGTTTGGGATCATTGGTTTAAATGCATTATAGGTCAAAGAGTGGGGTGGGGAAAGGAAGGCAATATTTCTACCATGGCATGTTTTGAAAAAGAGTAGCGTGCAGGGGATCTCGTTTCGCTCATCAACCTTTGATTTTCGTTGAATGGCTTACCATTGCTTACTGTGGGGTACTTATCTTGAAATAAGCATACATGTTTACGTAACCCACAATAAAGAAGCTTCGTTGGTTGTAAGGTAAATGCGTTATGTCAAACAAAAATGAGCTTTAATACAACGTGGCACGAGCATATGACCATACAATGTTTACTTATGAACAATTATCAGGTAAGGGTGTCTTACGCAATCTTATAAGGGCGAACTATACTATACGGCTATCATAGGTCGACCTTGCTATAGGGGATGAAGCTAGAATCATGCGTCCTCCGCCAATAGGATTACCCCTTGAAATCCTGTCCTCTTAAACTTTGTTACACGAACACCTCCTTCTGCATCTTTGTCTCTATTACAGTCAAGCTGTTTTACAATCAACAACGACCACTTGTTATATAGCATCACGCTTACAGCATAGTCAAAATATAAAGACATCTATATCTCATAATGTTACAATCATCCTACTAGAGCAAAGTTGGTTTGCGTGGTCGAATGTATCTTGTGTCAAACTCTCATGTCCGCCATGGGCATTCTCAAACTTACCCAAAAAATAGGATTGCACATCGCCGAGAAAAACTTTCAAGAGGTCGACTCACGATCCAATTTGGTTGGTAGCGACATTCGCGGAATCTGGGGTTGTCCACCTCGATCGTGAAATTTGCACACAAGATTCCTTTGACCACGCCGAACAGCTTTGTTCTCTTAAAGACAGTAGGCTTCATTGTAAAGTTTAGAGACACAGGCACCTTTATGTTTTACATATGCCGTAAGCCTGATGCTATATGAAAAGAGTTCTTTATTCATTGTAAAGTAGTATGACTACAATGGAGCCAAAGATGCTGAGGGACGTGGTAGTGTAACAGAGCCATTTTGCATGATTGGAACGGCCAATGTAGGATACCATATACACTATCTATGATTGGCAGCTAACAGCCATTTCCTCACAATCGACACTGTTGCCCATTCTGTAACATGTGAACAATGCTCCTGCTCCAGCCAAACATTTCCATCATTCAACTTCCTTGATCCGAGCTGATTTGACTGAGCTACGCCAAAACAGCAAACATGAAAATTAATGAAAGACAGACCCTGCGAATGTCTCCGCCTTTCAAACTTTGGGAAGCTCCCATTCCAAATTTTCAAATGAAGCGTGAGGTTTTTATTAGAAAAAGGTGATCAGCATGTTCGAGAGCACCCTGCTGACCAATTCTCAAGTTGGAGGTGGGCAACTTCGGGGCGGTGGACGGTTCGCTCTTTTGTTCCCATCATCCACCATTTGGACCCGCCCCGGATTTTAATTCTTCACAATGAAGTCTACGACTTTTAAATGAATGGAGTTGATCAGCATGTCCCAGCGAATCTGCTGATCAATTTCCAAGTTCGAAATGGGGAACCCCAAGATAATACATACTACTTCGATAAATCATGAACCTGGGGCTGACCTGCATTTCCGACTTTCATAGTAAACCCCACATTGTACCCTCCCATTCAATGTTTTCAAATGAACATGAAGTCTTTTTTAACACAAAACTGATCAGCATGTTCCAGAGCACCTTGTGTGAAAGTTTCATGTTCGAGATGAGCAATCTCAATATCAAGTATTGGTGTACAGTGTTCATGCATTTATACAAGAGGTGTCGGACCTATTTAATTTCCACTTCTTCTCGCTCTTAGCTTGGTGCCTCATCCTCCCAATCTCAACTGTCGGTGCATTCAAGTATACAACTACCGCCTGCGAACGATTGCCCTGCTTCAACCCATCATGTCAACCCTACAATTGTCTCGATCCGATTGTCTTTGACTGAATGGCAAGTTCATGGCGTGTACACACCACTACAACACCCGCGTTTCTTGACACTTCAACTTCTCTTGTACAATCCTCGACCACATTCAAACGTAACGTAACAGCATTCATTGCAGCAGTTGCCAATAGCAAGGAGTCTATCTCCATTGTCTCAAACGGTCTTCTTTACTTGCAGCAACTTGCCTTGCAGCCTTTTTTACGTGAACAGCAGATAGTCATTGTATAGTAAGCAGCTTTATTTATGTGTAGCAACTTGTATCAAATACATACGACTACTTATGGATATGGATATGGATATTGGTTTGGTAAATGGGGTGGAAGGAATTGGATCTGTTGGTGGTATTGGTTCCCTTGATCCATTTGGAATGTGATGATCAGCTTGGATGATGCCCATATCAACTATCAATTACGCCGTTAATTACACATGCAACCTTGTCCTGGTTTGAGCTGCGATAGACAATGACCTAGCAAGTGGCTCACCAGTAGCTCGATGGGATTAGGAAGCGCATCAGCAGCGACTACATGATGGTGCTTTCATATTGGGCTTACAATGGTTATGATGGATGAATGGGTGGATGCAATCAAATGATGAGAAACCCTGGAATGTTGTTATGGTTGTGCATACTTGGGATGTTGTCAGCAGGAAAATAGATCATATCACGTGGTTACGGCTGAGGATGGTGATCGGTTGGATAGCGTTGATGATGGAAAGTGTGCTGTTGATGAAGGCATTGGAAACCAAGGCACGCCGCAATGATGGATAAAAACGCTCATGATGGCAAGCAGCGCTTCTCATGCCAACCATGGTATGATGCCATGGATACATTATTCATTTGTCTACTACTTTACATCATCAGCAGCAAGGATGAGGATTTGTACCTCAATGAATAGGTGTCACCGTAGGCGAATACCGATGCGTGTTGTTATCAAGGGTACCACTGCTTACAGGCCCATTTTCATGGAGGATGAGTGTACACGAGGTTCAATCAATTTCTGTATTTTCTAGATGGTTAGCTTATTGCTGTACTATATTTGTGTTACAATGAAATAAACTTTTTCGGTAGGTGGAAGATAAAACCAGCTTTTCAATGGCATTGTTTTACCATGATGCAGCATCGTTCATATGCTGCAAATCTCAAGATGTTCAAACATGGATTATCAAGCGTCTCTTTTGACTCTCTGCCTTGACGTCAATAACATAGATGATGACGGTCACTTTTGACTCACCATTTGCATACATCCGATCCTCTTTCAAACATGGCTGTCAATTGTGTTCGGACTCTGTCCCATTTATGCACAAAAGCAGTTACACAACCTTGAGACACGCGCATGTTAATATCATTGAAAATTGCTGCTCGGCCTGGATTGCTTTCAAAATAATACCAAGGAGCAATGAAGGCAACCAAAGGATTCATTTCGATAGTACCCATATCACTATTCAAGAACCAAAAGGTGTCGCAATCATCATGCATCCGCAATGTTGGATGAAATTGGTCCAAGGCTTCCCATTTCCTTGTTTTTCTCTTTCAAACCACTTTGTACAATATTCCAGGCCAATGTGACGACAATAAAGAACAGCGATTTGCAATCCTCAACAAGCAGATGATCACTTTATTAGCAGCAAATGCCAAGCTCGAAACAATAGTGGGATGATGATACGATAACATCTACATATGCAAACGATAGCTCCTTCAACAGCAGGGATGGTGTACATATACATCACCTACAAGGGAGATATGGAGTTTGTATTGATATTTGGTATTAGGTGCTTTCAGCTGTGCCATCGTAATCAGTGGTTGGTTGCTACGCGATCCACAGCAGTGACGCATAAAGATGCATGCCGACTCAAAATCCTGATGACCTCTTTTACTCTTGCAACCTCACTCCCCTATTCCACCACAATCACACACCAACCAATCTCTGCAAAGAAACCACTTGTTGTTATGGGCCCATCGCTCGACACTGTCATGCTGTCAACATCAAGCAGTCCATCGCGTTCATGAACACCAACAACCAATGCAACCGAACACAGCAATGAACGTTTATTCTTTATCTGAAGCAGCATACGTCGTTATCAGTACATCGTTAAAGCTTCTCAAGTCTTCAAAGGTGTTGGTTCCTCGTGTCTGTCAAAGGTGCATACGGCGATAGTGGGCATAGTCCAGGGTGAGTATCATCATGGTAGAGTAAAATCAACAAGATCCCTTTTTCGCTAATACTTTCATTGCTAAGGATGCGCGTTTACGACAACGGATCCATATGTCACCCCTCACGAGCACAGCTTCATCTATGGTATCCATGAGACGGCGTTGAGAAAAGCATACGCCAAATACAATCATGATGATGGGTAAGGGTGAAGACATGGTCTGGATGGATGACCAAGATATTGAGTATGAGGATTACTTTCCAAAGGGATTGCCTTATCCATGACAAGGGATCGGGATGGATTCATGGACATGTTCAAGATACGGATCAACCACCTGGATGCTGGATTACATGTCACATTACCTGCACACTGACAACGAGACCATTGTCCTGGTGCTTCACCACAGCACGACATCAACATCTTTTCAAGCTGCATCACATGATGGCAAACGAGCAACGGCAATACCATACCGACATAGCAGCAGCCAAACACCTATCACCCAATGCATTGCGCTTCGTTCACCATTACATATTGCTGGAATCCGATTTGCCCATGAACAAGTGGAGATCCTCAGACGTTCGGCATGTTGGCTATTGTTTACAAGGACGTATCTCGATTGTCAGCCGGTTATTGGATCCATTCAAGTGGGTAAGGATGAGGAAAATAGGACATCCTCATGTCACCTACAGCACATCACCTTTCATGCCACAGGTGGATTTATCACTTTGACTCGGTGCTCCAAGATGTTTGACCACTTTATCCGTTCGATCCATCATGACAGCAATTCTCACACCCACTCACATACAAACAAGTCTCTTGAAATCAACACTATCATACATCCTTTCTTTCTACTTGAATTCATATCATCATCAATGGCCTTTGGTAAGTCTCAAAATTAGTATTTATGTGGTGCCGAAAATGAGGGTACTCATGATGCATTCATCATCTATGTAGCTCACTTTATGGCTTTACTACTTGGTGTGTTCATTGCTGCCTCATGACATTTGGTTGTGTTCCTTGCTGAACCCTTTGGGGTAGGTATAACCATCATTTATATGTTAAAAGGATGCCAAGACTGATGGGAGAATTAAAGGCTTCTTTGAGGTGATATGAGTACATGCGGAGAACTACCTTTGGATTGGGTGATGAGTGTACCCATGGACATCTGAGAAGAGCTTAACAACGACAATGGTTGGCTGATTGCATGATGGAGAGCAACAATGACACCACACACAATGAAATGACGACCACGTATTACCGTCAGGCACCATTGTCAAGGCATTTTCATTTTATCAATTGGAGGCACAGGCATGATGATTTTCCATCGTCGACTTTATCAATCAGCATCCCATCCTATAATTCAGCTGGTTTATCATGGTCACTCTATCGACATCATCGGGCGGATGAGCATCCATGTTTCTGGTCCGTGAGTTTACCTCCATCACATGAAGACAAGGTTACGGATCAACATCTCAACACTATCACGGATCGCTATGCAACAGCACACATGATTGGATAACGCTGCAAAAGAGGTCTTCTATGATGCTCCCGTTTATCAAGGTAAAAGGAGGGCTTGGTGTTACATTGGCAAGAAAATGCAGGATCCCACTAAACATATTCTTCTAGCTTGGCTGATGCATTTGGAGCATTCATGGATCCTATAACGATGATACGAACCACGTCACGATCGGGTCGACAAGGCATTGACGATCACCACCAATGATTACAACGTGTTCCGATTCAAGGATTATTATGGGCTGCTACGACCACATTGCAATGGCGCATGAGCCACTGCAGGATTGGACGAGAGGGGCTTCGATGACTTGCTATCGCTACATTTGCCTCATGGTGCTTGCCAACCACCCTAGGGGGTAACATGGATGATGTGAACGACACCTTCTACGATTACGTTTACCGGTCTTATGATGCGCGTTGACAATGATCCAATACCAAATGGAACAAGATCACAGTGACATACATTAGAAACATGGTAGCCATCGCCGTTTTCTTGTTTATTGAAATACACGTGTGGAATCAGAACATTTTGCAGCATACTGCATCTTCATCAACGCACACTTGATAATGCGGGTCACGTGTTAGGTTTTCGAATGGTTATCATTTTCCGCTACATATAGTGGATGGATTGGATGAATTATGAGAGCTATGAGGCTTCGCGTGATTGAACGCTCTTGGGTTGGGAGAAATAGGGTGAATAACGAAGATTGGAATTGATATTAGTATACTACTATATCATGTACAGCAGAATTCCTTCTTGTTTGTGGGCATGTTTATGTCATCCGGACATATTTCTTACTATGGATGAACGTAGCAAAGCCTAGTGTAACGGTTAGCCAGTGGCGTTTTATGCATGTATCCAGTTATTGAATCTGAATAAAAACCTTACTTGTGTACATCCCATAATATAAAATCGGAACGCCTGTACCTCTTCCGAAGTTTGATATGCAAGCCTCTTGCACTTGCAAGTACAAACTTCCTAAATACATATAGATCGGGTTTCGAACCCATCATTTGTAATTTTACTATGTAGTTTCCATGGTAATTTTTGGTAGGATTACATATGAAAATCATGATGTAACTCGGCATTTGCTCATACATGGCAAATGTTCTTTTGAACGCCAGGGGCGTTGTGTGACATCTTGGATGTGACACAACAAGGGTGCGTCAAGACTATCAATAACACCGTACCGGACCATCAATTTCAGTTTTCGCATCTCTTTTTATTCTCCCATTTTTTGACATGACATATGTCACTGAGGACGATAACGATCCGTACAAAGTATGTACATGCACAAAGGGCATCATACACGTGAGAAGGTATTCACAAGGTTCTTTTTAGATCAACATAAGATTAGAGGATGACGAGGACAGCAAACGAAAACGGTTTTTCGAAAAAGGACTCAGCACACTCTTAGACGACGAGCATTTTTTGCTCCTCTACGTGCCTGAAAATGGAGACAAGATGAAAGTTATACGACCTGCCAATGACGCATACCATCGAAAGCGCATCATCAAAAGAATCAATGAAGCAAAAAGCATTCCATCATTTTATTACGCCTTATCGCATCTTTGGGGTCTCTCAGAAAACAACCGGTACGAGTGGAATGATATCAGTGAATACGTTGACGACGAACAAGGACAACCAATGAAACCTGTTTCCATGCGACCTGAGAAACGAGATGCATTACTTACAATGCTCCAGGACCATCCTGACAGCTATTGGTGGATCGATGTCTTGTGTGCACGCACCGATACCCCACTTGATATCATGGGAGATATTTACGCTTGTTGCCTTGAATGTATTGCCATGATCGATTGTCAGCCAAGCCTTATACCGAAAATTTACACACACTACCAGCAGTTACATCCACCGTCGAGTTACGAGCTAATTGAACTCTTGTCCACATTCTTCCAAAGCCAATGGTGGCAACGTGTATGGACCTGGCAGGAGATGGCTCTCCCTGTTGGAGATGTTCGGCTTATGGCTGAAACAGACATTCATCGACTCCAAACCAACACAATCACTCTGAAGGAATTACTTGAAATTTATCGCCTGCTATGTGAACATCGGAGGGTTTATTCCGGTAGTTTGCGACATGAACTACTACACGGTATGTTCCACGCGAGGTTAGGATTTGATATTGACGAACCCTGCTAACCACTTGACCAGATAACGACAAACTACTGTCGTTCAACATAGTTCTTCAAAGATTCAGGGACATAGACTATGCAAGAAAATCCAACGTTCTTCGTGGGGCGACCATTGAATCAGTGCAATATGTAATGCTTTCATTGCGTAATTCCAAGCGACGATGTTATGATCCCTGTGATTACATTTATGGAGTGCTGGGAATGTTGCAGATCAAAATCCCAAGGATGTCCGATCCCAATGCAGTTTGGAAAGAGTTCTTATCCAAATTGGATGATTTATATGCATATGAATCTAAAAAATTGGTTGATTATGCCGGCAAATTCGATTTAAGAGAAGCTGAAAGTATTGGTGATGTATACCAAATGTGTATATTTTCTCCTAGTGATTAATAAATGCTGAAGACTACTGCCTGGAGCTAAGAATGGCCTTTATTATTAAATGATTATGGTGACTATTTGTGCTCTTGCATAATGTTAGCAGGAAACTGATGTCACGCTATTGGTGGAGAGGGTTGTGGCAGGGTTGAATTTGGATGCTCTCTAGGTATCTCACGTCTACTCTTCTTCCCACTCAACTTTGCCATTCTCAACCACTACTTCCCTTCTGACATGACACTAGCACATGGGCACCCATGCGGCTCATCTGTTAACGATTCAGCAACGAGTAAACGAAGACAGCCAGCGATTGTGTCCTTGCTCTACATTCAACGCTGTTGATCGGCAGCAACCGGTTTCCAAGAGGTCTTTGTTCCCTGGCGTTGCACTACAACATATTGTCGATGATATCTAGCAGCTTTATTCATTCAATGACACGCATTATCGGTTCACGTTACTACTATCAAGGCTTTTGAGTACTAGTCGACCCTGTATCAAGGTAAGAGGATGATGGCATATCACAATGGTGGCAATCTTCTCACGTGCTTATGGTGCAGCACAATGTTTTGAACCCTGCTTTCAAGATTGGATGCAGCAACATTTTTCACTTATGATGTTGGATATCCAGGTAACCATTGGATGAGGTGAAATATGGTGAAGAGAAGGGTGGTAATTGACATGGCCATCTTGCAGCGAGTTTGCACGATGCGATAACAATCATTGTGGATGATGCTTTCATGTCAACAGGTGCTGGATCACGTGAGGAAACTCTGGAATGCGTACTCCACATGGTACCCTGGGAAAAGAAAAGCTTTATCGACATTTCAACGACGTTCAACAATTTGAAGATCATTCTATGCTATGAAGATCGAGACAACCACCAGGATTGGCAACTTTGACGATTGAGCGCATGGAAATTTGATAGGATGGTTTGGATGTGATTATGGGCACCTGATGAACCAATGGATTACGGTGTCAATTCAAGATAACGAGGACGAGGAAAGCTATTCGATAACGAGGATATCGGCTATAAACGTGACCCAGCGTAACACCCGTATTTGAAAATTGGATGCAAAGCAACAATAACAATCATTACATTGATTGATGAAGAGAAGCAATGGTTCCACAAAGTCAACAACGACCTCGTATTCTTATCAAGTGTCATTGTCGTTACCTTGCTCTTAGCTGCAGATATGGACCTGAACCCACCTATTGTATCTATCATTGTTTGCGAGCACTCGCATCCACACCCATTCAGCTGCTTCCTTCTCAACCATCACATCCCTGTGGAACGCAGCAAACATGCATTCGGATTCGGATTACATTTCACTCAATGGATCTATGATTGGGAACGTACTCGGTACCTTGAAATGATTGAAGCAGCTAGCAACAATACGATTAGATCATTGGACATCCACCACATGATTATCATCGACCTGATTTTGCAAGCTTTACCTCCATCACTTGGCGACGTAGTTAGGGGTCATCATCTGTTCTTTGTAACAGCACACGTGATCATATATCGCTGCAAGAGTTCCTTGATGGAACGCTCTCACTATGGTAAGAGGAAGAATGTGTTTTGCGTTGAGCACGGGAAGCAACACAATATTAAAACATGCGTTTTTAGATTGGCGAATGCATTTGCAGTGTCCATGGCATCATACGGTGTAATTTACACGTCGTTTCTGAACAAAGCATATCACAATTGGATCAAGATGGCACACACAATATCACGTTTGTGCTCTACAACCATTGATTACAACTGGGTTGGGATCCAAGGATTACCAAGGCACATGCGATCTGGGAGAAGAAATACAGCATGATGGGAACAGGATTGGATGTGAAGGATGTGGATGATGGGATATACCGATTGCATTTGATTCATGGCGCTTGGCAACCACCCTGATTTGGAATCTCTCGGATGATGCAACGCCCTGCTACAAGTATTGTACATGGACCATAACATTGAACCAATGCCGAGAGAGAATTAGTGTACAACGCCATCCATTCGAAATAAGCAGTGCCTCCCTTTCAACAAACCTCTTCCAGAAATCCAAAATGAAAATCTATACCGCGCCGCGTCTTACTATCATTATGTTGATGTCAATGGCGTGGCTCCTTTTACGATGTATATCATTGTTTGGCTGTGCATTGGGGGTTGGATGAGATGAAGGACAATGATGAAGGAAAATGGTATCATTACAAAGTTGCTTTGAAGGATAATGGGATTGGCAACGAAGGTTCGATTGTCCAATGGGTTGGTTTCATGGGAAATGAGGATTATGAGAGTTTATATGATTGCTATCAGGTGAGCATGGAAAAAGATACAATGGGCAACGAAGGCTGCCATGGCAACCATCTTCATGGGACCACGCCTTTTGTCACATGAGCACAATTGTTAAGCCTTTACTTCGTTACCTGCTTCATGGTGCATAAAAATGCCGAAGGTTACTCCTTGGTCAGTGATGTCTCATCATGTATAATAGCCTTTGCAATGCAAAATGAAAACAATGTCCCCCTCCTTTAAGCCAGCTCCATGGAGATAATGCAGGATCCGACTATCTGATTTTGAAACTTGAGCTTGAAACCTAGGAATACAAAGAACATAGCATTACAGTTGATGATGAAATGCTGGTACTTAAACCTCATCTCTTGTATTACCTCATTGTGGCACGTCAAAACACAACGTCGGATAACGAGCATCTTTCTCCGAGCTTTGAGACACAAGTGTTTCTGTTGACTAGTGGTATGTACGTCCCACTAAAAGTTCTCTACAAGGTATTCATGAATCGGGTGTATGCTTGCATTGTAATCTTGGTGCAATTGGGACTCTTGAGATAAGCTCGTGTTTGCTGCCAATATACCTTTACCAAGGGCATTCATCCGCATCTCGTATGTAACACAAATACATAACAGCGTACCAAACTTTGAAACTGCCGCGCCAAACACCGTTTTTATTTTTCGCACCCTTTCTTCTCCATATTTAAACATGACATGCGACCCTGACGAAAACGACAACCTCTATAAAGTATGCAAACCTATAGACGACAATACATCTATGATGTTCACAAGACGCTTAGATCGATATAAGAATTGAGGATGATGAAGGCAATCACCTTAAAGAGCTTTTTGAAAAAGGACTCGGTTCACTCTTAGATGATGAGCATTTTTTATTGCTTTATGTTCCTGAAGACAATGGCGACAAGATGCAAATTGTACGACCTGCCAGCAATCTATTCCATCGAAGACGCATGATCAAAAGGGACAATGAAGCCAAACGCATTCCATCTTTTTATTACGCATTGTCACATCTTTGGGGGCTTACAGAAAACAACCGTTACCACTGGAATGATATCAATGAATACGTGAATGACGAAAACGGCCAACCAGTAAAGCCTGTATCCATGCGACCTGAGAAACGAGATGCATTACTTACAATGCTCCAGGACCATCCTGACAGCTATTGGTGGATTGATGTCTTGTGTGCACGTACCAATACACCTTTGGATATCATAGGTGATATTTATTCTTGTTGTCTTGAATGTATTGCCATGATCGACTGTGATCCAACCCCTGATACCTACCATTCACACGATGTCGGATACAGCAAAAGATTTCGAGGAATTACATTTCAATGCAGGAGGATGCCCAACCTACGACCAGATTTATCAAACGAAAGCTCCTCAGCTGATTGAATCCTTGTGCACATTCGTACAAAGGCAATGGTGGCAACGTGTATGGACTTGGCAGGAGATGGCTCTTCCTGTTGGAGATGTACGGTTCATAGCTGAAACAGACACGCTACACCTACTACCAACCCACACAATCACTCTGAATGAATTGCTTCGATTTAAGAAAATGGTGAGGCTTATGTGGGATCGTGGTGTACGCGATACGTTGCATGATAGTACGTTGCATGAGATGCTTGAATTGCTATTGATACACGCTGCTAACCCGTTTGGCTAGGAGATGCCAAGGCAATGAAGTTGGTATCCAAGGTACTCGATGACATTTACGGTGCCAGAAAATCTAACAAGTATCGCATCTCGGGAAGCAAGGATAGATTTTACTTTCTCCTGTGGTCATTGCGTGATTCCACACGACGATGTTATGACCCAGCTGATTATGTTTATGGTGTGCTCGGCATGTTGCAGATCAAAATTCCAAGAATGGACGATCCGAATGCTGTTTGGCGGCATTTGTTGATGGCGCTGGATGATTATATGAAAGATGATGATGATGAGGATAGATCTGGCTCTCCAAGTTGCGTTGACCGTGCTGACATCATCGACTTGTGCAAAGCTAAAAATATCGGTTATGTATACAAAAAGTTGATTGAAATCTATTTTGGATTCAAATAAATGATGAAGATTATGCTCTGGAACTAATTACAGTGAGACTGATGAATGTGGTTCATGCGCATAGGATGTGGCGGAGAGGGTAAAAATGGGTGATGCACCTCAGCCAGCACCTCTTTCCACTTCCATTCCACCAACAATGTACACCTGCAACTACCTCTCACAATCGCTTCCACAATGACACAGTCAACAACGCCAATGCCACACATCTGTTACTATTCAACAACACGTAATTGAAGAAGCCCAACGACCGTGTCCTTGCTCGTCATTAACGCCGTTGATCTTTAGCACCTCGTTTCCAAGAAGCTTTTTGGCGCAGTACTGCAACGTGTTGACAGCAGCTTCACGATACCATATGTAAACCCATTTACCAAGGTACGAGGATGACGGATTATCATACGTAGCCGTGGCAGTCTTCTTACGTGTTGTATGACGCAGTACAATGGTTCAAGTTTTGGATGTTGCGTTTTGTTTGTTTTCTCTTGATGTTGGGTATCCAGGTAACAAGTGGATGGGTTGGTATGTTGCGAGAAAATGGATGAAAATTGACATGCTTATGATGTAGTTGATATTCATTTTAGATGATGGATTCTTGTCAACGTATACGGGAGCCTACAAGGAATACTCGACATCATATGCGATGGCAAATGAGAAGGTGTTGCGACATGACATTACAATCCACGTTCTATGCCACATCAATGTGTTGCGCCTGAAGGATCGTTGTACACTATTGAAAGCGAGAAAATTATTGGAATTGACGGCTTCAACGGTTGCACTCGTGGAGATACGATATGACGCCTTTGTTGGATTTATGGATACCTCAAGATAACTGCAACGATTGATTGTCAATGATTGTTGGGTCATTTCACGAGAACGAGGATGGGGAAAACGACACGTGGATTCGATGATGAGGACTTCAAGTATCAGCATCAAGCAACATGTAAAACGTGGGGAATTGGAGTCATGCCAGCAACAGAGATGGCCGGATGAATGATTCAGCCTACCAATGAAATCACATACAATGACCAGCAAAAGCAACAATGACATCGCATTCATCAAGCTCGATTCTCAGCAAGATATGGACCTGATCCTACATGATTCTTCTTGATCAGCACTCGTTCATTTCATCCAACCACACATCTGCTTCGCCTTATTCACTATGAAATTATCGCTGTGCTTGCACTTCATATCAAAAGCGTGATTCTATATGGGATACATCAAAATCAGTACCGTGGGGCAGCATCTGATCGAGTATTCTTCCAGCGCCAATCAGCCGTTTATCGATGACATGGTTCAATGTATGCAGCAGATGTCTCAATGTAGTTGCAGCAAGGTAAAGCAAAGAAAAGGATGGGATATGGGATGCAAGCTCCAATCACTTGCTAACATGGGTCGATTGTTACTGTTATAGAATGCACCATCTTTTTACATCAACCACAAGGCGGATTTTCGGGAAAATGCATGACCAACGGAGTCAGATGGCTACTGGGGATTGATACGCTTACTCATCAACACATTTATTTTCCATGCATCGTTGCTACAAGATGCATGTCAAGTTGCTTGAGTGGGCGGTCTATACTTGTTTGGATGTTTTATGAATACGTGACAGCACCATCATATTTTGATTGCAAATTGGATCTTGGATCAAGCCAAAGGGAGAAGGATGTGGAGAACTACTTTGGATTGGATGACGACACAACGAGCACCAGGGACATGCGAGCACAAGTTGGGTATCGGGCGCATGGCAACGACAATGGTTGGATGATTGAAGTGCAGCAATGACACCATCAACAATGGCATCACAACCATACATCATGATCAATCACCATTATCAAGACACGCTCGTATTATCAGCTGAAGTTGTAGCATGGTACTTCGTCATCCTCTTTGTCGGTCAATATTCCATCCCATCATCCAGCTGGCTTACTATGCTCATTCCATCGGCGTCATTGAGGAGATGAGGATCATATTTTTGGTTTCGTAAGGTCTATCTCAATCACCTGGATACAAGGTCATGGATCACCCTCTCAACACCGTCATCGATCGCTATACAACATCGTACCGCTTAAAAAGATTTCTTTTATGATGACCAGCCCATTTAACAAGGTAAAAGGAGGAATGGATCGTACATTGGCAAGAGGAAACATGTTCTCATTAAGGCATGTCATTTCAGCCGGATAGCTTCATTGGTGCTGAGATCTACAAATACTCCACAATCCAGGGTTACAATGCTTTGGGATGCAAGAATGATCAAGGGCTTGTGCAATCAAATACAGCGATAGTGAGGAACCGGAGAAGGCTTGGATGAGCGATGGGATACAAATTGCATTCGAGTTATGGTGCTTGACAACCTCTCTCAAATGGAATACGTTGGATGTTGCAAAGACAGGTTACTACGATTATGTCTACGATGCCTAGTGTTATCAATGGGCTACCAATACTTTGCGAGATAAGGACAACATGGCAGCTATTGGGAATACGCGGTGCTTTCTTTTTCACAAGGATCCCTTCCTGGAATTCGCTTTCGAAAGGTTGCAGCGTAGATTAATCAACACGCGTTTCTTTGTACGATAATGAGTGCAGGATTTCAATTTGGTCTTCAAATACAACACACAATGTCAATTACATGGCTCATTGGGATATTGGTTTTAATGCATTATGGGTCAAAGAGTGGGGTGGGGCAAGAAAGGCAATATTTCTAGAAAAAGAGTAGCGTACAGGTGGTTTCACTTTGCTCATCAACCTTTGATTTTCGTTGAATGGCTTAACATGGCTTACTGTGGGGTACTTATCTTGAAATAAGCCTACATGTTTATGTAACCTATAATAAAGGAGCTTGGTTGGTTGTAAGGTAAATGCGTTATGAACTTATGATTAAGAAAAAAGGAGCTTTAATACAACGTGGCACGAGTACATGACCAAACAATGTTGGTCTATGACAATTCTCAGGCAAGTATATATTATGCAACCTTATATAAGCGCGAGCTATACGATACGGGCTATCATCGGCCGGCTACGCTATAGGGGGATGAAGCTCGAATCATGCATCCTCCGCCAATGGGATTACCCCTTCAAATCCCGTCCTCCTAAACTTTGTTACACGAACACGACCTTCTGATCTTTGTATCTATCAACGTCAAGCTGTTTTCCTATCAACAATGCCCACTTTTTATATAGCATCACGCTTACAGCATAGTCAAAACATAAAGACGCCTATATCTCATAATGTTACAATCAAGCGTCGGGATCCTACTAGAACAAAGTTGGTCTGCGTGGTCGAATGTATCTTGTGACAAACTCTCATGTCCGTCATGGGCATTCTCAAACTTACCCAAAAAATAGAATTGCTGGTCACCGAGAAAAACTTTCAAGAGGTCGACTCACAATCCAATTTGGCTGGTAGCGATATTGGCGAAATCTGGGGTTGCCCACCTCGATCTTGAAACTTGCACACAAGATTCCTTTGACCACGCCGAGCAGCTTTGTTCTCTTAAAGACAGCAGGCTTCATTGTAAGATTTTGAGATACGGACGTCTTTATGTTTTACATATGCTGGGAGTTGGATTGCGTACGACATGTGGTCTTTGTTCAATGTCAAGTTGCCCAACCCTGATAGAGATAAATATGCATAGGGGCCGTGGTTGTATAACGGAGCCATTCTGCATGATTGGAACGGCCAATGTAGGATACCATATACACTATCTATGATTGGCAGCTAACAGCCATTTCCTCACAATCGATACTGTTGCCCATTCTGTAACATGTGAACAATGCTCCTGCTCCAGCCCAACATTTCCATCATTCAACTTTCTTGATCCGAGCTTATTTGACTGAGCTACGCCAAAACAGCAAACATGAAAATTAATGAAAGACAGACCCTGCGAATGTCTCCGTCTTTCAAACTTTGGGAAGCTCCCATTCCAAATTTTCAAATAAGGCGTGAGGTTTTTATTAGAAAAAGGTGATCAGCATGCTCGAGAGCACCCTGCTGACCAATTTTCAAGTTGGAGGTGGGCAACTTCGGGGCGGTGGGCGGTTCGCTCTTTTGTTCCCACAGCAGCGACGCATAAAGATGCATGCGGTGACTCAAATCCTGACGACGTCTCACTCTTGCAACCTCACTCTCCTTTCCACCACAATCACACACCAACCAATCTCTGCAAAGAAACCACCTGTTGTTATGGATGGTTCTCTCTACATTCAACACCACACATCGCTCAACACTCTCATGCTGTCAACATGAAGCAGTCCATCGCGTACTTGAACACCAATAACCAATGCAACCGAACACAACAATGAACGTTTATTCTTTATCTGAAGCAGCATACGTCGTTATCAGTACATCGTTAAAGCTTGTCAAGTCTTCAAAGATGTTGGTTCGTCGTGGTTGTCAAAGGTGGATACGGCTCTACTTGGCAAGGTCGAGGGTGAGTATCATCATGGTAGAGTAAAATCAACAAGAGCCTTTTTCGCTAATACTTTCATTTCTAAGGATGCGCGTTTACGACAGTGGATCCATGTGTCACCCCTCACGAGCACAGCTTCATCTATGGCATTGAAAAGACTCTTGTTATCCATACGTATACCAAGGCAATTCATGGTGTTGGGTAAGGGTGAAGACATGGTCTGGATGGATGACCAAGGTATTGAATATGAGTATTACTTTCCAAAGGGTTTGCCTTATCCATGGCAAAGGATCGGGAAGGATGTATGGACATGGTTGAAGGTCAAGATACGGATCAACTACCTGGATGCTGGATTACATGTCACGATACCGGCACACTGACAACGAGGCCATGGTGCTTGTACCTCACCGCTACACGACTCAACATCTTTTCAAGCTGCATCATGTGATGGCAAACGAGCTATGGCAATACCATACCGACATAGCAGCAGCCAAACACCTATCACCCAATGCATTGCGCTTCGTTCACCATTACATATTGCTGGAATCCGAAAGAGCGTCATTTTGCGCCATGAACAAGTGGAGATACTCAAAGGTTCGGCATGTCGGCTGTTGCTTTACAAAGACGTATCTTGATTGTCAGCTGGTTATTGGATCAATTCAAGTGAATAAGGATGAGGAGAACCAGGACATACTCATGTCACCTACAACACATCACCTTTCATGCCACAGGTGGATTTATCACTTTGACTCGGTGTTCCAAGATGTTTGACCACTTTATCAGTTCGATCCATCATGACAGCAATTCTCATAACCACTCACATACAAACAAGACTCTCGACACCAACACTATCATACCCCCTTTCTTTCTACTTGTATTCATATCATCATCCATGGCCTTTGGTAAGTCTCAAAATTAGTATTTATGTATTTCTCATGATGAGGGTACTCATGCATTTGTTTACGTAGCTCACTTCATCGCTTTACTACTTGGTGCGTTCATTGCTGCCTCATGACATTTGGTTGTGTTCCTTGCTGAACCCTTTGGGGTAGGTATAACCATCATTTATATGTTAAAAGGATGCCAAGACTGATGGGAGAATTAAAGGCTTCTTTGAGGTGATATGAGTACATGCGGAGAACTACCTTTGGATTGGGTGATGAGTGTACCCATGGACATCTGAGAAGAGCTTGACAACGACAATGGTTGGCTGATTGCATGATGGAGAGCAACAATGACACCGCACACAATGAAATGACGACCACGTATTACCGTCAGGCACCATTGTCAAGACATTCTCATTTTACCAATTGGAGGCACAGGCGTGATTTTCCATCGTCGACTTTATCAATCAGCATCCCATCCTATAATTCAGCTGGTTGATCATGCTCACTCTATCGACATCATCCGGTGGATGAGGATCCATGTTTCTGATTCGTGAGTTTACCTCCATCACATAAAGGCAAGGTTACGGATCAACATCTCAACACTATCTCAAATCGCTATGCAACAGCACACATGATTGGATAACGCTGCAAAAGACGTCTTCTATGATGCTCCCATTTATCAAGGTAAAAAGAGGACCTGGTCTTACATTCGCAAGAAAATGTATCTCACTAAACATACTCTTCTAGCTTGGCTAATGCGTGGAGATTCCATGGATCCTATAACGACCACCCATTACTGAACACAACAGACACAATCAGATCGGGAAGGAACGCAAGATGTTACATATGTATATGATCACCATCAATGGCTACAACGTGTTGGGATTCAAGGATTATTGTGGGATGCTACGACCACATTGCGATGGCCCAGGAACCAGTACAGGGGTTGGATCAGAAGTACCTCGTTTACGTGCTACCACAGCATTGCCTTATGGTGCTTGCCAACCACCTAATACGGGGTATCATGGATGATGTGAACAGCACTTTTTGCTATTACATTTACCAGTCTTATTATGGGCGTCGACAATGAGCCAATACCGAATGGGATAAGGCACAGTGACATACATTAGAAACATTATAACTATCAGCGTTTTCTTGTTTATTGAATATTCGTGTGGAATTCAAAATGTTAAAATGTTTGCAGCGTACTGCATGCATCTTGATCAATGCATACTTGATAATGTGGATCACGTGTTTGGTTTCCAGGATGACTATTAGTTTTTGCTATACAGTGGGTTGATTATATGAAGGGCGGGAACACGATGCTTCGTATGACTGTAGTGTTGTTGGATTGAGAAAAATAGGGTGAATAACGAAGATTGGGATTTGCATTAATAATAGGATCGTCTAAAGAGAACACGCTGTGGATACGGTTACGTCATCCAGGCCCATTCCTCAGGTGATATCGTTATGGATGAGCATGACAATGCATCGTGATTAATCGATGACGTTTCACAATAGTCTTTGCAATGTACATGCATCTCTTGAATTTGAGTCAAGGTCTTACTCCTGGTTCCACCGAGTTGTGATACAAACCATATTATAGTAATAGAAACGCGGATACCTCATCCGAATCTGAGGCGCAAGCCCCTTGGTCAAGCATTTTTACACCCCACGTACAACGTTTCTAAATATTGATGAGAGTTCAACAAGCACTTGTTCTTTTACATCAATTTCTAATCTATTCATTGAGGGATTATGAAGATCAAAATAACTCGGCATTTGCTCATACATGGTAATGTACCTTTTACTGTTTAGGCCATTGCTTGGCACGTTGAATGTGGCACAATACCTAGTGCGCAAGGACTATGAATATCGCCCCACGGAACAGCCTTTTCAGTTTTCCCATACCTTTTTCTTCTCTCAATTTTAACATGACATGCGACACTGAGGAAGATAATGACCCGTACAAAGTATCGACATGCGCATAAGACCCCATACACCGAAAATGTTATTCACAAGATTCCTTCAGATCAATATCAAATTAGATGATGATGATAATGATGATGAAATCAGTCTTAAAGCGTACTTCGAGAAAGGCCTTAGCGCACTCTTAGCCGACGATCACTTTTTGCTCCTCTATGTGCCTGAAAATGGAGGCCGAATGCAAGTGATACGACCTGCCAGTGATTTATACCATCGACGACGCATGATCAAAAAGATTAATGAGGGGAAATGGGTTCCATCTTTTTACTACGCGTTATCACATCTATGGGGACTTACAAAAGACAACCAGCACCACTGGAATGAGATTGGCGACTACGTGGATGACGAAAATGGAAAACCAATGGATCCTATTTCGATGCGGCCTGAAAAACGAGATGCTTTACTAGCACTGCTCAAGGACCATGCTGATAGCTATTGGTGGATTGATGTCTTGTGTGCACGCACCGATACACCCTTAGACATCATGGGCGATATTTATGCATGTTGCCTTGAATGTATTGCCATGATCGATTGTGAACCTTCTCTAATATCAAGAATTTACACAATCTCACCACTGGCGAGAAAGGAAGCTGAGAAATTAAAACGTAGAGGAGGAGGATCTCTAACATACCAGGAGCAGTTACACCAAACCAAAGGTTCCCTGTTTATTCACCTCTTGTACACATTTTTCCAGAGTCAATGGTGGCAACGTGTATGGACCTGGCAGGAGATGGCTCTACCTTTTGGAGGTGTGCGCTTTATGGCTGAAATAGACGTTCATCGACTCCAAACCTACACAATCACCATGGATGATGTATATGGATTTCTATATATGACTTCGATTTTCTGGTTCAATTTAAATCAAATGAACAGTACGTTGCATGAATGCTTGAAGTAGTTATTTACTCACGCCGCTGACCCATTAGCCGTAAAACATAGTTCATGCAGTTTATACCTATCTGCAAGACGTAGTCCAAGCTAAACTATCCAATGTGTCTCGTATCGGGCGAAAAAATGCCAATTTTGTTGGAGACATAATGGATTCATTGAAGGAATCCAATCGACGATGTTATGATCCATGTGATTATGTTTATGGAGTGCTGGGAATGATGCAGATCAAAATCCCAAGGATGGAGGATCCAAATGCGGTTTGGCGCCATTTCTTGTCAGAGCTGGATGATTTATATCCGCTTAGCCGTGGAAGAAGATGGATTGATCATGCAGATGAAATCGATTTACGACAAGTTGAAAGTATCAGTGAAGTATACGCGAAGTTGCGTGGCATTGACGCTGGGTATTGAATAAATGTTGCAGATTACTACCTGGAGCAAAGAATGTCCTTTATTATATGATTGCTGTTGACATGTGTAACACGTTGTTGAAAATTGAAAGCGGTTATCGTTCTCTCTTTCATGTTTACTCTTCTTCCCACTCAAATTGGATAACAGCTTTCTCAACTATACAATCCCTTCCAGCATGACATAGCTCACAGGCACATGCGACACATCCATTACGATTCAGCAACGAGTCACCGAAGACAACCGACGATCGTGTTCTTTTCCTCGACATTCGACGCCGTTGATCTATAGCAATTGCTTTGTTTCACGGCGTACTACTACAACATATTATCGATGATATACAGCAGCTTTATTCATTCAACGACACGCATTATCGGTTCATGTTACTACTACCAAGGCTTTTGAGTACTGGTCGACCCTTTATCAAGGTAAGAGGATGATGGCATATCACAATGGTGACAATCTTCTCACGTGTTCATGGTCCAGCACAATGTTTTGAGTCATGCGTGTCAAGTTTGGATGCAGTAACGTTTTTCACTTTTGATGTTGGAATACACAGGTAACAATTGGATGAGGTGCTCTATGATGAAGAGAAGAGTGATAATTGACTTAATCATTTTGTATGTAGTGAGGCAGCAGGATGCGAAAACATTGATTGTGGATGATGCCACCTTGTCAACAGGTGCTGGAACACGTGAGGAGCGCAATCGTGTATTGGATACGGCAAAATCAGCGAGTATTCTGCCAGTGCCAATCATCAGCCGTTTATCGACGACATGGATGAATAATGCAGCAGATGCCTCAATGCAGTTGCAGCAAGGTAAACCTAAGAAAAGGGGATATGGGACGCAAGCTCCAATCACTTGCTAACATGGGTCGATTTATAGAATGCACCATCCTTTTACAGCAATAACAAGGGGAAAACGCATGTCCAACGAAGTCAGATGGCTACTGGGGATTGATTACGCTTCTTCACCAACACATTTACCTACCAACACATTTACTTTCCATGTATCGTTGCTACAAGATGCGTGTCAAGTTGCTTGAGTCGGCGGCCTCTACCTGTTTGAATGTTTTATGAATACGTGACAGCACCATCACATTTTTATTGCCAATTGGATATTCGATCACGCCAACGGGAGAAGGATGTGGAGAACTACTTTGGATTGGACGACGACACAACGAGCACCAGGGACATGTGAGAACAAGTTGGGAATTGGGTGCATGACAGCGAGAATGATTGGATGATTGAGTGCAGCAATGACACCACCAACAATGGCACCACAACAATACATCATGACCAATCACCATTATCAAGACACGCTCGTGTTATCAGCTGAAGTTGTAGGCGTGGTTCTTCGTCATCCCCTTTGTCGGTCAATATTGCATCTCATCATCCATCTGGGTTACTATGCTCATTCCGTCGACCTCATTGAGGAGATGAGGATCATATTTTTGGTTTCGTAAGGTCTATCTCAGTCACCTGGATACAAGGTTACGGCTCACCCTCTCAACACCGTCATCGATCGCTATACAACATCGTACGGCTTCAAAAGATTTCTTTTATGATGACCAGCCCATTTAACAAGGTAAAAGGAGGAATGGATCGTACATTGGCAAGAGGAAACATGTTCTCATTAAGGCATGTCTTTTTCAGCTGGATAGCTTCATTGGTGCTGAGATCTACAAATACTCCACAATCCAGGGTTACAATGCTTTGGGATGCAAGAATGATCAAGGGCTTGTGCAATCAAATACAGCGATAGTGAGGAACCGGAGAAGGCTTGGATGAGCGATGGGATACAAATTGCATTCGAGTTATGGTGCTTGACAACCTCTCTCATATGTAATACGTTGGATGCTGCAAAGGCGGACTATTACGATTATGTGTACGATGTCCAGTGTTATCAATGAGCGATAGCATTGAAACCATACTTTGCGAGATAAGGACAACATGGCAGCTATTGGGAATACGCGGTGCTTTCTTTTTCACAAGGATCTCTTCCTGGAATTCGCTTTCGAAAGGTTGCAGCGTAGCTTAATCAACACGCGTTTCTTTGTACGATAATGAGTGCAGGATTTCAATTTGGTCTTCAAATACAACACACAATGTCAATTACATGGCTCATTGGGATATTGGTTTTAATGCATTATGGGTCAAAGAGTGGGGTGGGGAAAGGAAGGCAATATTTCTATTATGATGTGTTTTGAAAAAGAGTAGCGTACAGGGGGTTTCACTTTGCTCATCAACCTTTGATTTTCGGTGAATGGCTTAACATTGATTACTGTGGAGTACTTATCTTGAAATAAGACTACATGTTTATGTAACCTATAATAAAGAAGCTTCGTTGGTTGTAAGGTAAATGCGTTATGTCAAAGAAAAAACGAGCTTTAATACAACGTGGCACGAGCACATGACCATACAATGTTTACTATGACAATTCTCAGGCAAGTATATATTATGCAACCTTATATAAGCACGTACTGTACTATACGGGCTATCATCGGCCGGCTATGCTATAGGGGATGAAGCTCGAATCATGCATCCTCCGCCAATGGGATTACCCCTTCAAACCCCGTCCTCCCTAAACTTTGTTACACGAACACGACCTTCTGCATCTTTGTCTCTATTAACATCAAGCTGGTTTACAATCAACAATGATCACTTTTTATATAGCATCACGTTTACAGCATAGTCAAAGCATAAAGACACCTATATCTCATATTGTTACTATCAAGCGTCGGGATCCTATGTACTAGAACAAAGTTGGCCTGCTTGGTCGAATGTATCTTGTGTCAAACACTCATGTCCGTCATGGACATTCTCAAACTTAACCAAAAAACATGTCACCGAGAAAAACTTTCAAGAGGTCGACTCGCGATCCAATTTGGCCGGTAACGACATTCGCGAAATCTGGGGTTGCCCACCTCGATCATGAAACTTGCACACAGGATTCCTTTGATCAAGCCGAGCAGCTTTGTTCTCCTAAGGACAGCAGGCTTCATTGTAAGATTTTGAGGTACGGGCGTCTTTATGTTTACATAAGCCGGGAGTTTGATGGCGTATGACATGTGGTCTTTGTTCAATGTCAAGTTGCCCAACCCTGATAGAGACAAATATGCATAGGGGGCGTGGTTGTGTAACGGAGCCATTTTGCATGATTGGAACGGCCAATGTAGGATACCAGATACACTATCTATGATTGACAGCTAACAGCCACTTCCTCACAATCGACACTGTTGCCCATTCTGTAACATGTGAACAATGCTCCTGCTGCAGCCCAATATTTCGATCATTCAACTTTCTTGATCCGAGCTGATTTGACTGAGCTACGCCAAAACAGCAAACATGAAAATTAATGAAAGACAGACCCTGCGAATGTCTCCGTCTTTCAAACTTTGGGAAGCTCCCATTCCAAATTTTCAAATGAAGCGTGAGGTTTTTATTAGAAAAAGGTAATCAGCATGCTCGAGAGCACACTGCTGACCAATTTTCAAGTTGGAGGTGGGCAACTTCGGGGCGGTGGGCGGTTCGCTCTTTTGTTCCCACAGCAGCGACGCATAAAGATGCATGCGGTGACTCAAATCCTGACGACCTCTCTTACTCTTGCAACCTCACTCTCCTTTCCACCACAATCACACGCCAACCAATCTCTATAAAGAAACCACCTGTTGTTATGGATGGTTCTCTCTACATTCAACACCACACATCGCTCAACACTCTCATGCTGTCAACATTATGCAGCCCATCGCGTACTTGAACACCAACAACCAAATGCCACCGAACACAGCAATGAACGTTTATTCTTTATCTGAAGCAGCATACGTCGTTATCAGCACATCACCTTGAGCTTGTCAAGTCTTCAAAGGTGTTGGTTCCTCGTGTCTGTCAAAGGTGCATACGGCGATAGTGGGCATGGTCGAGGGTGAGTATCATCATGGAAGAGTACAATCAACAAGAGCCTTTTTCGCTAATACTTTCATTTCTAAGGATGCGTGTTTACGTCAATGGATCCATGTGTCACGCCTCACGAGCGCAACTCCATCTATGGTATCCATGAGGCGGCGTTGAGAAAAGCACACGCCAAATGCAATCATGATGATGGGTAAGGGTGAAGACATGGTCTGGATGGATGAACAAGGTATTGAATATGAGTATTACTTTCCAAAGGGTTTGCCTTATCCATGGCAAAGGATCGGGAAGGATGTATGGACATGGTTGAAGGTCAAGATACGGATCAACCACCTGGATGCTGGCTTACATGTCACGTTACCTGCATACTGACAACGAGACCAATGTCTTGGTGCTTCACCACAGCACGACATCAACATCTTTTCAAGCTGCATCACGTGATGGCAAACGAGCAATGGCAATACTATACCGACATAGCAGCAGCCAAACACCTATCACCCAATGCATTGAGCTTCGATCACTATTACATATTGCTGGAATCCGATTTGCCCCATGAACAAGTGGAGATCCTCAAACGTTCGGCATGTTGGCTATTGTTTACAAGGACGTATCTTGATTGCCAGCTGGTGATTGGATCCATTCAAGCGGATAAGGATGAGGAGAACTAGGACATACTCATGTCACGTACAACACATCACCTTCAATCGACAGGTGGATTTATCAGCTGTGATTTCCAAGATGCTTGACTACTTTACCCGTTCGATCCATCATGACAACAATTCTCATGCCCACTCACATACAAACAAGGCTCTTGACACCAACACTATCATACGCCTTTTCTTTCTACTTGTATTCATATCATCATCCATGGCCTTTGGTAAGTCTCAAAATTAGTATTTATGTATTCCTCATAATGAGGGTACTCATGCATTCATTTACGTAGCTCACTTCATCGCTTTACTACTTGATGTGCTCATTGCTGCCTCATGACAATTGGCTGTATCCTTGATGAACCCTTTAGGGTAGGTATACCTATATCATTTATACGTTAAAAGGATGCCAAGACTGATGGGAGAATCAAAGGCTTCTTTGTAGGTGACATGAGTACATTCGGAGAACTAACTTTGGATTGGGTGACGAGTGTACACCAAGGACATCTGAGAAGAGCTTGACAACAAGAATGGTTGGCTGATTGCATGGTGGAGAGCAACAATGACACCGCACACAATGAAATGACGACCACGTATTACCGTCAGGCACCATTGTCAAGACATTCTCATTTTATCAATTGGAGGCACAGGCGTGATTTTCCATCGTCGACTTTATCAATCAGCATCCCATCCCATAATTCAGCTGGTTGATCATGCTCACTCTCTCGACATCATCGGGCGGATGAGGATCCATGTTTCTGGTTCGTGAGTTTACCTCCATCACATAAAGGCAAGGTTACGGATCAACATCTCAACACTATCTCGGATCGCTATGCAACAGCACACATGATTGGATAACGCTGCAAAAGAGGTCTTCTATGATGCTCCCATTTATCAAGGTAAAAAGAGGACCTGGTCTTACATTCGCAAGAAAATGTATCTCACTAAACATACCCTTCTAGCTTGGTTAATGCGTGGAGAATCTATGGATTCAATAACCATGATACGAACCACGTCACAATCGCATCGACAAGACATTGATGATCACCACCAATGATTACAACGTGTTGGGATTCAAGGATTATTATGGACTGCTACGACCACATTCGATGGGGCATGAGCCACTGCAGGATTGGGCGAGAGGGGCTTCGATGACGTGTTATCGCTACATTTGCCTCATGGTGCTTGCCAACCACCCTATGGGGGTATCATGGATGATGTGAACGGCACCTTCTACGATTACGTTTACCGGTCTTATGATGGGCGTTGACAATGATCCAACACCAAATGGAATAAGGTCACAGTGACATACATTAGAAACATTGTAGCCATCGCCGTTTTCTTGTTTATTGAAATATTCGTGTGGAATCCAACATTTTGCAGCGTACTGCATCTTCGTCGTTGCATGCTTTACAATGTGGGTCACGTGTTTGGTGTTCGAATGGTTATGGTTTTCCGCTATACAGTGGATTGATTGCATGGAGATTGAGAGCTATGAGGCTTCGCCTGATTGAACGTTCTTGGGTTGGGAGAAATAGGATGAATAACGAAGATTGGAATTGAAATCAGTATACTATATCATGTAGAGGAGAATTCCTTCTTGTTTGTGGGCACGTTTATGTCATCCGGACATATTTCTTACTATGGATGAACGTAGCAAAGCCTAGTGTAACGATTAGCCAGTGGCGTTTTATGCATGTATCCAGTTATTGAATCTCAATAAAAACCTTACTTGTGTACATCCCATAATATAAAATCGGAACGCCTGTACCTCTTCCGAAGTTTGATATGCAAGCCTCTTGCACTTGCAAGTACAAACTTCCTAAATATAGGTCGGGTTTCCAACCCATCATTTGTAATTTTACTATGTAGTTTCCATGGTAATCTTTGGTAGGATTATGAAGATCATGATGTAACTCGGCATTTGCTCATACATGGCAAATGTTCTTTTGAACGCCAGGGGCGTTGTGTGACATCTTGGATGTGACACAACAACGGGTGCGTCAAGACTATCAACAACACCGCACCGGACATCATTTTCAGTTTTCACATCTCTTTTTATTCTCTCAATTTTTGACATGACCTACGACACTGAGGAAGATGACGATTCGTATAAAGTATGTACATGCACATAGGACAGCATACACGTGAGAAGGTATTCACAAGGTTCTATTTAGATCAACATAAGATTAGAGGATGACGAGGACAGCAAACGAAAACGGTCTTTCGAAAAAGGGCTCAGCACACTTTTAGACGACAAGTATTTTTTGCTCCTCTACGTGCCTGAGAATGGATCCAAGATGAAAGTTATACGACCTGCCAATGACGCATACCATCGGAAGCGCATCATCCAAAGAATCAATGAAGAACGACGCACTCCATCTTTTTATTACGCCTTATCGCATCTTTGGGGTCTCACAGAAAACAACCGATATCACTGGAATGATATCAGTGAATACGTTGACGACGAACAAGGACAACCAATGAAACCTGTTTCCATGCGACCCGAGAAACGAGATGCATTACTTACAATGCTCCAGGACCATCCTGACAGCTATTGGTGGATCGATGTCTTGTGTGCACGCACCGATACCCCACTTGATATCATGGGAGATATTTACGCCTGTTGCCTTGAATGTATTGTCATGATCGATTGTCAGCGAAGCCTTATACCGAAAATTTACTCATACTACTGGCAGCCACATCAAACGTCGAGTTCCCAGCTAATTGAAGTCTTGGATATATTCTTACAAAGCCAATGGTGGTATCGTGTATGGACCTGGCAGGAGATGGCTCTCCCTGTTGGTGATGTGCGATTTATGGCTGAAACAGATATTCATCGACTCCAACGCAACACAATCACTCTGAAGAAATTACTCATATGCTAGTCAGCTGGAAGATCGTATGAAGTTTGCTGCCAATGGGCGGCAAACTAAAATACTACACGGTATGTTCCCACGCGAGGTTGGATTTGATGTTGACGAGCACTGCTAACCAGTTGACGTCGCCCTGGATAGTTAATATAAGATTCGCGGAGATACGCCATGCAAGAGACGCCAACGTTCTTCATAGGGCGACAAATGAGTCATTGGGTTATGTAATGTCTTCATTGAGGTATTCCGCGCGACGATGTTATGATCCACGTGATTATGTTTATGGAGTGCTGGGAATGATGCAGATCAAAATCCCAAGGATGGATGATCCCAATGAAGTTTGGAGGCGGTTATTGGCAGAGCTGGATGGCTTACATCCGCTTAGGTTTGGAACATGGGTTCATTGGGCAGATGGTTTCGATTTACGAAGAGTTGATAACATTGGTGATGTATACAGCAAGTTGGATTTGATTTATCTTCATGATCAGTTTAAATCCTGAAGACTACTGCCTGGAGCTAAGAATGGCCTTTATTATTAAAATGACTATGATGATTATTTGTGCTCTTGCATAATGTTAGCAGGAGACTGATGTCACGCTATTGGTTGGAGATGGGTTGTGGCAGGGTTGAATTTGGATGCTCTCTAGGTATTTCACGTCTACTCTTCTTCCCACTCAACTCGGACAACAGCTTCTCAACTATATAATCCTCCAACATGACACAGCTCACAACCACCATTGCGACTCATCTGTTAACGATTCAGCAACGAGTAAACGAAGACAGCCAGCGATTGTGTCCTTGCTCTACATTCAACGCTGTTGATCGGCAGCAACCGGTTTCCAAGAGGTCTTTGTTTCACGGCATACTACAACAACATATTGTCGATGATATCCAGCCGCTTTATTCATTCAACAACGACACGCATTACCGGTTCATGTTACTGCTACCAAGGCTTTTGAGTACTGGTCGACCCTTTATCAAGGTAAGAGGATGATGGCATATCACAATGGTGACAATCTTCTCACGTGTTCATGGTCCAGCACAATGTTTTGAGTCATGCGTGTCAAGTTTGGATGCAGCAACGTTTTCGTTTTTCACTTTTGATGTTGGAATACACAGGTAACAATTGGATGAGGTGGAATATGATGAAGAGAAGAGTGATAATTGACGTAATCACCTTGTATGTAGTGAGGCTGCACGATGCGATCACATTGATTGTGGATGATGCCACCTTGTCAACAGGTGCTGGAACACGCGAGGAAACTCTGGAATGCGTACCCGACATGGTGCCTTGGGAAAAGAAAAGCTATATCGACATTCCAACAATTTGAAGATCATGCTATGTTATGAAGATCGAGACAACCCCCAGGATTGGCAACGTTGGCGATTGAGCGCATGGAAATCTGATATGATGATTTGGATGTGATTACGGGCACTTGATGAACCAATGGATTACGGGGTCAATTCGGATAACGAACGAGGATGAGGAAAGCTATTCGATAACGAGGATATCAACTATAAACGTGACCCAGCATGACTCCTGAATTTCAGCATCGATGCACAGCAACGGCAATCACTTGAAAGATGGAGAGCAGCAAGTGAACAACGACCTCGTATTCGTATCAAGTTTCATTGTCGTCGCCTTGGTCTTAGTTGCAGATATGGACCTGATCCCACCTATTGTATTTATCATTGTTGCCCAGCAATCGCATCCACACCCATTCAGCTGCTTCCTTCTCAACCATCACATCCCTGTGGAACGCAGCAAACATGCATTCGGATTCGGATTACATTTCACTCAATGGATCTATGATTGGGAACGTACTCGGTACCTTGAAATGATTGAAGCAGCTAGCACCAATACGATTAGATCATTGGACATCCGCGATATGGTTATCATCGACCTGATTTTGCAAGCTTTACCTCCATCACTTGGCGACGTCGTAAGGGATCATCATCTCAACAAGGATGTATTCTTTTGAAACAGCACACGTGATCATATATGGCTACAAGAGTTTCTTGATGGAACGCTCTCACTACGGTAAGAGGAAGAAGGTGTCTTACGTTGGGCATGGGAAGAAAAATCATATTAAACCATGCGCTTTTAGATTGGCGAATGCATTTGCAGTGTCCATGGCATCATACGGTCGAGATGGCGCATACAATATCGCACTTGTGTTTTACAACCATTGATTACAACTGATTTGGGATCCAAGGATTATCAAGGACACATTTAGCCTTGCTGAAGAATCACGACATGATGGAAACAGGATTGGATGTGAAGGATGTGGATGATGGGATATACCGCTTGCATGTGACTCATGGCGCTTGGCAACCCATCTGATATGGAATCTCCCGGATGATGCAACGCCCTGCTACAAGTATTGATGATGGACCACAACATTGGACCAATACCGAGAGTGTGTTAGCGTACAACTCCATCCATTGGAAATAAGCACTGTTTCCCTTTCAACAAACCTTTTCGAGAAAACCAATATGAAAATCTCAACCGCGTTGTGTTTTACTATCATTATTCTGATGTCAATCACGTGGCTCATCTTACTATGTATTTCATTGTTTGGCTGTGCAGTGAGGATGGGGTTGGATGAGGGACAAGGATGAAGGAAAACGGTATCATCACGAAGTTGCTTTGAACGGGAATGGGATTGACAACGAAGGTTCGATTGTCCAATGGGTTGGTTTCATGGGAAATGAGGATTATGAGGGTTTATATGATTGCTAGCAAGTGAGGATGGAGAAAGATATAATGGGCAACGAAGGCTGGCATGGCAACCATCTTCATGAGACCACGCCTTTTGTAGCGTGTTCATGGTTATTAAGCCATCCGTGTCCTACTCCTCGTTTTCAACTTGAGCTTGAGTCCTAGAAGGAGATGTTTTCACTGGCATTGAAACCTCGGCTTTCGTGTCACGTTATTGTGACACCCCAACTTACAAATAAACTCGGATCATGAACATCTTTTCCAAAGTTTGAGCCTAAAGTGTTTTATACTTCCCAATTCAAGGTCACTACATGCTGGCAGGGTACTCAACATGAGTCGGCTTTATGCTTGCATTGGTTTCTTAAATGGGCTGGATTACCGTGTACGCACGACTATATCATTATATCTCGGTGTTTGGTCATACATGGCAATGCTTTGAGTCTTGTTTACTACATGCTGCATGACGTGCAACAATACTATGAATAGGAATCCCCCCGGCACGTCTTCAGTTTTTCACATCTTTTCTTCTTCCATATTCAACATGACATGCGACACTGATGAAAACAATCATGTCTATAAAGTATGCATGTCCATAAAATGCCCATGCACCTGAAAAGATATTTACTATGTTGATTCTAGATCAATATACAACGTTTAGAGCATGATACGGATAACAAGTATAAAGAGTTCTTTGAAAAAGGACTCAATGCACTTTTGGACGATGAACATTTTCTGTTACTTTATGTGCCTGATAACGGAGACAAGATGCAAATTGTACGACCTGCCAGCAATCTATTCCATCGACGACGCATGATCAAAAGGATCAATGAAGCCAAACGCATCCCATCTTTTTATTACGCATTGTCACACCTTTGGGGCCTCACAGAGAACGACCGATATCACTGGAATGATATTCATGAATACGTGAATGACGAACAAGGACAACCAGTAAAGCCTGTATCAATGCGACCTGAGAAACGAGATACACTACTTGCAATGCTCAAGGATCATCCTGACAGCTATTGGTGGATTGATGTCTTGTGTGCACGTACCGATACACCATTGGATATTATGGGTGACATTTACTCTTGTTGTCTTGAGTGTATTGCCATGATCGATTGTGAGCCAAATGTGATATCAGAAATTCGCACAATATCGGGTACAGCAGAGGAGGCACTCGAGGAATTGTATAATTCCAGAGAAGGAGGGTACCTAAAATACAAGGATGTAAAGCAAACTCAAGCTCCGCAACTGTTTGGATACTTGTACATATTCATGCAAAGTCAATGGTGGAAACGAGTATGGACCTGGCAGGAGATGGCTCTACCTGTGGGAGACGTAAAGTTTGTGGCGGAAACAGGGACTCACCAATCCCAAAGCAACACTCTTACTCTTAATCAATTACTTGGGTTTCCATATGTAAGAATGGCGTACCTTCTGAGGGAAGAAGTTCCACTCACTCCGGTGCATGAGAGTACGTTGCACAACATGCTTTAATTGTCCTTGATGCGGCATGCTAACCTTTTGGTCAGGTGAGATGAAGCTTATGAGAGAGGTCGTATCCGCGGTTGAGGAATATCTAAGTGGCATAGAAGACGCCAGGAGAGCCTGCAAAGGTCGTTTCAGGTCGAAATGGGGGAGTTTTTGCCACCTAATTAGTTCATTGAGTGATTCCACACGACGATGTTATGATCCATGCGATTATGTTTATGGTGTGCTGGGTATGTTGCAGATCAAAATCCCAAGGATGGAGGATCCCAATGAAGTCTGGCGATGCTTATTGAATGAGCTCGATCGTCATCCCGTGGATATCACGTTTGCACCCGATAAATGCATTGATCGTGCAGATGAAATCGATTTACTCAAAGTTAGAGCTATTGGAGAAGTGTACAGGAAATTGAATGATATCTATTATGGTGCTAAATAATGATGAAAACTACTGCCCAAACATGATTTTTTAAATGTGTACAGATGCTCTGCAACTAATTACAGTGAGACTTATGGATGTGGATCATGCGCATAGGATGTGGCGGAGAGGGTAAAATGGATGGTGGTGGGTAACGTGCACCTCAGCCAGCACCTCTTTCCACTTCCATTCCACCAACAATGTACACCTGCAACTACCTCTCACAACTGCTTCCACAATGACACAGTCAACAACGCCAATGCTCTGCATCTGTTACTATTCAACAACACGTAATTGAAGAAACCCAACGACCGTGTCCTTGCTCGTCATTAACGCTGTTGATCTTTAGCACCTCGTTTCCAAGAAGCTTTTTGGCGCAGTACTGCAACGTGTTGACAGCAGCTTCACGATACCATATGTCAACCCATTTACCAAGGTAAGAGGATGACGGATTATCATACGTAGTCGTACCAATCTTCTCACGTGTTGTATGATGCAGTACAATGGTTCAAGTCATGGATGTCTAGTTTTGGATGTTGCGTTGTTTATTTACTCTTAATGTTGGGTATCCAGGTAACAGGTGGATGGGTTGGTATGTTTCGAGAAAATGGATGATAATTGACATGCTCGTCACGTAGTTGATATTCATTTTAGATGATGGATTCTGGTCAACGTATACGTGAGCCTACGAGAGATACTCGACAACATCTGCGATGGCAAACGAGAAGGTGTTTCAACATGACATTGCAATCCACGTTCTATACCACATCAAGTTGTTGCACCTGAGGGATCGTTGTACACTATTGAAAGCGAGAAAATCATGAGAATTGACAGCTTCAACGAATGCACCCGTGGAGATACGATATGACGCCATTGTTGGATTTATGGATACCTCAGGATAACTGCAACGATTGATTGTCAATGATTGTTGGGTCATTTCAGGAGAACGAGGATGGGGAAAGCAATGTGTGGGTTCGATCACGAAGACTTCAAGAATCAGCACCAAGCAACATGCAAAAAGTGAGGAATTGGAGTCATGCCAGCAAGAGAGGAGACCTGAAGAATGATTCGTCCTAGCAACGGAGCCACGAACAATGACCAACAACAGCAACAATGACATCGCATTCATCAAGCTTGATTCTCAGCATATATTCGCGTAATCATATGGAGATATGGATCTGATCCTACATGATTCTTCTTGATCAGCACTCGATCGTTTCATCCAACCACGCATCTGCTTCGCCTTATTCACCATGAAAGTATTGCTGTGCTTGCACTTCATCTCAAAAGCGTGATTCTATATGGGATACATCATCTGATCGAGTATTCTGCCAGCGCCAATCAGCCGTTTATCGATGACATGGTTCAATGCATGCAGCAGATGTCTCTTTGTGGCAGCAGCAAGGTAAACCTAAGGAAAGGGGAGATGGGATGCAAGCTCCAATCACTTGCTAACATGGGTCGATTTTTACGGTTATAGAATGCACCATCTTTTTACAGCAACAAGAAGGCGGATTTTGGGGGAAAATGCATGACCAACGGAGTCAGATGGCTACTGGGGATTGATACGCTTCTTCATCAACACATTTACTTTCCATGTATCGTTGCTAGAAGATGCGTGTCACGTTGCTTGAGTGGGCGGCCTCTACCTGTTTGGATGTTTTATGAATACGTGACAGCACCATCACATTTTTATTGCCAATTGGATCTTGGATCACGATGACTAGAGAAGGATTTGGAGAATCGCCTTTGGATTGGATGATGACACAATGAGCAGCAGGGACATGCGAGAACAAGTTGAGAATCGCGCATGGCAATGACAATGATTGGATGATTGGATGATTGAAGTGCAGCAATGACACCATCAACAATGGCACCACAACCGTACATCATGATCAATCACCATTATCAAGACAGGCTCGTGTTATCACCTGAAGTTATAAGCGTGGTTCTTCATCATCCTCTTTGTCGGTCAATATTCCATTCCATCATCCATCTGAGTTACTATGCTCATTCCATCGGCATCATTGAGGAGATGAGGATCATATTTTTGGTTCGTAAAGTCTGTCTCAATCACCTGGATACAAGGTTACGGATCACCCTCTCAACACCGTCATCCGCTATACAACAGCACGCCTGACTGGATACCGCTTCAGAAGATTTCATATGACTCCCCCATTTATTAAGGTAAAAAGAGGCATGGATTGTACAAGACGAAGCTCTTCTCATTAAGGCACGCCTTTTTCAGCTGGATAGCTTCATTGGTGTTGAGGTCTACCAATGCTCCACAATCAAGGGTTACAGTGCTTTGGGATGCAAGAACGATCCAGGGCTCGTGCGATCAAACACAGCGACACCTGGAGGAAGGATGAATGATGGAATACACATTGCATACCAATTATGGTGTTTGGCAACCTCTCTCAAATGGAATACGTTGGATGTTGCAAAGGCAGGCTACTACGATTATGTCTACGATGCCTGGTGTTATCAATGGGCTGGTAATACTTTGCGAGATAAGGGCAACATGGTCTCTATTGGGAATACGCAGTGCTTTCTTTTTCACAAGAACCTCTTCCTGGAATTCTCTTTCGAAAGGTTGCAGCGCAGCTTAATCAATACATGTTTCTTTGTACGATAGTCAGCGTTGGATTGCAATTGGGTCTTCAAATACAACACACAATGTCAATCACTTGGCTCGTTTGGGGTCATTGGTTAAAATGCATTATGGGTCAAAGAGTGGGGTGGAGAAAGGAAGGCAATATTTCTATCATGACGCGTTTTGAAAAAGAGTAGCGTACAGAGGGTTTCACTTTGCTCATCAACCTTTGATTTTCGTTGAATGGCTTAGCATTGCTTACTGTGGGGTACTTAATCTTGAAATAAGCCTACATGTTTACGTAACCCACAATAGAGAAGCTTGGTTGGTTGCAAGGTGAATGCGTTATGAACTTATGATTAAGAAAAAACGAGCTTTAATACAACGTGGCACGAGCACTTCACCATACAATGTTTACCTATGATAATTCTCAGGCAAGTATATATTATGCAACCTTATACAAGCGCGAGCTATACTATACGGGCTATCATGGCCGGCGATGCTATAGGGGGGTGAAGCTCGAATCATGCATCCTCCGCCAATGGGATTACCCCTTCAAATCCCGTCCTCCTAAACTTTGTTACACGAACACGACCTTCTGATCTTTGTGTCTATTAACATCAAGTTGTTTTACTATCAACAATGCCCACTTTTTATATAGCATCACGCTTACAGCATAGTAAAAACATAAAGACTCCTATATCTCATAATGTTACAATCAACCGTCGGGATCCTACTAGAACAAAGTTGGTCTGCGTGGTCGAATGTATCTTGTGTCAAACCCTCATGTCCGTCATGGTCATTCTCAAACTTACCCAAAAAATAGGATTGCTCGTCACTGAGAAAAACTTACAAGAGGTAGACTCACGATCCAATTTGGCTGGTAGCGACATTAGCGAAATCTGGGGTTGCCCACCTCGATCATGAAACTTGCACACAAGATTCCTTTGACCACGCCGAGCAGCTTTGTTCTCTTAACGACAGCAGGCTTCATTGTAAGATTTTGAGATATGGGCATCTTTATGTTTTACATATGCTGGGAGGTTGATGGTATATGACATGTGGTCTTTATTCAATGTCAAGTTGCCCAACCCTGATAGAGACAAATATGCATAGGGGGCTTGGTTGTATAACGGAGCCATTTTGCATGATTGGAACGGCCAATGTAGGATACCATATACACTATCTATGATTGGCAGCTAACAGCCACTTCCTCACAATCGACACTGTTGCCCATTCTGTAACATGTGAACAATGCTCCTGCTCCAGCCCAACATTTCCATCCTTCAACTTTCTTGATCCGAGCTGATTTGACTGAGCTACGCCAAAACAGCAAACATGAAAATTAATGAGACAGACCCTGCGAAGGTCTCCGTCTTTCAAACTTTGGGAAGCTCCCATTCCAAATTTTCAAATGAAGTGTGAGGTTTTTATTAGAAAAAGGTGATCAGCATGCTCGAGAGCACCCTGCTAACCAATTTTCAAGTTGGAGGTGGGCAACTTCGGGGCGGTCGGCGGTTCGCTCTTTTGATCCCATCATCCACCATTTGGACCGCCCCGCATTTTAACTCTTCACAATGAAGTCTACGACTTTTAAATGAATGAAGTTGATCAGCCTATCCCAACGAACCTGCTGACCCAATTTCAAGTTCGAAATGGGGAACCCCAAGATTATACATACTACTTCGATAAATCATGGATCTGGGGCTGACCTGCATTTCCGACTTACATAGTAAACCCCACATTGTACCCTCCCATTCAATTTTTTATAATCAAGTGTTGGTTCTTTTATAATCCGAAGTTGATCAGCATGTCTAAGTACACCTTGTGTGAAAGCTTCAGGTTTGAGAGGGACAATCTCAATATCAAGGTTTGATGTACAATGTGCATGCATTTATACAAGAGGTGTCCGCCCGATTTAATTTCCACTTCTTCCACTCTCAACCCCTTGCCTCTTCCTGCCATTGTCAATTGTTGGCCCATTCAAGTACAACTACCACCTGCGAACGATTGTCCTGCTTCAACCCACCATGTCAAGCATACAACTCTCTTGATCCGATTGTGTTTGACTGAATGGCAAGTCCATGGCGTGTATACCCCACTTCAACACTCGCGTTTCTTGACACTTCAACTTCTCTTATACAATCCTCGACCACATTCAAACGTAACGTAACAACATTCATTGCAGCAGTTGTCAATAGCTAGGACTCTACCTCCATTGCCTCAAACAGTGTTGGTTACTTGCAGCAACCTCCTTGCAGCCTTTTTTTACGTGAACAGCAGATAGCCATTGTATATAGGCAGCTTTATTTACGTGTAGCAACTTGTATCAAATACATACGTCTTTTTATGGATATGGATATTGGTTTGGTACATGGGGTGGAAGGAATGGTTCCCTTGATCCGTTTGTAACGTGATGATCAGCTTGGATGATGCCCATATCAGCTATCAATTACGCCGTTAATTACACATGCAACCTTATCCTGGTTTGAGCTGCGATAGAAAATGGCCTAGCAAGTGGTTCACCAGTAGCCGGATGGGGATAGGAAGCGTATCAGCAGCGACTACATAGTGGCGCTTTCATATTGGGCTTACAATGGTTATGATGGATGAATGGACGGGTGCAATCAAATGATGAGAAACCTTGGAATGTTGCTATGGTTGTGCATACTTGGGATGTTGTCCGCAGGAAGGATGGATCATATCACATGGTCACGGCTGAGGATGGTGATGGGTTGGATAGCATTTGATGATGGGAAGTGTGCTGTTGATGAAGACATTGGAAACCAAGGCACGCAGCAATGATGGATAAAAACGCTCATGATGGCAAGCCGCGCTGCTCATGTCAACCATGGATATGATGCCATAGATACCTTATTCATTTGTCTACTACTTTACATTGTCAGCAGCAAGGATCCGTATTGTATTGTTACCTGTATAAGGCTAATGGTATTTTGGATACCATCATGAATCATGTTGCAATTCACCCAGGGACAGAATCTCTACAACGTATTTTGCGATCAACATGCTTTGGGCTACGAGCCTGAGAAAGGCACAATCCTATGCTTGCATACAGCAATTAGCACCCAAGTATGTCAAATGAGGATTTATACGTCAATGAATAGGTGTCACCGTAGGCGAATCCCGGTGCATGTTATTATGTGTCAAGGGGACCACGGCTGAATGGCCCATTTTCAAGGAGGATGAGCTTACGTGAGGTCCAACCAATTTCTACAATATGGATGCAACTGCAAGCATAGTCATAATGGCAACGGAGAACTGGAGATTCAATAAGGTACCAAGGTCTCAAAACACTCTGCATGCGAGCGAGACATTCCGAGTATCCGCTTTTGCCTTGCTTTGAGGGGTTGCATCAACTGCAGGAAATGACCATTTGTGGACAAGAGAGTAAGTAACAACCCTGTAGATCCGACGTATTTAGAAACGATACCTTTTACAATACGGGTTTTAGAGTATTGAATGCTATACAATAAAAGTGGGTGTTGTGTTCACCACCATCTGCACTTTCTAGATCGTTAGCTTATTGCTGTATCATATTTGTGTTACAATGAAATAAACTTGTTCGGTAGGTGGAAGATAAAACCAGCTTTTCAATGGCATTGTTTTAACATGATGCAGCATCGTTCATATGCTGCAAATCTCAAGATGTTCAAACATGGATTATCAAGCGTCTCTTTTGACTCTCTGCCTTGACGTCAATAACATAGATGATGACGGTCACTTTTGACTCACCATTTGCATACATCCGATCCTCTTTCAAACATGGCTGTCAATTGTGTTCGGACTCTGTCCCATTTATGCACAAAAGCAGTTACACAACCTTGAGACACGCGCATGTTAATATCATTGAAAATTGCTGCTCGGCCTGGATTGCTTTCAAAATAATACCAAGGAGCAATGAAGGCAACCAAAGGATTCATTTCGATAGTACCCATATCACTATTCAAGAACCAAAAGGTGTCGCAATCATCATGCATCCACAATGTTGGATGAAATTGGTCCAAGGCTTCTCATTTCCTTGTTTTTCTCTTTCAACCCACTTTGTATGATATTTCAGGTCAATGTGATGACAATAAAGAAAAGCGATTTGTAATCCTCCACAAGCAGGTGATCACTTTATTAGCAGCAGATACCAAGCTCGAAACAGTAGTGGGATGATGATACGACAACATCTACATATGCAAATGATAGCTCCTTCAACAGCAGGGATGGTGTACGTATACATCACCTACAAGGGAGGTATGGGGCATGTATCGATATTTGGGATTAGGTGCTTTCAGCTGTATCATCGTTATCAGTGGCTGGTTGCTACGCGATCCACAGTAGTGACGCATAAAGATGCATGTGGACTCAAATCCTGACGACCTCTTTTGCTCTTGCAACCCCACTGGTCTTTCCACCACAATCACCCAGCAACCAACCTCTGCAAAGAAAGCACCTGTTGTTATGGACGTTTCTCTCTACATTCAACAACTCTCATCGCTCGACATTGTCCTGCTGTCAACATTAAGCAGACCATCGCGTACTTGAACCACCAACAACCAATGCAACCAAGCACATCAATGAACGTTTATTCTTTATCTGAAGCAGCATACGTCGTTATCAGTACATCGTTTAAGCTTGTCAAGTCTTCAAAGGTGTTGGTTCTTCGTGTCTGTCAAAAGTGGATACGGCTCTACTTGGCATGGTCCAGGGTGAGTATCATCATGGAGGTGTAATATCAATAAGAGTCTTTTTCGCTAATACTTTCATTTCTAAGGATGCGCGTTTACGACAATGAATCCATATGTCACGTCCTACGAGCACAGCTTTATCTATGGCATTGAAAAGACTCTTGTTATCCATACGTATACCAAGGCAATCATGGTGTTGGGTAAGGATAAAGGAATGGTCTGGTTGGGTGAACAAGGTATTGAATGCAAGCACCTTTTTTCAAAGGAATGGCAATTTTCAACCCTCTATCCAAGACATGTGGTTGTCGAGAAGGATTTGTGTGACATTTTGAAGGACAAGGAGCAGATCAACATACGGACACATGGATGCTGGATTGGATTGCATGACACATTACCTGCACACTGGCAATGAGACCATGGTTTTGGCGCTTAACCACAGCATTCGATTCCAGCATTAGTATGCGATGGCAAAGGAACAGCGAAGGATGAGGTTGGCAACATCCCAACATTGCAGCAATCAATCCCCGTATCACTCCATGCATGGCACTTTGATCACCGTGGTCTATTGATGGAAACATGAAAGAGCGTTGAAATGGACGATTTCGGCGAAGGAACCAATGGAGATACGCAAACGCTCGACATGCAGCTGCTTGGATGTTTTACAAATACGTGACAGCATGTTGGCTATACATCAACTGGTCATGGATCAATGCAAGAGGATAAAGCTGAGGGGAACTACTTTTGGATGACCACAACAATGAGCGTCAAGAGGCATGTGAAAAGAAAACGACAATGAAATGCAATGCTTCAATACACCGAGTCCCCCAATATTTTTCGACACCTCCATATTTTCCACAAGATCAACCACACCATCGGTGCTACATACATCCCATCCATCTCTCGATGTTCCACACTTTCAGACTTGCCACATGTCGCAGGAATCCACTTTAATGGTTACTTGATTGGATGATGGGGACCACCGATGAGACCACATTGACCACGCATCCTTTATCAAGTTTTCACGCTCATGGCCTCAACTGCTGGGGATATGGACCTGATTCCACATTGTCATTGTTGTCCAACGCTCGTCATCATTTCATCCCAACCACTCGTCATTTCAAATCAATCGCTTATTCCTAACCACCAGCATGTTTCATAAGATCTTGGGAGGTGTACCTCCATAACTTGCCCCCGTGGTTACATCATCATCTTGGATACGACTATGCTTTCCTATGCAACAACACATGTGACCATGTATCGCCCCAAGGTTCCTCTTTATGATACATTCGTTCGCTGAAGGTATGTGAACCATGGCAAGAAAAAACAACATCTCATTAAAACGTTCTTTTTCATCTTGGATAAAGCAGTTTCACTGGCATTGGGTTCTACGGTGATCATGCAAACCAAGGGATACGGTGCGTTGGCATGGAAACATAAGCAAGGGCTCATGGGTTCCACTACATCGATGACAAAGGAACAGCTGCAGGATTGGGATGACAAAGATTTTGGTAATGGATTCCAATTGTATTCGACATTTGGTGCTTGACTACCCCCTAATTTCCCGTATCCTGGATGGTACAAGAAAGCAGCTACGATTCTGTTTACGGCGATCAAATCACATGAAGCGGCTACGACAATGATCCGATACCGAATGGTACAAGGACACGCGACAACCTTTAGAAGTATGCGATTCGTAGGACACTTTTCAATGCTTTCTTCTTCAATGAATCTTTTTGGAGGATCGAACATGGAAATCTTTGTACAGCCTAGTTTCATCAGGGATGTTCGTTCATGTGGATCATTTGGTTACTTTTTCGATGATGATTGTTCTTGGATGTACAATGGGTTGATTGATGAAAAGGGGAATTATGGGGCTCCATATAAACGAAACTTTGTTGGGTTCGAGAAAAACACGATGAAGGGCGAAGACTGGTATTGAGGAATTCATTGGTGCTATCACCATTGGGTTCATATTACTTGAGAATCAGTGGTGCTTCATAGTAATCTTTGTCATGTACAATGTATGCAAGAAGTAAAGAGCATGTCCCATCTCAGATATTGTGTCTTATTGGACCCTTCTTGTATCACAAGTGGTATGTAGTACGCCATAATAGTTTTTGTGGGCTTAGCGGCTTTGATGATATTTGGCATGTGGCACAGCATATACCGAGTAGTGCAACATGGATAGTGCTGCTCCTAACATAGTTTCCAATTCTCTCATCTTTCTTTCCACTTTTCATCATGACATGGGACACTGACGAATACAACAACCCTTACAAAGTATACACTTTCATAGTCTCGTCAGATGTTATTGATATTCATGACTTTTTGTTTAGATCGATATAAACCTAGAGGATGACCCAGAGGGCAAATTCAAAATGTTTTTCGAAAAAGGGCTCGGTGAACTCTTAGCCGACGAGTTTTTTCTACTCCTCTACGTGCCTGAGGATGGAGGGCGAATGCAAGTTGTACGGCCTGCCAGTGATTCATACCATCGAAAACGCATGATCAAAAGGATCAATGAAACGAAACGCGGCGTTCCATCATTTTATTACGCATTGTCGCATCTTTGGGGGCTTAAAAAAGACAACCGGTTTCGGTGGATGGGCATCAGAAAGCACGTGGATGACGAAGAAGGGCAACCCATGAAACCTGTTTCCATGCGACCTGAGAAACGACATCCATTGTTGTCAATGCTCAGAGATCACCCTGACAGTTATTGGTGGATTGACGTTTTATGTGCACGTACCGACACGCCATTGGACATCATGGGAGATATTTATGCATGCTGCCTTGAATGCATTGCCATGATTGACTGCGAACCTGCTCTGATACGAAACATTCACACAAAGTTAGATGCGGTAGAGGAACTCGATGAAGCAATGAAGCGCGAAAGAAGACCATACCTAACAAACGAGGAGTTACATCAAACCAAAGCTCCCCAACTCATTGACCTCTTGGATACATTCTTCCAAAGTGAATGGTGGCAACGTGTTTGGACCTGGCAGGAGATGGCTTTACCTGTGGGACATGTGCGATTTATGGCTGAAACAGAGACTCGTCGGCTCCAAACAAGCAACACAATTACTACGGATGACTTAGAGGGATTTAGAAGGATGTTAATACAACACGTGCTCCATATTTTACGACATGAGCTAGGACCTGGTAGGTTCCACTGGATGTTTGAATTGATATTGTCGATCGCTGCTAACCAGTTGACCAGAGTATGCCGGGTTTGAGACATCCGACGAAGTCTGTACAAGACTCAATGGCGTATTTACTGCTAGAACATGCAACACTCTTCGTATCACTATGACCAGAAGTGGGGCTTTGTATTATGTAATGGGATCATTGGAGTATTCCAATCGACGATGTTATGATCCATGTGACTATGTTTATGGAGTGCTGGGAATGATGCAGATCAAAATCCCAAGGATGACCGATCCTAATGATGTTTGGCGCCATTTCTTGTATGAGCTGGATGATTTAGCTCCAATTGACTCTGGAAGATGGATGGACTATGCAGATGAAATCGATTTGCGAGAAGTTGAAAATATTGGCGACGTATACAAGAAGTTGAACGAAATTGGTGAAGCAGACGAAAATGTATTGCGAATCCTTGATGCACACTCGAATGAGATGCTGTAGAGCACATAATGTTTCATTAAATGATAGTGATGATATTACATTGTGGGGGAAAGTGATGAGTGATGGATGTAGAATGTGTCGGGATCGTTGATGAAAATGGGTCAAGGTGCTCTCTTTTTCCCACTCAAGCTGGACAACAGCTTTCTCAACCACTACTTTCCTTCCAGCATGACACAGCTCACGACCACCAATGCGACGCATCCATTACAATTCAGCAACGAGTCATTAAAGACAACCGACGATCGTGTTCTTTTCCTCGACATTCGACGCCGTTGATCTACAGCAATTGCTTTGTTTCACGGCGTACTAGTACAACATATTATCGATGATATACAGCAGCTTTATTCATTCAACGACACGTATTATCGGTTCATGTTACTACTACCAAGGCTTTTGAGTACTAATCGACCCTTTATCAAGGTAAGAGGATGATGGCATATCACAATGGTGACAATCTTCTCACGTGTTCATGGTCCAGCACAATGTTTTGAGTCATGCGTGTCAAGTTTGGATGCAGTAACGTTTTTCACTTTTGATGTTGGAATACACAGGTAACAATTGGATGAGGTGGAATATGATGACGAGAAGAGTGATAATTGACTTAATCAGCTTGTATGTAGTGAGGCTGCAGGATGCCAAAACATTGATTGTGGATGATGCCACCTTGTCAACAGGTGCTGGAACACATGAGGAGCGCGATCGTGTATTGGATACGGCAAAATCAGCGAGTATTCTGCCAGTGCCAATCATCAGCCGTTTATCGATGACATGGATGAATAATGCAGCAGATGCCTCAATGCAGTTGCAGCAAGGTAAACCTAAGAAAAGGGGATATGGGACGCAAGCTCCAATCACTTGCTAACATGGGTCGATTTATAGAATACACCATCCTTTTACAGCAATAACAAGGGGAAAACGCATGACCAACGGAGTCAGATGGCTACTGGGGATTGATACGCTTCTTCATCAACACATTTACTTTCCATGTATCGTGGCTACAAGATGTGAGTCAAGTTGCTTGAGTGGGCGACCTCTACCTGTTTGGATTTTTATGAATACGTGACAGCACCATCACATTTTGATTGCCAATTGGACCTTGGATCAAGCCAAAGGGAGAAGGATTTGGAGAACTACCACTACCTTTGGATTGGATGATGACACAATGAGCAGCAGGGACATGCGACAACAAGTTGGGAATTGGGTGCATGGCAACGACAATGATTGGATGATTGACTGCAGCAATGACACCATCAACAATGGCACCACAACCTTACATCATGATCAAGACACGTTCGTGTTATCAGCTGAAGTTGTAGGCGTGGTTCTTCATCATCCTGTCTGTCGGTCAATATTCTATATCTATGGTCTCCACGAGGCGGCGTTGAAAAAGGCTCTTGTTATCCATACGTATGCCAAGGCAATCATGGTGTTGGGTAAGGATAAAGGAATGGTCTGGTTGGGTGAACAAGGTATTGAATGCAAACATCTTTTTTTTTTTTTTCAAAGGAATGGCAATTTTTCAACACTTTATCCAAGACGTGTGGTTGTCGAGAAGAATTTGTGGGGCATTTTGAAGGACAAGGCGCAGAGCAACATATGATCACGTGGATGCTGGATTGGATTGCATGACACATCACCTGCTCACTGGCAACGTGGCCATGGTTTTGGCACTTAACCACAGCATTCGATTCCAGCTTTAGTATGTGATGGCAAAGGAACAGCGAAGGATGCGGTTGGCAACGTCCCGACACTGCAGCAATCAATCACCATATCACTCAATGCATGGCACTTTGATCACCTTTGTCTATTGATGGAAACCTGAAAGACCGCTGGGATGGATCATTCGGCCCTGGAACAAATGGAGATACTCAAACGCTTGACATGCAGCTACTTGGATGTTCTACAATACGTGACAGCATGTTGGCTATATACCAACTGGATCATGGATCAACTCAAGAGGATAAAGCTGAGGGGAACTACTTTTGGATGAGGACAATAATGAGCGTCAGGCTTCATGTGAAAAGAAATCGACAAGGATCACCCAATATTGTCTACACCTCAGTACATTCCACAAGCTCGACCACACCCTCCGTGCTATATACACCCCATCCATCTCTCGATGTTCCACACTTTCAGATTTGCCACATGTCGCAGGAATCCACTTTAATGGTTACTTGATTGGATGATGGGGACCAATGCGACCACGACAAACGGCAACAATGGCCATGCATCCTTGTCAAGTTTCATTGTCAAGAGACGCTCATGACCTCGGCTTCTTGGAATATGGACCTTATTCCACATTGTCATTGTTGTCCAACGCTCGTCATCATTTCATCCCAACCACTCGTCATTTCAAATGAATCCTTATTCCCGGCCACCAGTATGTTTCATAAGATCTCGAGAGGTTTACCTTCAGAACTTGCCGCCGTGGTTACATCATCATCTTGGATACGAGTATGTTTTCCTATGCAACAACACATTCTATCATGTATCTCCACAACGTTCCTCTTTATGATACTGTTGTTCCCTAAAGGTATGTGATGCATGGCAAGAAAAAGTAACATCTCACTGAAGCATTCTTTTTCATCTTGGATAAAGCAGTTGGATTGATATTGGGATCTATGCTGATGATACAAACCAAGGGATACGGTGCGTTGGCATGGAAACATAAGCAAGGGCGCATGCTATCTGCTACAACGATGACAAAGAAACAGCTGCAGGATTAGATGACAAAGGTTTTGGCAATGGGGCTCCATTTGGATTCGACATTTGGTGCTTGACTACCCCCTAATTTCCCATATCCTGGATGCTACAAGAAACGCAGCTACGATCATGTTTATGGCGTGCAATACACATGAAGCGGCTACGACAATGATTCGATACCTAATGGTACAAAGGCACAGCGACAGCCATTAGAAATATGCCATCCGTAGGACACATTTCAATGCTTTCTTCTTCAATGAAGCTTTTTGTGGGATCGAACATGGAATCTTTGTGCAGCCTAGTTTCATCAGGGATGTTCTTTGATGTGGATCATTTGGTTACTTTTTCGATGATGATTGTTCTTGGATATACAATGGGTTGATTGGATGAAAAAGGAGGATTGAGTGGTTCCATGTAAATGAACTTGGGGTTCAGTGATGCTTTATAGTTTTGTCATGTACAATGTATGCAAGAAAAGAGCATGTCCCATCTCTGGTATTGCGTCTCATTGGATCCTTACTCCTTGTATCACAAGTGGTATGTAGTACGCCAAATTATAGACTCGAATGAAGAAGGAACTCCTTCCCAAAGTGCGACGTGCGAGTGCCTTTGTCAACAACTCATCCCAATATAAGGACTCTAGCTATTGACAGGATCTTCGTCCCTCGGTATCAGACGACATTGTTAACCTTGGTTGGTTATGGCTATCGAATTAACTTGGTGTTTGCAATTTTTGTGGGCTTAGCGGCTTTATTGATACTGGGCACGTGGCACAACATATACCGAGTAGTGCAACATGGATAGTGCTGTGCCTAACATAGTTTCCAATTCTCACACCTTTCTTTCCACTTTTCATCATGACATGCGACACTGACGACTACAACGACCCTTACAAAGTATACAGTTCATAATCTCGTCAGATGCTGAAGTTGGTATTCATGACTTTTCGTTTAGATCGATATATACGTAAAGGATGGATACCAAACGGGCAAATTCAAAGGGTTTTTCGAAAAAAGGCTCAATGCACTCTTAGACGACGAGTATTTTCTACTCCTCTACGTTCCTGAAGATGGAGGGCGAATGCAAGTTGTACGTCCTGCCAGTGATTCGTACCATCGAAAATGCATGATCAAAAGAATCAATGAAACAAAACGAGGCGTTCCATCATTTTATTACGCGTTGTCGCATCTTTGGGGGCTTAAAAAAGACAACCGGTTCCTGTGGAAGGGTATCAGAAAACATGTGGATGACGAAGAGGGGCGACCCATGAAACCTATTTCCATGCGACCTGAGAAACGACATACATTGTTGTCAATGCTCCGAGACCACCCTGACAGTTACTGGTGGATTGACGTTTTATGTGCACGTACCGATACGCCATTGGACATCATGGGAGATATTTATGCGTGCTGCCTTCAATGTATCGCCATGATTGACTGCGAGCCTGCTCTGATATCAAACATTCATACAAAGTTGGAAGCGGTAGAGGAAATCAAGAAATTACTGAAGCGCAAAAGAAGACCATACCTAACAAACAAGGAGTTGCATCAAACCAAAGCTTCCCAACTCATTGATCTCTTGGATACATTCTTCCAAAGTGAATGGTGGCAACGTGTATGGACCTGGCAGGAGATGGCTCTACCTTATAGAAATGTGAGCTTTATGGCTGAAGCAGAGACTCGCCGGCTCCATACAACCAACACAATTACTACGGACGACTTAGAGGAATTTGGAAGCATATTAATAAGTCACATTCTCTATATTATGCGACATAAGCTAGCACCCGGTAGGTTACACTGGATATTTGAATTGATCTTGTCGAGCGCTGCTAACCACTTGGCCAGAATATGTCGGGTTTGAGACATCCGACGAAGTCTGTAACAGACTCAATGACGTATACGCTGCTAGAGCATGCAACGCTTTTCGTATCATTATGACCAGGAGTGAGACATTGTATTTTGTAATTGGATCATTGGTATCCTCCAATCGACGATGTTATGATCCATGTGATTATGTTTATGGAGTGCTGGGAGCGATGCAGATCAAAATCCCAAGGATGACCGATCCCAATGATGTTTGGCGCCATTTCTTGTCCAAGCTGGATGATTTAGCTCCACTTGACTCGCGAAGATGGATGGACTATGCAGACGAAATCGATTTGGGAGAAGTTGAAAATATTGGTGTAGTATACAACGAGTTGATCCAAATTGGTGAAGTAGGCAAAAATGTATTCCGAATCATGGATGCATACTTGAATGAGATTTCGTAGGGCACATAATGTTGCATTAAATGATAGTGATGATATTACATTGTGGGGGAAAGTGATGAGTGACGTGTAGGGATCGTTTGTGAAAATGGGGCACTGTTCTCTCCTTCACGCCTCCTCTTTTTCCCACTCAAGTTGGACAGCAGCTTTCTCAACTACTACTTCCCTTCCAGCATGACATAGCTCACAGGCACTAATGCGACACATCATTACAATTCAGCAACGAGTCATTAAAGACAGCCGACGATCGTGTTCTTTTCCTCGACATTCAACGCTGTCGATTTACAGCAATGACTTTGTTTCACGGCGTAATACTACAAATATTGTCAATGATATCCAGCAGCTTTATTCATTCAACGACACGCATTATCGATTCATGTTACTACTGTCAAAGCTTTTATGTACCAGTCGACCCTTTATCAAGGTAAGAGGATGATGATGATGGCAAAAAACGATCGTGACAATCTTCTCACGTATTCATGGTGCAGCACAATGTTTTGAACCCTGCTTTTTTAGTTTGGATGCAGCAACACTTTTCACTTACGATGTTAGATATCCAGGTAACAATTGGATGAGGTGCTATATGAGGAAGAGAAGAGTGATAATTGACATAATCATCTTGTAGTGAGGCTGCACGATGCGATAACATTGATTGTGGATGATGCCACCTTTTCAACAGGTGCTGGAATACGCGAGGAACTCTGGAATGCGTCCTCGACATGGTACCTTGGGAAAACAAAAGCTTTATCGACATTTCAACAACATTCAACAATTTGAAGATCATTCTACGGTATGAAGATCGAGACAACCACCAGAAATTGGCAAGTTTGGCGATTGGACGCATGGAAATCTGATATGTGATTTGGATATGATTATGGGCACCTGATGAACAAATGGATTACGGGGTCGATCCGGGATAACGAGGATGAGGAGAGCTATTGGATAACGAGGATACAACTATAAACATGACCCAGCATGACACCCGTATTTGAAAATTGGATGCACAGCAACGGCAATCACTTGAATGATGGAGAGCAGCAATTATCAACAAAGTGAACAACGACCTCATATTCTTATCACGTTTCATTGTCGTCGCCTTGGTCTTAGTTGCAGATATGGACCTGATCCCACCTATTGTATCTATCATTGTTTGCCAGCACTTGCATCCCTACCCATTCAGCTGCTTCATCCTGCTCAACCATCACATCGCTATGGAACGCAGCAAACATGCGTTCGGGTTCGGATTACATTTCACTCAATGGATCTATGATCGGGAACATACTCGGTACCTTGAAATGATTAAAGCAGCTAGCAACAGTACGATTGGATCATTGGACATCCGCGATATGATTGTCATCGACCTGATTTTGCAAGCTTTTGCTCCATCACTTGGCGACGTGGTTAGGGATCACCATCTCAACAAGGATGTGTTCTTTGTAACAGCACACGTGATCATATATGGCTGCAAGAGTTTCATGATGGAACGCTCTCACTATGGTAAGACGAAGAAGGTGTCTTACGTTGACAATGGGAAGCAACATAATATTAAAACATGCGTTTTCAGATTGGCGAATGCATTTGCAGTGTCCATGGCGTCATACGGTGTTATTTACACGTCGTTTCTGAACAAAGTATATCATTATTGGATCGAGATGGGACATACAATATCACGCTTTGTGCTCTACAGCGATTGATTACAACTGATTTGGGATCCAAGGATTGTCAAGGCACATGCGACCTGGCTGAAGAATCACACATGATGGGAACAGGGTTGGATGTGAAGGATGTGGATGATGGGATATACCGATTGCATGTGACTCATGGCGCTTGGCAACCCCTCTGATATGGAATCTCCCGGATGATGCAACGCCCTGCTACAAGTATTGATGATGGACCACAACATTGGACCAATACCGAGAGAGTGTTAGAGTACAACGCCATCCATTGGAAATAAGCACTGTTTTCCTTTGAACAACCCTTTTCGAGTAAACCAATATGAAAATCTCAACCGCGTTGTATTTTACTATCATTATGCTGATGTCAATCACATGGCTTATCTTACTATGTATATCATTGTTTGGCTGTGCAGTGGGGACGGGGTTGGATGAAGGATGAAGGAAAACGGTATCATCACAAAGTTGTTTTCAAGAAGAATGGGACGAAGGTTCGATTGTCCAATGGGTTGGTTGCATGGGAAATGGAGATTATGGGGCTTTATATGGTTGCTAGCAAGTGAGGATGGAGAAAGATATAATGGGAAACGAAAGCTGGTATTACAATCATATTCATGGGATCACGCCTTTGGTAGCGTGGTCATGGTTATTAAGCCATCCGGGTCCTACTCCTCATTTTGAACTTAAAGCTTGAGTCCTAGAAGGAGATGTTTTTCACTGGCATTGAAACCTCGTCTTTCGTGCCACGTTATTGTGACACACAACTTAGTGTTTTATACTTCCCAATTCAAGGTCACTACTACATGCTGACAGGCTACTCAACATGAATCGGTTTTATGCTTGCATTGGTTTCTTAAATGGGCTGGATTACCGTGTACGCACGACTACATCGTGATAACTCGGTGTGTGCTCATACATGGTAATGCTTTGAGTCTTGTTTACTACATGCTGCATGTCGTGCAACAAGACTATGAATAGGGATCCCCCCGGTACGGCTTCCGTTTTTCACGTCTTTTCTTCTTCCATATTCAACATGACATGCGACACTGATGAAAACAACGATGACTACCAAGTATGCATGACCATAAGACGCCCATGGACCTGAAAAGATACTTACAATATTGACTCTAGATCAATATACAACATTTAGAGCATGATAGGGATAACAAGTATAAAGAGTTCTTTGAAAAAGGACTCGGTGCGCTTTTCGACGATGAACATTTTTTGTTACTTTATGTGCCTGATAATGGAGACAAGATGCAAATTGTACAACCTGCCAGCAATCTATTCCATCGAAGACGCATGATCAAAAGGATCAATGAAGCCAAACACATACCATCTTTTTATTACGCATTGTCACACCTTTGGGGGCTCACAGAGAACGACCGATACCACTGGAATGATATTCATGAATACGTGAATGACGAACAAGGGCAACCAGTGAAGCCTGTATCAATGCGACCAGAAAAACGAGATACACTACTTGCAATGCTAAGAGATCATCCTGATAGCTATTGGTGGATTGATGTCCTGTGTGCACGTACCGATACACCATTGGATATTATGGGTGACATTTACTCTTGTTGTCTTGAGTGTATTGCCATGATCGATTGTGAGCCAAATGTGATATCAGAAATTCGCACAATATCGGGTACAGCAGAGGAGGCACTCGAGGAATTGTATGATTCCAGAGAAGGAGGGTACCTAAAATACAAGGATGTAAAGCAGACTCAAGCTCCGCAACTGTTTGGATACTTGTACATATTCATGCAAAGTCAATGGTGGAAACGAGTATGGACCTGGCAGGAGATGGCTCTACCTGTGGGAGATGTGCGCTTTATGGCGGAAACAGCCACTCACCAATCCCAAAACAGCACTGTTACTCTTAATCAACTACTTGGGATTCCATATATAAGAATGGCGTACCTTCTGAAGGAAGAAGTTCCACTCACTCCGGTGCATGAGAGTACGTTGCATAACATGCTTGACTTGTCATTGATGCGGTATGCTAACCTTTTGGTCAGGTGAGATGAAGATCATGAGAAAGGTCGTATCCGCGGTCAAGGAATATTTAAGTGGCATAGAAGACGCCAGGAGAGCCGGCAAAGGTCGTTTCAGGTCGAATTGGGGAAGTTTTTACCACATGATTTACTCATTGAGTGATTCCACCCGGCGTTGCTATGATCCATGTGATTATGTTTATGGTGTGCTGGGTATGTTGCAGATCAAAATCCCAAGGATGGAGGATCCCAATGAAGTCTGGCGATGCTTATTGAATGAGCTCGATCGTCATCCTGTGGATATCACGTTTGCACCCGTTAAATGCATTGATCGTGCAGATGAAATCGATTTACTCAAAGTTAGAGCTATTGGAGAAGTGTACAGGAAGTTGAATGATATCTATTATGGTGCTAAATAATGATGAAGGCTACTGCCCAAATCAAATATGATCTTTATCAAATGAGTGCATATGCTCTCGAACTAATTACAGTGAGACTGATGAATGTGGATCATGCGCATAGGATGTGGCGGAGAGGGTAAAATGGGTGGTGGTGGGTGTGTGCACCTCAGCCAGCTCCTCTTTCCACTTCCATTCCACCAGCAATGTACACCTGCAACAACCTCTCACAACTGCTTCTACAATGACACAGTCAACGCCACCAATGCTCTGCATCTGTTGGTATTCAACAACATGTAAATGAAGAAGTCCAATGACTGCATCCTTGCTCGTCATTAACGCTGTTGATTTCAGCACCTCGTCTCCAAAAAGCTTTTTGGCGCAGTACTGCAACGTGTTGATAGCAGCTTCACGATACCATATGCCAACCCATTTACCAAGGTAAGAGGATGATGAGATATCAAATGTAGGCGTGGCGATCTTACGTGTTGTATGATGCAGTACAATGGTTCAAGTCATGGATGTCTAGTTTCGGATGCTGCGATGTTTATTTTCTCTTGATGTTGTGTATCCAGGTAACAGGTTGGATCGGTTGCTATGTTTCGAGACAATGGATGAAAATTGACATGCTTATGATGTAGTTGATATTCATTTTGGATGATGGATTCTTGCCAACGTATACGTGAGCCTACGAGGGATACTCGACAACATCTGTGATGGCAAATGAGAAGGTGTTTCGACGTGATATTGCGATCCACGTTCTATGCCACATCAAGGTGTTGCGCCTGAAGGACCGTTGTACGCTTTGAAACCGAGAAAAGCATGAGATTTGACAGCTTCAACGAATGCACCCGTGGAGATACGATATGGCGCCTTTGTTGGATTTATGAATACCTCAGATAACTGCAATGATCGATTGTCAATGATCCTTGGGTCATTTCACGAGAACGAGGATGGGGAAAACCACACGTGGATTCGATTATGAGGACTTCAAGAATCAGCATCAAGCAACATGCAAAAAGTGGGGAATTGGAGTCATGCCAGCAACAGAGATGACCTGAAAAAATGATTCAGCCTAGCAATGGAATCACGTACAATGATCAACAAAAGCAACAATGACAATGCATTCATCGACCTTGGTCCTCAGCATATATTCACATTATCAGCTGGAGATATGGACCTGATTCCATGTGTCTCTTTTGGTCATCACTCGATCGTTTCATCCAACTACGCATCTGCTTCGCCTTATTCATCATTAAAGTATTGCTGTGCTTGGACTTCATTTCAAAAGCATGATTCTATATGGGATACATCATCTGATCGAGTATTCTGCCAGCGCCAATCAGCCGTTTATCGATGACATGGTTCAATGTATGCAGCAGATGTCTCTTTGTGTCAGCAGCAAGGTAAACCTAAGAAAAGGGGATATGGGATGCAAGCTCCAATCACTTGCTCACATGGGTCGATTGTTACAGTTATAGAATGCACCGTCTTTTTACAGCAACCACAAGGCGGATTTTGAGGAAAATGCATGACCAACGGAGTCAGATGGCTACTGGGGATTGATACGCTTCTTCATCAACACATTTACTTTCCATGTATCATGGCTACAAGATGCGTGTCAAGTTGCTTGAGTGGGCGGCCTCTACCTGTTTGGATGTTTTATGCATACGTGACAGCACCATCACATTTTGATTGCCAGTTGGATCGTGGATCAAGCCAAAGGGAGAAGGATTTGGAGAACTACCTTTGGATTGGATGATGCCACAATGAGCACCAGGGACATTTAAGAACAAGTTGAGAATCGGGTGCATGGCAATGACAATGATTGGATGATTGAAGTGCAGCAATGACACCATCAACAATGGCGCCACGAGCACCCATCGTGGTCCATCACCATTATCAAGACACGCTCGTGTTATCAGCTGAAGTTATAGGCGTGGTACTTCGTCATCCCCTTTATCGGTCAATATTCCATCATCTATGGTGTCCACGGGGCGGCGTTGAAAAAGGCTCTTGTTATTCATACAGATGCCAAGGCAATCATGGTGTTAGCTAAGGATAAAGGGATGGTCCGGTTGGATGAACAAGGCATTGAATGCAAAGACTTTTTTCAAAGGAATGGCAACTTTTCAACCCTCTATCCAAGACATATGGTTGTCGACAAGGATTTGTGGGACATTTTGAAGGACAAGGCGCAGAGCAACATATGAGCACCTGGATGCTGGATTGGATTGCATGACACATTACCTGCACACTGGCAATGAGACCATGGCTTTGGCGCTTAACCACAGCATTCGATTCCAGCTGCAGTATGCGATGGCAAAGGAACAGCGAAAGATGCGGTTGGCAACATCCCGACATTGCAGCGATCATGCACCATATCACTCAATGCATTCCATTTTAATCACCATTGTCTATTGATGGAAACCTGAAAGAGCGTTGGAATGGATCCTTTCGGCCCTGCAACAAATGGAGATACTCAAACGCTTGACATGCAGCTGTTTGGATGTTTTACAAGCACGTGACAACATCTTGGCTATACATCAACTGGATCATGGATCAATTCAAGAAGGTAAAGCTGAGAGGAACTACATTTGGATGACCACAACAATGAGCATCAAGAAGCATGTGAAAAGAAAACAACCATGAAATACAGTGCTGCAATACACCGAGTCCCTCAATATTTTTCGATACCTCTGTATTTTCCACAAGACCGACAACACCATCCATCTCGCGATTTTCCACACTTTCAGACTGGCAACATGTCGCAGGGATCCACTGTAATGAGTACTGATTGGATGATGGGGACTAATGAGACCACGACAAACGTCAACAATGAGCACGCATCCTTATCAAGTTTCCTTGCCAAAAGATGCTCATGACCTCAACTGCTGGGAATATGGACCTGATTTCACATTATCATTGTTGACCAACGCTCATCATCATTTCATCCCAACACCACTCGTCATTTCAAATCAATCGCTTATTCCTGGACTCCAGCATGTTTCAAAAGATCTTGGGAGGTGTATCTCCATAACTTGCAGTCATGGTTACATCATCATCTTGGATACGAGTATGTTTTCCTATGCAACAGCACATGCATCATGTATCGCCCCAAGGTTCCTCTTTATGATACGTTCGTTCGCTGCAGGTATGCGATGCATGGCAAGAAAGAGCAACATTTCATTGAAGCATTCTTTTTCATTTTGAATAAAGTAGTTTCACTGGCATTGGGGTCTATGGTAATGATGCAAACCAAGGGATTCGGTGCATTGGCATGGAAATATAAGCAAGGGCTCATGCGATCAACTATACAACGATGACAAAGGAACAGCTGCAGGATTGGGATAACAAAGGTTTTGGTAATGGGATCCCATTTGGATTCGACGTTTGGTGCTTGACTACCCCCTAGTTTCCCATGTCTTGGATGGTACAAGAAACGCAGCTACGATTATGTTTACGGGTTCAGTATACGTGAAGCGGCAACGACAATGACCCAATACCGGATGGTACAAGGACACAGCGACAGCCACTAGAAATATGCGATCCGTAGAACACCTTTCAATGCTTTCTTTCTTCAATGAATCTTTTTGTGGGATCGAACATGCAAATCTTTGTATAGCGTAGGTTCATCAGGGATGTTCGTTGATGTGAATAACGTGGTTACTTTTTCGATGATGATTGTTCTTGGATGTACAATGGGTTGATTGGATGAAAAAGGGGGATTGAGGGGTTCCATATAAATGAACTTGGGGTTCAGTGATGCTTCATAGTAATCTTTGTCGTGTACAATGTATGAAAGAAAAGAGCATGTCCCATCTCTGGTATTGCGTCTCATTGGATCCTTAATCCTTGTATCACAAGTGGTATGTAGCACGCCAAATTATAGACTCGAATGACCAGGAGTCTCGTTCCAAAGTGCGACGTGGGAGTGCCTTTGTCAACACCTCATCCCAATATCAGGCCCCTAGCTATCGACAGGATCTTCATCCCTCGATATCAGACGATATTGTTAACCTTGGTTGGCTCTCGAATTAACTTGGTGTTTGCAAAAACATGGCAATTTTTGTGGGCTTAGCGGCTTTGTTGATACTGGCATGTGGCACAACATATACCGAGTAGTGCAACATGGATAGTGCTGCGCCTAACACTTTTTCAATCCTCACACCTTTCTTTCCACTTTTCATCATGACATGCGACAATGACGAATACAACGACCCTTACAAGGTATGCACTTCCATAGTCTCGCCAGATGTTGAAATTGGTATTCATGACTTTTTGTGTAGATCGATATAAACTTAGAGGACGACGAAGATGACATGCGTAAGCATCATTTCGAAAAAGGCCTTAGCGCACTCTTAGCCGACGAGAATTTTCTACTCCTTTACGTGCCGGAAGATGGAGGGCGAATGGAAGTTGTACGTCCTGCCAGTGATTCATACCATCGAAAACGCATGATCAAAAGGATCAATGAAACGAAACGCGGCGTTCCATCATTTTACTACGCATTGTCGCATCTTTGGGGGCTTAAAAAAGACAACCGGTTCTTGTGGAAGGGTATCAGAAAACACGTGGATGACGAAGAAGGACAACCCATGAAACCTGTTTCCATGCGACCTGAGAAACGACATACATTGTTGTCAATGCTCAGAGATCATCCTGACAGCTATTGGTGGATTGACGTTTTATGTGCACGTACCGATACGCCATTGGATATCATGGGAGATATTTATGCATGCTGCCTTGAATGCATCGCCCTGATTGACTGTGAACCTGCTCTGATATCAAACATTCACAAAAATTTGGATGCGGTAGAGAAACTCGAGAAATTATTGACGCGCAAACTACGACGATCCCCAACAAACAAGGAGTTGCATAAAACCAAGGCTCCCCAACTCATTGATCTCTTGGATACATTCTTCCAATGTGAATGGTGGCAACGTGTATGGACCTGGCAAGAGCTGGCTCTACCTCTTGGAGAGGTGCGATTCATGGCTGAAACAGAGACTCACAGACTCCAAACAACCAACACAATTACTACGGATGACTTAAAGGGAATTAACCTCTTACTCCAATGTAAGTTGATCCATATTCTACACCATAAGCTAGCACACGGTAGGTTCCACTTGATGTTTTAATTGATATTGTCGAGCGCTGCTAACCAGTTGGCCAGAATATGTCAGGTTTGCGACATCCTACGAAGCCTGTAAAAGACTCAGTGGCGCATTTGCTGCTAGAACATGCAACGCTTATCATATATATATGACCCGAAGTGAGATATTGTATAATACAATGGTACCATTGATGCTTTCCGAGCGACGATGTTATGATCCATGTGATTATGTTTATGGTGTGCTCGGAATGCTACGAATCAAAATCCCAAGGATGACCGATCCTAATGATGTTTGGCGCCATTTCTTGTCCAAGCTGGATGATTTAGCTCCGCTTGACTCTGGACGATGGATGGACTATGCAGACGAAATCGATTTGCGAAAAGTTGAAAATATTGGCGTCATATACAGCAAGTTGGCCGAAATTGGTAAAGTGACAGAATATGTGTTGCAAAACACTTATGTAGAAGTCAATTAGATGTACAGAATGTTTCAATAAATGATAGTGATGATTATATTACATTGTAGGGAGACTGATGAGTGATGGTTGTAGAATGTGTCGAGATCGTTGGTCAAATTTTATGGGTGAAAGTGCGCAGTGTTCTCTCCTCTTTTCCCCACTCAACTCGGACAACAGCTTTCTTAACTACAATCCCCTCCAACATAACACAGCCCACGACCACCAATGCGACGCTTCCATTACAATTCATCAACGAGTCATCGAAGACAACCGACGATCGTGTTCTTTTCCTTGACATTCGACGCCGTTGATCTATAGCAATGGCTATGTTTCACTGTGTACTACTACAACATATTGTCGATGATATCCAGCAGCTTTATTCATTCAATGACACGCATTGTCGGTTCATCTAACTACTTCCAAGGCCTTTGAGCACTAGTCGACACTGTATCAAGGTAAGAGGATGATGGCATATCACAATGGTGACAATCTTCTCACGTATTTATGGTGCAGCACAATGTTTTGAGCGATGCTTTTCAAGTTTGCATGTAGCAACACTTTTCACTTATGACGGTGGATATCCAGGTAACAATGGGATGGGGTGGAATATGATGAAGAGAAGAGTGATAATTAGCTTAATCATCTTGTAGTGAGGCTGCACGATGCGATAACATTGATTGTGGATGATGCCACCTTGTCAACAGGTGCTGGAACACGCGAGGAAACTCTGGAATGCGTACTCAGCGTGATACCTCGGGAAAAGAAAAGTTTTATCGACACTTCAACGACGTTCAACAATTTGAAGATCATTTTATGTATGAAGATCGAGACAACCACCAGAAATTGGCAAGTTTGGCGATTGGACGCATGGAATTCTGATATGTGATTTGGATATGATTATGGGCACCTGATGAACAAATGGATTACGGGGTCGATCCGGGATAACGAGGATGAGCAAAGCTATTCGATAACGAGGATATCAACTATAAACGTGACCCAGCATGCTACCCGAATTTGAATATTCGATGCACAGCAACGGCGATCACAATATTGAATGATGGAGAGCAGCCTATGAAGCCACAAACAATGACCAACAAAGCCAACAGCGACCTCCTATTCTTGTCCCACCTATTGCATCTACCAATGTTGGCCAACACTCGCTTCCCCACCTACCCAGCAGCTGCTTCATCAAGCTCAACCATGACATCAATTTCAGCCAACGGATTATTATGATAGGCAAGAAACTCAACACCTTGGAATGATTGGAGCAGCTAGCGACAATCCGATTCATCCATTGGGGATCTGTCATATGTATGAGGATCGTGGGTCTGGTTTTGAAAGCGTTATCTCCAAAACTTGGCGTCGTACTTGATGATCATCATCTCAACGGCCATGCCCTTTTTTGCATCAGGACACGTGATCGCATATCGCTGCAAGTGATTCTTGAGAGATTAAGGTAAGGGGAAGAATATGTCTTACATTATTCATGGAAATAACATAACATTGAAACATGTATTTTAGATCGGTTGATGTATACGCAATGACAATGGCATTAGAGGGTGTAACATGCACGTCGTTGGTGATCATTATATATCACATTTGGATCAAGATGGAACGAACGACATCACACTTGTGCTCTACAACCATTGATTACAACTTGCAGAGATCCAAGGAGTATAAAGGACACATGCCACCAAGCACTGTGATGGCTGAGGGCCCACAACATGATTGGATGTGAAGCGTGTGGATGATGGGATACCAGTTGTATTTGACTGATGGCGCTTGGCAACCACCCTGATATGGAATTTGTTGGATGATGGAATGACCTGCTACTAGTATTATTGATGGATGACAACATTGAACCAACACCAAGAGAGACATAGGATACAACGACACCCATTATCAATACGCGATACCTTCCTTTTCCATGACCCTTTTCGAGGAACCCGATATGAAAATTCTCTCGCGCATTGCGTTTTACCATCATTATGTTGATGTCGATCACGTGGTTCCTTTTATGATGTATATCATTGTCTGGTTTATGCAACGAGGTGACTGGATGAAGGGCAAGGAAGGAGGAATACGATATAATCACAACCAAGTCGCATTGTGGGCGAATGTAATTGACAACGAAGGCTTGAACGTGAATCATTGTTGCCAACGTGTTTGACTTCAACATGTGTCCAATCATCATGCCGCACTGCATCATTTATTGGTTGATTCTCTATAGCGAAGCTTACTCATTAGCCAATTCTACCTTGTAATAAGATGTGTCATGTATAGGCTAGCAATAAATCTCCTTACATAGCCGTTCGCTTTTGTTTTGGCAAATGCAAGCTTAGTGAATCAGGATCATGATGTGAAAAGTGGTTAGCGTAGGTGAATCTCTTGCCTATCTAAGGTAATTTGATCCAATGAAGTTATGGAGGTAAGCCCTATTGGTACCATGTTGTCTCTGGGAGAGTATCATCGTCGTCTTTTTTATCACGTGAATTGTAGTGCGGGGAGCAAGGTAAAATTTTAAGGTACAGCGCCATGGTGGCGCCTTTGCTCTTCTTTCATAACCACTTCTTCCCTCCCAGTCGCATTCAGACAACAAAGCAAACTCTTTAACAACCACTCGAACGCCAATGACAAAAAAAAGCGAATGCTTCTCTAAACACATGTCTACCATCACCAACCAGTAAAACGCTACGCTCTCCCCTACATTATAGGGCACATCAGGTACGCGACTACCTATCCCCAATGGAACCACATTGCATACCGCGTTGACGTTCACACATTAGTATACAGCAGCATACTCTGTTTCTTTCGGCGCGTTTTTATTGAGACCGTCAACCTTCAAGCTATTGTATCAGTTGATATCATCCTAGGAGATCGTTGAATGCAGCTGTACTATGAGCAAGTGTCATTAGTCATCCAGCACCAATAATGTAAGTATTCGAACAAGACAACAGAGCTTTCTTATTGACATGGAGATGTTCAATAGTAGCGATATCAGTGCGCTTTTTAGAAGATTCAGGCATCATGGATACGGTCTCCAGGACGACGATGGTGATGATGAGCAAGTACTATATTGCGGCAATTATACACTATGCATATGCCAGCTCAACGAGGATGATTAGACCATGGTAAATGGATACATCAATGTGGAATGAGGATTGGATACATGTATTTAGAAAAGGGATGATAATTGACGTGTTGATTGCTTAGAGAAGCTGCGCCCTGTCAACAAGAGGTATGGCTCTCTTCTGGAACCACAGCACAATATTGGCGTTCGTTTCGAGCTACAACATGCGATGGCAAAAGGAGAGCTATGATTGAAAACATCTCAACATTGAAGCACCAAGCACCATGCCACTCAAAGTAATTCGCTCCAAGATCGCTGTCGATTATTGAATTCCTCAATGGATTGCTTCAACCAATGAGCACGTGGAGATCATATTGATTGGATATGGTGATTGGATACTAGCCATCTCCATCAGCAACACCATTATCATCATCTCATCCACCAACATCATCAGCATACAATCAACAGCATCACCATAATCAAATCCATCACAATCAGCACCACCACCACCACCACCACCACCACCACCACCACCACCACCCCATCATCTCATCATCCACAACAACAACAAGAGCAAACAAATCTTGAAAAGGTAAGCATCGAATGATCGCAAAAGAGTACGTACTCATCATCACCTATACTGTAGAATGATACCAGACCAGCAAAGCGAATGAGGTGCAATGAATCAAAGAAACCATGTTCCCGGACAACGGTAAGTCTCGACATGTACAACGAAGCCATGCTGCTCGATACTAACCTTGTTTTTATCTCAACAAGCATGCAAAGGCTCAACTCGCCATCAATCTCTTTTCCAAAGCGAGTTATGAAATCGTCACCGTCTTCATCGTTTTAACACGAATGTTCCCAGCTTCCAAAAAAGAACATCATGGATACAAGTGCAGTTTCCTTGGATACATCTCCAACACAAGCGCCGTCGTCTTTCCGTTATTACTGATTGTGTCGTTCAATGTGTACCCAACAAGCGTTCCTATCCCTGGAGTGAGTGATTGCATTCTTCGTTGTATCGGGTGCATCAAATTATACCAGCGTATCACAGGTTCGTTTAATACGTTTAGGAATCAATACAAATTTATTAACCTTCGTTTTCATAGTGGACTGAGGTCAATGTCAAGCACCTTGTTGAACGGTTGGATGAATTGGAAAAGGAAGAGAGATCGATTACAATAGCATCAGGTAAGAAGTGTGGTATTATTGATATAGCATCAATTGACACATTTTATAGAGCAATAGGACTAGTTAATGATCGTTACAATGTACATCAAGCTTTATTGGATACGGAATGAAAAAGTGGGATCGGTGATCATGTTCGGGATGGTTGTCAAGAGCTGTTTTGAGATTGGTATCCATGGACGGCCATGGGAAAATGGTCGACATCTCCAAACCTTGCCATTGATTATCATTGAGCAACAAGAGAATGGGATTGCCAAATGGAGGGGTACGTGTGAAAGGAAAGATACTTTTCTCCATCCATCCTTTTTCTCCTTCCTTGTCGATATGGACAAACGTAATGGGTTTTTAGAACACGAGACGCCTTTGGTTTTACGGTAGGATGATTAGCCTCAATCTATTCGAGTTCCTTTTTTGACACATCCTTGCATAGACAAACTCTTTGTTAGTGTGGTATTCAAGAACGCATGAGGTTATCTGGTTCTGGTATGGTATAGAAGCTTTATGCTTACTCTTCAAGAATACAGGACCTTAGTGACTGATGTCGTCGTTTTTCTTCAAGGTATCTTCTCATCAACAAGAAATCCAGATAGGGTGTCGTCAAGGTGCGTGAAAGATGAGAATAGAAGCAAGACATCCCCCTGTCCACCATCGTCAACATGGGTCGTAAGTGCTTTGTTAATCCCTACGAAATTTTTTATTCACTTTTCTTTGATCATGTAGTGAGTCCTCTTGATTGCATGATTAGAGTATCTAGCAACTGTGAAGCCATTTGAGATGTAAGTTCAATCGAAAGATATAAAAATGGAACCTTTTATTTATTGCCCCTTATCCTCGTTTTAGCTTTTGTAACGTTACAAGCATATGGACAACAAGCTGCATTGATTGCCAAGTGTCATCCGTTCGTATCAAATGGGCGATTGATGAAGGACAAAGTTATACGCCACGCCTTCCCAAGTACTTTCGAATTCTTACCTTCCAGGTGTACCGTCATGTTGCCATTGCATTTCCAAGGCAGCACGATACCTTCATCCAACAAATCAGGTGATCCAAAGGTGGAGATACCAACTTCATCGAACACTACGCTGGATCATCCACCTCCGACCCTCGTCAAGTTGACCCGCTCGCCTTGTTAAAGTATGCGCAAGCATCATTCATGTGGCATGATTTCCTTAGTATGTATAATGGTGACCCCATTATGCACGTGCCTATTCCCAACCAGCATCCTGATCGTCGGTCACCTTCCCCTAGGTAATTATATAAAGTTGGTTTGTAAATCGTTACTCAATAGCAAAAGTGTAGCCCTGAACGCGCCACTCAAGCACCCCCAGATGGGCTTACCCTATGGGATAAGATCATCTTTGGGATGTATACACCAAGACCCAAGGAACCAACCAAGGGCAAGCGGGGCCAACGCCGCAAGGCTGAACCCCATAAATGGAACACGCGCTTACCATCTAATCTAAAGAAGAGGTGCATTGCATCGAGGTATAGTTCTTATAGCCATATTATTGAATGCTTTACTTACCTAATCATATAGCTCCAATAGCATTTCCAGCAGCACGAGCACCCCCACCATCAGCAAGCAGCAGAAGCTGAAGCCTTTTCCCTACACTTTACCTACCCTTGCCAGCAGCAGCAGGGTAGCCAACAGGATCCCCCTTGACCAGGTGCGTGATAGTAATGATGAAGAGGAGTGGTCGAGGAGGTCTCCTTCTCCTGAAGAGGAGGAGTATGTTGGCAAGGGCAAGGGTAAGGCAAAGGGCAAGGGCAACAAGCCTAATAAGCAGTAATTATCCCCTTCCTTTTCTTATTTATTTCACTATGCCCATATCCCTTCCCTTTCTTTAGTCCTTGTCTATGCCCATTACTATCCTTATTGCTTATTATTATGAGTGTTTGACTCCTTTTATTATTCCTATGCCTTTATCCCTCACTCTTATGCATGTACCTTTGTTTTCCTTTTGCCATCCCTATGCCTACGTTCATCCTTTATTGTATCTTTTGCCGGAGGCCATAGGCCGAAGGGCTATTCACATTATACGATCCCTTTCTAGCTCGCTCTCTCGATAGATGACATCGTAGACTAGTTAGCTGTTACACTTTGTTTATTCTTTTTGCGGTTGTTTCAGATATCTGGTCTCGAAAAATAAAACAAAGTGATACACTACTTCTGTATGTTAATGTTGTGTGTCTCTAAAGTAAACTCCTGATGAATGTAGAATGGATGCCCATGCCAGCCAAAGATAAGGTTTGAGCACGGGCCCTGAGCCCATTACTGTATCTGTCATTACTCTTCACAGGGCACATTTCCCATCATGCAGTACATGGCATTAACATGAGCAATCAGGCATAATGACTCTGTATGTATATAATCGTGCCATCGAGATGTCATCCATATCTCACCCAATTTGAATACTGAAACATAAATTGGATAGAGCGAATATAAAAGAACAACTTTATTACTACTACAGCGAGTGAGACTGAGCTGCATATACCATCCTGGGAACGCTGTCAAGCACCTCCAAATTTTCATTTCTTTTCCACTCCCACCTTATCTTCTCTCTCCTCCACTACGCTTCACTACACGTTCACCTTTGCCATGTTCGACCACTCAACGATCTGTGTATGATTCACCTACTTCTCACCATCATGTCAACCCCACAATTGCTTTGAACCGACCTGATTCGACTGAATGGCTACCCATGGCGAATGCAGTGCTGACTATATCCAGCACACCTTTTGTTTGATACCACACACCCCACTTGCTCCTTTCTACAACGCTGTCATTAGCTTCGTCATCTGTTGGCTGTATTGAATCCTACTATTTTTATTTGGACACAGGCATGGCCTTCTATACAAGCAACATGAAGTATACGTCAAACGCGTTCTTTGGTTACGGATGTGGTGGATGAACAAGGTAGGGTGTTTGGCAGACGCCATGATGATGGATGACAAGGATGCACAACCATAGCAAGGGCTCACTCTTTTATTTGTCACGGTAAAGAACTTGGAGGAAGGAGGATGGGCATTCTTTGGCGCGAGGCAACAAGATGGGTCGATATATGATGGCAATGAAGTGGATCCGTTTCTTGCACATGAATGGACGACAGGACTTGGAGGATGACATTGCGTGATGCAGGGTAACTTTATCATGGTGATGGTGTGGATCGCTTCTTTTTCAAAGGAATGGATGGCATGACTTGGATGATAGAGGACAACAAGGTACGTACTTTATGGTAATGAGCCTTCATCACCATCAATGTCACCATCACCACCAACAGAACAACATCAACAATCATCATCACCATCATCATTGTCACCATTATCATCGTCACCATCATCACTAACAGGACAACATCATCATCATCATCACCACCATCATCACCACCATCATCACCACCATCATCATCACCATCATCACCACCATCATCATCACCACCACCATCGTCTTCAACAGGTAGTACTCCAAACACCAACAGCAATGTACGCGGCTGAACAGGATTGAATGCATGAGTTAGCAACCAGCATATTAGAGAAATGGCACACGATACACGGCACCCAGCCTCAAGCTCTCTTTCGTCCCTTTGGCTCTACCGGTGTTTTTGGATTTTGGTTTTGGTATGTGCTATCTGCATGGGTGTGATTCCTTTGGCATTGAGGTAGGTTTGCATGATGCATCCTGGGGAAATGCTTGCTCAAGGGGTATCATGTTAGGATATGGATCCATGGAACCGGGAGACGTGTGCACATGTTGTACGAAGGCAGGATGAACGCTGGTAAGGACACTTGAGGAGGCTGTACGACCGGTGGATATTGTGCATTGCAATTTAGCTAGCTTTATTGGTGTTCATGAAATAAAAATTGGCATTTTGAAATTCTAAGGAGATGTCTGGATTACTGGCAAATGGTTTTGAACAATGTACAAAAGAACAATCAAGCATCTGTTTTTCATCATTCCCATATGACATTGAACTGCCATCGAATCACATAACACGGTCATAGGGTAAACCCCCAATCCATGTACATACACCACGCACAATAATAAATAATACATGCCTCATACGCGCACCCAAAAGCATTTCCTATCAACTTATTTCTCCTCTAGCTTTCATTTATTCACCTGTGCTAGAAAATAAATGCCACCGCCTCATCCTTCGTTCTATTTTATGTACATACGAGCAGTTTTATCGCATGCTGATAATGCTATGCCATCTATTTTATTAAAGTTGTTTGATTTACATTGCCTTTCTTCGATGACATCTATGTACAATGCTACGATCGTATTATGGATCCAAAAGCATGCTCTAGAAATAATCGCTACCCCAAATCAGTTTACAACATGACGAAACGAATCCAGGGCTTAAGATGCACCATCCCGATGCTGTTGTTGGTAATCAATCAAATCATTTAAAATAGCTTTTGTTGTTTATTGTTGAAATCTATACTATTCTATGATAAGGTGTAGGAGTATACTTGTATTCTACTCGTGGAATGCTACTTTGTAATAATTGGAGCATGTCATCATTCATGGGCACGTCAAGGACCAAATGCTTCAAGTTCGGAATAGCAAGGATGGCCGTAATATCGCCTGGAGGAATTTCATCTTGTGACTCAATGGTCAATGACCGAAGACCTGGATGCGCATGGAGTGGACAAATAGAACCTTTAGGTATAGTTGCATATGTAGCAAAGAGTGAAAGGTTTTCAAGACTTGGACATCCCTCTGAAAGTGTTGACATGATGGATCGATAATCCACATAATCCCCTGCACCACCAGTAGGACGATGACAGAACCATAAAATAAAGGTTCGTAGATAGCGCAACCTTGCAATGGCAGAGAACCAATACTTTGGAGTTGTAAACATTTCCAAAGCTATTTCCAATTCTTCAAGGGTGGATCGTTTTCCAAGATCAATATGGTGTCGAAGGAACTTTGAAAATGATGGACAATGCTTGGTAGTCGTCCATGCGCAGAAACGTCGAAGATGGCGTAAATTGATGATGGCATTGAATAAATCCTCCTCTTCCCTTCCGATGGGGTTGATGTAAACTGTATGAAGGTGAGGAGCACGTTGGATAATAGATGTTGTCAAAGGGATAAGGGATTCATCCGTTGCTTCAATCTCCAATTTCTCAAGGCGTGCAAATTCAATGTTGCTTCCTTCCAGTGTCATGGTGTTCCCTGTAATAGCGCCAATGAGTCGTAATTCCTTCAACGATCCACAATGTTGAATCAACGTCATAATCAAATCATCCGAGCTGTACGTATCGCTTAGTTGTCCAATGAAAAACTTCTCCAATCCTTGTTGAGCGTCATCATAAACCAAATCGCAAGGATCATTACTATGATAAGCTAGCAGCTTCAAATTGGGTCGGTATTGATGGATGACTGGCAACAGCTTTGTGTCTGGCATGGGTGTAACATCCAATGAAACGAGTGACGGAAGATGGCTGAGGACGTTCACCATGTTTTCATACGACACCGAGGTGGTGGACTTGTAAATTAATCTGAGATGTGTCAACTTGGGATACTGCCAGGATAACAAAGCGGGTGGTTCATTCACGATGCTTGATGCCTCCAAAGAAACCAAATTCGGATATCCCTCCAATATAACTTGCAAAAGAAATGGGGTCTTCTTGACGCGTCCTTGTATAAGATGAAAGATTCAAATGGGTCAACGTCGAACCGATGGATCCAAACGAGTGCTTGAGGAGTTGTGGATGACCCATACCTATTATTGCATATCTTTCATAAGCCCATCATCCCTTTTGGTATCCCAATACAACAACAACCACTACTTACAATCAATGTCCAAATGAGTAAGTCTTGGCCAAGGCTTCTCCTTCAAGATCCGAGCCCAATCATGTCGATGATGAATGGATAACGACTTGTAGTGACGCGTGTAACGAAGCATGTCATACTCAGGGAAAACAAGGATATTACGTTCCTGGAACATACGTAGATGCAATGCGTTGTTGGCCAAGATACGGTTGTGCCAGGTGGATGATACATAGAGATAAGGACATATCTTGTACTCCTCCAGCTTGTCAAACAACAATGGAACGATCTTCATGGAAACAATGTCGTGTGGTAGCTCGCTGACAAAGTCAATCACCTTCGCCTGAGCATCCAAAGCAGCAGCACATGACGTCTCCAGTTCTGTGTATCCAGGATCAGTGGGTGCTACAACCTTGAGGCCTTGCTTGTATATACTCACAGCGGCTTGTTGATGTCCTTGCTGCTGATACACTGAACCTGCTCTCAAGTAACCAAGTGCCGATGTAGGTGACAATGCTCGAACCATGGCAGCATCCCGTAACGCAAGGTCAAACTGGGCTCCATTGGCTAATGCCTTTGCACGCGTGTCAAGTTGATCGATGAGTTGAGTAGCCAGGTTGGTAATGGCGTCGCTGGTTGTTGCCATGACTTGGTCGTCTTCACCTTGGTGCATGCTGACAGGTGGTAACGGGTACAAAGCGATAGTGTTGTCAGTTGTTGCATTAAAAGTGTCGTCTTTTTGTTCACAATGGGGCGTAATGGGTGGAAGTGGTGGCTCCAAAGGGTGGTGATACTCATCAAAGAACATCATTGTTGATAAACGTCGGGATGTACATGCATGGAAATTCTGTTTTTTGACCACCTGCTTTATTACACAACCCGATCCATTGTCCCTTTGGCCAAACGCATGGATCATGTGTAACCTTGTGCAACAGCCATCATCCTGCTATCTTGCCACATTATTGTATCACGTTTCCCCATCTCTTTGGTTTAACATCTTCACTCAACATTCTCCATGACAACCCACACATGTCTAATTACTACCTAGCATACAGCCACCTTGAGCAATGTAATGGATACCGCATCTGAGGGATCATGACACCTTGTAGTACACGCTTCCATTTCGGTAACCCGGGTAACAGGATGCTTTTGTTATATAGCTATCATCAGTCGAGAGGATACCGGATGTGTAGTAATATGAACAATAAATGCATCAAGTTTTTCCTTCTTCGAAACAGACATCACCAACTTCTTAAGCAGCCCATCATCATCTTGCATGGCAACGGCTTTACATTATGTAAGGTTTCATAATCGGTACTTGACAAAGCGCATATAAAACTAGCATGGAAAGCAGTTTTCTTTGATGATGTATCTAGGATGATGGACAAAACTAAAAGGAATGAAAGTGAGTAAACGGGATCATGTGCATCCATTTCATGCGGGTTATGATGGCCAACCACCGCCCTGACTAGCAATGTTACTCTTGTTTCAAGAGAACAAGGTCATATCTATTTAAATGGCGTCAACAAGAACGTTGCATATGCATGTATCTCCTTATCCGCAACCACCATTGTCAAAGAAGGAAGACCAATCATCCATAGCAACTTTGTCATCTCATTATTCCCACCTCTGGTCATGTCCAAGCTTTGGTTTATAAATAACGCTATTGATGGCTCAATGTTGTGGGAATAAGTACCCCTTTGCGACTCCATATCATGTAGCAACAACACGTGCAAATCTTAAGCGGATAACCATGATACAGGTAGCACATGGATAAGGATTAGGGTGACATGGGCGGACGGTTGTCATGATGTGTAAGGCTAATAAGATATGACACCTCAACAGGCACCTATATGCATAGTAATGCTGGTGTTGTCGGATACTACTCGTTGACAACATACAAATGATACACGTGACAACAAACGATTATGGTTGCCATGGATGGCTTTATTGGGATTTTGAATTCATTGTAGTGATGATAGTGGGTGGATGGAAGTGGCTCATTGTCAATGCTAAAGAAGCATGCATCATCTTCTTGGTGACACAAATCCAAAACAGGTGGTGGATGTCGCTCGGATCAAGCCTAAGCCCACACTCTCTCTCACACCCTTTTCTCCAAAGAAGCGGCTCCAGCTATATGACTTTAGCACCCAACGTCAACGATTCCGAATCTCAACAGCTCAATGGACTTGCATCGACTACTGGCATCAAGAAGTGTGTGGATTTTGTCAGCGATTTGCCATGGGAGATCGTGAGGACTTACATTATGCCAAGGATATTGGGAGGAACTTCAAGGTCACCGGTTCATCGACTTGAGCGTTCATGCGGCTACTTGGATGTGTGCAGCAACTGGGCCAAACGGATTATAGCGGCTTACGATAGCAACTACTTTATTCTTGATGTGGGCGATACTCTGTCAGATGATTGTTGCATGCGTATCAGGATGCTGGTGCCTTACATCGAATCACTCTCGCTACGGGATTTAGGTGCGCGTCATATTCCTCAATTTCTAAAGTGCCAGACGCTTGTATCATTGACAAGACTCCGTATCAAAGGTAATCATCATCTTTGATGCATGCCGTATTGACAACCGTTAACGCATCTTTCCTCATGTTTAGTCACCTGCTCTCAAGAAACGTTGTGGCAGCTACTAGAAATCGCTCCCAATTTGACTTATTTGGATATCAAGTACATTGACAACATTGAAACACCATTTGCAGTATTCGAGGTATTGGATCGCTGTCCCAAGCTCATTCGGCTGGATCTTTTACTCCACCCTGATGCGACCCTGGATACAGCCATCTCACAGCTCGACCGCACCTATGACAACATTATCCATTTTCAGGCTGTTTGCAAGAATTGGCATAAAGTAGACATGTTCATCCCGCTCATTCAATGTATGCCAAATGTGCGTCTTTTGTCTTTGACCTATTTTCCATCATCATCGATCATGAATACAATCAAACAACATTGTGCAAAACTACAGCAGCTATTCTTGCATTATCCTTTTGTGCAACATGAGTCACTTGACGACATCAAGGAGGACGAGGAGGATGAAAATGATATTCCAGGGTTGAGATTGCTTACCATCAATGGAGGGTTTCACAATGGAAATAAGATTGCTGAGACAATGATACGACATAGTGCAACGCTCGAATCGCTTGTATTGGAAAAAGAGGACATGCTACAGATATCACCCGTTGGATCCTGGAACTGCTTTGGCCCTGTTGAATTCACGCAGCTCAAATCCTTGAGCATCCCACCCTATTTCGAGGATCGGATGGTCCATTTTATACAATGGGTTGTTGTGCATGCTCCCAACCTTGAGTCTTTAGAGACGATTGCCAGTGGAACGGCACTGCACCACTTGATGGATCTATTACGAGATCGACCCTCGAAGAGAATTGGATTCTTTTATTCACGCAATTACCAGCATCATGAGAAACGCTTTTTGGAGGATCATATCCAGCGTGGTACAGAATCTCATCTTGAAGCGCTCAAGTGCACCTTTGGCGGCATGAATGCCATTGTGATAACACCTGCTTCATGGATCAACCTCATTCCAATGTTGAAACAACTGAAAAAACTGGAGCTACATATGACGAGCGATATCATGATCCGTGGATTTAGCACATTTATTCAACAAGTGTCGGATGGGTGTGGTGCTCTCGAAAAGGTCATGTTGACATGGATGTGCTTCAATTACACCAATATGGACATTCGACCTTTATCCAGGCACTGGAATCTCCAAGAGGTTATTGTTGATGCAGTGGATATACCCAGCCATTTCATGAGGCATCTTACGTCATTTCGACATCTGAAGGTATTGCATCTAAAATACAACATTATCGATTGGAATGCCCTTGCCATATTGAAAAACCAAGTACCGGGATTGGTGTACACTGACAAGTATGGTCCAACTTTGTAACATCATTGTTCATTGAAAATAAAAAGTTGCATGATATACACACCCATTGTTTAATATCACTTGGATACTATGCAGAGGATACATTTACATGCATGATGGATATCAACCAAAAGCTATACACATCTTGGATCAAAGCCTCAAAATCGTATCCGATCCCATCCCATTCACCATCAACACCTGCAATCATCTCGACCAGATGCCACTAAACGCCTCTCTATGCGTATCGACTTTATCAGCAAACTCGCCTTGACATAGTATCATCCCATATTATACCACGTGAAATGACCATTCCATCCGATGGTGCCTTTTCGTATTTGCATGTATGCAAGGCCTGGTGTGAACGAGCTTTGCAACCAACAATGCCATGTACAATGTAATGCGCATGAGGGTATTAATGAACGATCACTCGTCAAGATCACCGAGTATTCACAGCATATCGGACATCTCAGCTTACGCGAATTTGAAGGATTTCCATTTGGATCCTTCATGACTACAAGGTTTAATTGGACACGTTACGACACGTTCAGTTAACAGGAATGATTAGGGGGGAGGCACCTGCCATACCACAGCATGTACAATTGGACCACATGATGACACTTGAATTGCACCATAACGGGCCTGATTCCGGCATGGATGATTTTCCATGGTTGATCAACATTACTCCCAAGGTTCAAACATTGTCACTTTCATACCTTCAAGAAGATGCCGCAGACGTATGCCGAGCAATGAAGAATCTTGGGTACCTAAAAGAGTTGACCTATACGCCATGTTCCACCCGCCTGTATTAACTTTTTGGATCATCATGCGACATTGGGGGAGGAATCATCATTGAGTAAATTGAGCATTACTGGAATTCCGCCGATGCTGTTGCCAACTTGCTTTCTACACTATATGGTCTATCACAGCTACAAGATCTCGACATTTGCTTTTGTGAAAACGTTACAATGGATGATTTATCGGTCGAAGCGCTCGCTCAAGGATGCCCAAATTTGGAACGTTTGTCATTGTCTTGTGATGCTGGAATTCCCTCCCCACTGATTTACAATATACGATTATTCCCAACCTTACCACCCTTTCTATCAATCGTTGTCACGCCTCAGATGAATCCTTGTTTAGTCTTTTGACATGTAAGCGACTAAAAACGCTCAAAGTAATTGATGCAGAATTACCAGATGATGTCAAGGAGGTATTAGCTAGCCTGCTTATTAATGAATAAAGTCACTGCATTGTAGCTGGTAGCCTTAATCGTTATACAAGGTAAAGGATTTTATCGCATGGGTCAGGGTAGGAGTGATCAATTGCCCGGTTGAATGCACATGATTATTTACAACCGTGCAATGGCTTTTTTCTCTCATACAGAGTAGCTGGTACTGTATTAGTTATATGTGTCCCTTGATCCAAGAGTTGCATGGCATACATTGTAAACGCGACAGCTTGCAACCATCACTGCTTGGAGATATGAATCTTGACCCCAGCCATGCATTGGGTCATCCTCACGATATAGTTCTTCTTCAAGGGGTCTGAAAGAAGCGAACCTGTGTCCTACAAAAGACGTTTCAAGGCGCACAAGTTGCTGAAAGCTGTAGTAGCTGACCCACGTATAGCATAGAGCCATCAAAGTAAGGGGTATACACGCAATGTATATGCCCACGATTCATGCATCTTGTAAAAGGTCAAAAGTAAGCTGCTTGATGCTGCTAGCAATGTATGTACAGAGGGTGGTCTTGAATAGCATATGTATGCAGGTGCAGTTGATATCGTCCTCTCGTACATGCACCCAACAAATCTTTTATAAAAACCCACCTTTTGAAAGGTTGCAGTATTGGTATCTTTATTTAAAAGATTTATCATGCGTTTCCTTACAGTGGGTTTTGTTGCCGTTCTAGTCATTGCAATCCACATGCATACAGCTGATGCCGTACCGTTGAGAAGACTCACTCGCAGAGCTAACAATCGCGGCAAGGCTCAATATGATCACGTTACAAGGCCATCTGGCACCGAATTGACCTTTATCGATAAGCGACAAACTGGAACAGAATATCCTAGTGGTGATTCTTCTGCTGCTGCTTTTGCTCGTGCTTTTATTAGTACTTTTGTTAGTGCTCTTCCAGGACAGGTTGGCACAACCTCTGACAATGGAGCAAGTTCTGGCAGTGGAGCAAGTTCTGGTAGCGGCACGACCACTGGTGGCCGCAAACCTTCTCGAAGAGACACCAAAACCTTTTAAGTGCGAAGATTTTGGTGGCCCTCAAAGTACGCAATATGGGTTCCTTCTTCGGTTACATGAACAATTAGACGTTACTTGTATGGCAGATGGCGTGTATGATGATGATGATGATTAAAAAAATAACACTCTTTGTCTCTCTGAAGCATTATACAATACTAGCCGCCTGTAACTCATTTTGCATTTATAGGAGTGGATGATGATCATGTTGTAGCCCTTCACTTTGGATGAATAAGAGCAAATGACTACATTCAATATCACATTTCGCCAATTGTAGCATCTTGGGAGATTTACAGCTGTAGTGTAGTTTTTATTCATTTAGGATATAGGTTGTAAGATTAGTCGGACTAACGGAGGTGAAATAGGTTACACATGCTGTTGACAGATTGCATAAATGGATGATGATAGTATGTAATTTTGGGTAGTGTTGGTTCTTCATACGCAAAATTCGATTGATGAGGAAGCTATTCATGATGATAGAGTCAATGGATTCATACATGCATACCATCTTTGAGTGTTTACACGTCCATGTTTGATGCAGGATTACACATTGACTGCTCCAAGTTCAGGAGTTGGCTGCATAACCAAGGCTGGTGTCACTTTTTGTCACCGAGATACATAATAAGGGACTAGTAGCTATTCATACTGATCGAGGTATATAGGTGTGCATGTATTCACAAGAGTAACTATGGGAAGCGGGGTGTCTGTATGCAGGACAACAAGAGGAACCAAAAAGAGCACACCTTCACCTTCTCCACTCCCACTTTACACATTCAAGGTGAGACACTCTCCATTAACGAACTACAGCTCATTAACTCCTTCCACTCTCCTTAATGCAACATCTAGATGGGTGAACAGGTGGTTAATGGCGACACTTCTAGCTACAACAAGTACGCGCGCGATCTACCCATGTTTCAAGCTTCCATTGCCATCCAACAGGTACGGTCAATCGCTGCAGCTCTTTTACTATTCAAGTTGAACATTGTGGTACTAAAGCGCGTGTGTAGTTGCTGTTCTCTCGCTTATACAAGATCTAATGGGGGCGTCGCGTGTATTCATTCCTGGGTTGTCCACAACAAGAAGTCTTTATGTCTCCTCTTTTGTGTACGTTCACAAGCGCGTTTAGCTTGCTTTTCGTTGTTATCTCACATTGCGTTTATGGTAGGTTGAACATGCTAGATGATGGTACCTCTGGCAGCAACAGGATACGGATCCCAAAGCAAGAATGCTGTATGGTTGGCTCAATGGTATGTATGACATTGGATGTACAAAGCAAAACCTGTTAATTAACGAGCCTTACCATGAAATAGCAGCAGCACATACTGGATCGGATTGATACAAGGCTATTTGAAAGCATCAATGGAATGGTATTGGGAATACCTAGAGGTACAGTGCATCATTCTAGGATTGGTTGGATTCAAGTGGACTTACCAAACACCATACAGTGGCAGATCCTCTTTCGGCGATACTATTATTATCACGGCTGCACGTCGAGGATGTCATTGTATAGTACTGTGCTCTCCTGGGGAATTTTGGCCCGGAAACAGTGTGACTCAAGATGCGATGGCAAGGCCAATTTGAAAAGGCATCCGCTGTGCACACGGCCTCCATCCAAGTACGGCTATTGATTTCCTTGCCTACAGAGAGAAGGTGGATATCTCTTATGATGCCAATTTCAGGATCCAATGAGAGCATGGTACATATGGTGGCATACCTTGGCGCTGCAGGTTGATGATTGTATTGCCTTCGGATGGTGTATTTGGTTGCAATTCCTTGTGATCAGCATGGCTCAGGTATGTATGACTCTCATGCTTTTTGAGGACCTTTGCTGAAACGCCTACCATTATTTTAGATGGACCACTGGAAGCAGCATACATTTATTGCCAAGGCTTATACTATGTTATCATTGCCATCATTGGTAAGAATCGTTCTAGTGGTATGGAAAACGGGTGTGTATCTTATCGAGGTAGGTTATCTTACAACACGCAACGTGCAATTTGCTGGGATCGGGTCTATTCGGATATCCTATGGTTGATATTGGTAAGTGTTCTTCCTATTGTTTAATGTACCTAGTAACGTGTTATTGTATTATAGTTGTGGGCTATAGCAGAGAGCTACTTGTCATTTGGTGTCTTGTTGAAGTTTACAAGGTCACAGCTATGATTGGTAAGTACTATTGAATGGGATAGGAAAATTGGTAATGATGCATCATTGATAGTTGAATCATGTCAGCCATGGGGAAGAGTGTTTATATCGTTTGGTGGTGGCAACCTTTCTTGCATCTCTGGTGGTTGGTTACTATACCAAACAACGGGCGATTTCTCTGAAGATTGTCAGCCATTGCACGTCTCTTATGAGTGGACTGTATCAGCAACAAGAAACAGCATCCATATTGTTGGTGTCATATCAAACTTTATCCCATCATCTGGTGCTTCTGGTTATCGGTGATTCGGTGGCATCCAGAAATGAAGATCTCTTAACAATTGATCACGCCAGCAGCAAGGAGCAATTTGTATGCCTTTGGTGTCAGCAAGCTTTCACCTTCTGGTGGTTCTGGTTATCGACAATCGCTTTGATGTACGGCTGCCATTAAACGTCTCTTATGGATGGATCATGCTATCAACAAGCAATGAGAGCCAACGTCGACATCTTTAGTATGTAGTACCAAGGTCATCTCTACATCACTCCAATGTGGACGCCAATCCTTTGAGGATATCCAACTACGCATACCGGTTATCGGTGGATCATATCAGCAACAAGAAAGACGCAGCAATCAGCAACAGGGTCTATATCGTCAGTGTCAGCAATGTTTACTCGATTCCCTGGTGATTCTCGTTATTGACCAATGGCTTTCAAGAGCATTCAGCAGCGCATGTCTCTAATGGGTGTATCACAACAGCAACGAGCAACAATGTCACGTGTCTTTTTGGTGCTGTCAAGGTTTATCCATCGCTCAAGTCATTCATAGTCCAGTATCGCTCCCTTCGTTTGGAGATTCATTGGTATGAATAATACTGGATTGACAATACGAGTGCTATCAAATAACGGACTTTACAATAGCATGGCATGGTTGTCATGGAGATGCGCTGCATGGAGATGCGGATTGCATGGAGATACAGGTTTTGTTTGAGGCAAGGATACCAATAAAGTACGACAAGGTAAGAGTATTCATTATGGGATGTGTCGCATGCAAGTGCACTTACATGGAAGATGTGCAATAACAGGATCAAGAAAGCTTTTCCTCGACTGTATCACTGGCACGTCAAGGATGTTATTGTATCAACAGCAAGGAGCAACATCAATATGTATTTTTGGTGCCAGCTATCTTTACTCCGTCATGTGGTAGTTCTCGTTATCAACAGCTCGTTTGATGGTTATCTGCCGGCTCACGTCTCTTACGGTGGATCATACTGTATCAGCAACAATCAACAGCGTACGTGTGGAATCATTCTTAGTCGGCTTTGATATGACTTTGGTTATCCAGCAGTGTTCTATTGTCGGCATTCGCCTTTGTATGGACTCCTCTTCAGCAAAGCCTTTGGGTGTCATAATGCTTACTCGACTTTCGTCTGGTTTTGGCTATCAGGGACAGTTCCATTCTTTGAAAAGTGATCACCAACCTCATCTTTGTGTCGACTCCTCTTCATCATGGAAGTATCTTGCGCGTCGCCAACATTACTCGATCTTCTCACTGCGTATGACTACCAAGTATCGTTCGATCGCTTAGTACAATCCGAGTGCCAACGTAGCGTATCTTATCAAGTGGACCATTGCAAAGTAACGGCTTGATTTGGATGTCGGCAGGTTTTTGTGCTTATGGCTTGGTAAATGATGATCCCTTCTTTTGTACAACGCCTACCAACCTCCTCTTTTATTGTAGTATGCGGGCTGTTCCTCAAGCTACTTGTCTCGTGGTCCTTTAGACTTGTCATGGATGTAGCTATCATGGTAAAGTATCGTTCTATGGGTTTGGAAAATTGTTTAACGTGCATCTTTATAGGTGAATCATTCCTGGATCAACGAGCAACGTCTACGGCATCTTTCAATGAACCGGCCTTATTACATCGTTGGATTATTTTCATTACCAAGTACTGGTCATTTGCTTTTATGTGCATCTGCAACACCAAGCAGCAACTTCTATATCTCTTGGTATCGCCAAGCTTTGTCTTGTCTGACTGCGGTTATGGTTGTCGACAATCCTTTCGATGGATATCCTGCTACGCATACCTATTATCGGTGGATCATATCAGCAGCAATCACGAGGCAGCAATCAGCAACAGGGCTCATATCGTATTGTCAACAACATTTACTCGATCCTCTGGTGGTTCCCACTATCGGGCAATAGCTTTCAAGGGGATTCAGCAGCGCAACTCTCTTATGGGTGTATCACAGCAGCGACAAGCAACAATGTCATGGGTCTTTTTGGTGCTATCAAGGTTTATCCATCGCTCATGGCCTTCATCGTCCAGCATCGCTCCCTTCCTTTGGAGATTCATTGGTATGCATATCTTCGGATCTACAATACAAGTGCTACCAAACAACGAACTTTACAATGGAATAGCAGCAGCATGGTATGGTTGTCATGGATATGCGGTTGTCATGGAGATACGGATGTTGTTTGAGGCAAGGATACTATTGAAGTAGCACAAGGTAAGAGTGATCATTATGGGATGTGTCGCATGCAAGTGCACTTACACATCAGCAACAAGCTACAATGTGTGTAAGTCTTTTGGTGCTATCAAGGTATATCGATCGCCTAGGGAAATCATCGTCAGGCAACATTCCTTCCTATGGAGAACAGCTATCACCATTTGTCATTTTCTGGACATCTCTGCAGCAAGGAAATCGACTTTGGGTGTTGCAGTTTGGATGATGCCACATCAGTCGTCGAGTACGCCGCAACACAATCTTCATCAACCGGTTGGGCTGTGATACAAAATGACCAAGCAAGGGATTGACCAACAGCTGTATGGAGAAGGAAGCATACCAATAGCGATCACAAGGGTTCTTTTTATCAACATAATGGACGTGCAACGGTTAGGGTGGATGGGTGCAATCATGTGCAGTAACGAGAATCTTGGAATGTTGCTTTGGTTCCTTGAACGTTGTTAGCAGGGAAGGTGGATCTTATCACGTGAATACGGCTAAGAATGGCGATGGATGGATGGATGGAATTGACAAAAGGGCTTCTATCTTTGACGAATCGTGTTGTACAGCCATGGGTGGATGATATTGGAGTACTCGATTCAATGCATGCAGCAGCTATTATGCAATCATGGATGAAGATGCTTATGACGGCAGCAACCAGGAATGCAATGACACCATTATCCCTGTGGCCTCTATGTGGTTCATCCGTATCTTGTTCAATTTGCAACACTGTACCTTTACCAGATTTACTTGATAGACGCCCACACTACTATATACTATTCTTCAACTTTGTCATTGAATGAAATTGGATTGTTATTATTTGGGGTACAGTATCATGGTATCAGCTCGTATGGGCACGATGTGGATCACGTGGTTTGTTACTGGTTTGAAAGAGGGAATAGAAATAGAAGGTTGGATCATTTACATCGTGGGATCGCGATGCTTTTGTTCTTTTGCCACAACATTTTATGGCCTCACTAAAGCTTTCTCGCGCATAGGCTGGTAGTAGATCCAATGTAGTGGCGATTCTCTAACGATTGTATCGCAAAATTATTAACTAATTTGAGAGTGATCGTGCTCTACATTGCTTATTACAGGGTATGGTATTCATTGTGAGCTTAATGCATTATGTATAAGAAGGAATGAGTTGTTATACATTATACCACAAGCACACAAGCACACATAGCCGTTTGCACCTCCATTATCGCACGGGTTATTTACTGCTATATCGAGCCACAATCATTTACGCACGTTTGGACACGACATACAATAGGAGCCCTATACGTTGTACCAGAGATGCACTGAGGTGATTGGAATCCAAAATGAAGCATGCAAGTGGATTTTTATCTAGCTTAGTGTGTCGGCGCATTCGATCCATTTGGTTGTGATGAGGTATGGAGATGTGGGAAAAGCACGTTGTAACATGAACACTCTGCTAGGTATACCTTTGTTAAACAAAGGATGACTTCTTTTTATTGTATCGGGGTCATAAACCATCATGATCCATGAAGCATTCGAATACATACTTATGGCTCGGAGAGCGACATCACTTACTAGACATTGAAGCGTTGAATTTGAAAAAACGCGTTCGTTGGTTTTTAATAATCTTGATGTGACATGGGTCGATGAATGCATATCATGCAGGTTCTTTTATACATGTGACAATCCGCTGTAGCTCAATCCCCAGGATTTTCGTACACTGTAGAGGTATAGCTCAAATCAATTTTCAATTACCATTGTTCTCACATTCCACCATTGACGTTATCTGTCAACATGTAGCGAGGGATACACATGTACTAAGACACCCATTTATTTCAATAAAGCCTTTTGTATGCATCATGTTGATCTCAAAAAGCCATCTCTTTATTTGATTGATCCATCCGATAATACTCCTACAGCTATCCTTCATCATCATCATGCTACCTCCGTTCAGCTGCAATGTACCATGGATGAAAAAAGACACCATCATCTGCTTGAAAAGGGATCAATCGCCTCGATACCCATAGAACAACTTGCCTTGTTGCATCCATCCATCTTACCAATCATCATGCTTTTGGTAGCATTCATGTCAAAAGTAAGTTGTTGCGTGCATGGATTGAAAGAGTTCCTTCCTCGCTTGGCTGAAGAGGTATCTCTCAAGGCTAGTACTTGTCCACCAAAAGCTTCAAGGGTACCCTTGCAGGTCATAACCAATGACGCCACCATCGAGCTGTGTTAGTCGAATACACTTGCTGCGACATGTTGCTAAGCCTGGTGTGTGTGCGTGCGTGTGTGAGCGGGAGTGAGTAGATGGTGTGCAATGACAAGAGTAAAGACGCGTGTCGGTGGATGACTCATGGTACTCAAGGCGTACTCTGGTGATTGCTGAAAGACTTGTCGACATTAAGGTGCTTTTAGAGAAGAGAAGCGAATCTCTTGGTCATTGGTGAAGGGGGTGAAGAGGAGGCTGTGGTGGCGTCGGTCGCAACTTTTAATTTCCCAGAAAAGATCGTCTTGTTGCACAAGATGAAATGCCGAGTATACTTTCATGCACGCATTATGGAGTTGATGCCATCATTATACATGTATTCGCCGCTTTCAGTATTCGTTTTTCATATCATCTTTAAATGAATGGAATAAAGAGATCATGTCAACAAGCATGGCTGGGTGATCATTGACTACTGTGACAAGATGATCGTGTGTCACAAAGGACGATCCATGCTGCGACACAATTAGCAGTACAGGTCTACCCCCTTTTGGTATAAAAACGACTCAAATGATACTTCTTGTACTCGTTGCTTCGCCTCTTTGCAAACTTTTAT